CTACTCCTGTGGTACGGAGAACGTACTCCTGTGGTACGGAGAACATACTCTCCTGTGGTACGGAGAACATACTATCCGGTGGTATGGAGAACATACTCATGTGGTACGGAGAACGTACTCCTGTGGTACAGAGAATGTACTCCTGTGGTACGGAGAACATACTCTCCGGTGTTATGGAGAACGTACTCCTGTGGTTCGGAGAACATACTATCCGGTGGTATGGAGGACATACTCATGTGGTACGGAGAACGTACTCCTGTGGTACAGAGAATGTACTCCTGTGGTACAGAGAACATACTCTCTGGTGGTATGGAGAACGTTCTCCTGTGGTACAGAGAACTGACACTTATTACAGTAGTTTGTCTCCAGCATTACAGGAAGCATGGGTGTTTACCAACTGATATTTATTATTATTTTATATAAATGAAGATAAACAACACCGTGTTACATGTTACTCCCCAGGCTTACACAACAAAGCAAACCATTTTAAAACATCGGCATATTCTGGTCGGGGACCCATCCCTGAAGGCGTTTTTAACGTCCACCTTTATTCGTTTACAAGAGAGCTCCAAATCTACGAGATGGAGTTGTGAAAGCGAACGTCCTGCCTCCACCAAAACCGCTAACTCTTGCTCCTCTGCAGTTTGAAATGACTGAAACTGCTCAGTGTCACAATACTGTGAAAAGTCCTGAATGTTGATATCCTGGAACAGGAAAAAGATTTTCTGTTGAAGGCATTATTACGTGTAATTTTAAAAACATCATTTATTCATTGTAATGTTCCTGTGATAACGTATATATTTGTAAAACAACTAGACCACTTAAAGAATCAGTGAACATAAGAGCTCAGTCAGACGTAAGGATTTGAACTATCCAGTAACACGTCATTTCCATGATTGTTCACATCCTGGATCTTCACTGATTCCAGTGGATTGAACATTTCTCTTCACACAGAGGAGGTAACTGATAAAAAACTGTCAAAGGGAACTGTTCTGGATCTACACTCTAACCACTGGGACTGAATCAGGACATTGAAATGTCTGTATAATATAATATAATATAATATAATATAATATATAATATAATAAATATAATATAATATATAATAAAGATAATATAATATAATATATCATATCATATAATAAATATAATATAATATAATAAATATATCATATCATATATCATATATTATAATATAATAAAATAAATATAATATCATATAATATATCACATAATATATGGTGACTTTTAATGTAACTTTATTGCCTTTATTGGCTTTTCTAGCTTGATGCCTGCAATGTATTCATCTCTTTCTCTTGATAGATGATTTGGAAGTGTTAGCTTAGATAGAAGATTTTGTTAACTTCTTGGGACTCCATCCCCCATAATGCCTTGCTGTGTGGAATTGACAGGTGTTCAACATCAGCTGTTTTTCCTTTAATAGGAACTCTGAATGAGCATTTAAAACTCCTGATGAAGGTCTGTTGACCGAAAGCTTGAATAAATACATTTTCGCAGATTGAAGTGTGCGGATTTTGTTCCTCTTGATAGATGAGATGTTAAAAACGTCTAAAGGTTAGACCTCTGGCTGAGGTCATCATAGTTACAGGTGACACGCGTAAACAGTGAAATGTGCACCTTTATCACACTTATAATCTAGTGTTCTGTTGCTGAGAGTCGTGCAGACAAAGTAAAAGCACAGCCTGGAATGGGCTACAGGCAGCAGCAGCTTAGGAGGTAGAGCAGGTTGTCCAGTAATCAGAAGGTTGCAGGTTCGATTCCGGTTCCGGGCAGAGGCTGGTGGCACCTGTGCTCGGCAGCCTCGCCGCTGTCTGTGCGCCCCTGGGCAGCTGCGGCTACGATGTAGCTCATCACCACCAGTGTGTGAATGGATGAATGATGCACTGTAGCATAAAGCGCTAACGACAGGTAACAGGTCACAGGTAAGGTGACTAGACTTGCTGAAATGAGAGCTGTGCTTTGTCTCTTCCTATTTTCTTGTCGGACACAACATGTCGAAAGGTTTTTGGTGAGGTGTAGGGTTAGTACTGCACAAATGCTTTCTCCATAGTAATAATTGCCTGGAGGCGGTTTGGTTTTACCCCACGGGAATAAACCATCTAACACAAGTGGCCTGGTGCTTTCCAGCAGCTCTCCAAACACACTTTTCCTATAACAAACTCTTTAAACCCAACATAAAAACACTTGACCAAGTAACAATGACCTGATTGTCACTAATGAATACATGGCCCATGTTTCCTCTCCCTCTGCACCACAACACCGTCTTGTTCGGACGAAGAATTAAATTATTATTCACCCTTTCATCGCTTCTTCTCTCCTGAACACACAGCAACCATCATGCTGTTGTCCCTCGCACGCATCCTACAATAAAGTCCAGCCCCAGATCCAGCATGAATGACTGTCCCCGAGTCCCCTCCTCCTCTCTACAGTCTCAAGTTTCCCTCCTTTCCTGTGAAACAAACAGCTGGACGTTTAATAATGGATTACACACCGTGAAGTCTCAGTCAGGGGAAAAGCTCTAGTTCAGATTAAACTTGAGAATCCGATAATCGGCCTTGAAAAAGTTTTCATTTGCTGTCTTTGCTTTACAGCGCATCTTTCTTCCGTGTACCCCCGGCTTAACATGCCACTTTATGTTCCTAATAACGGCGTTGCAACTATGGGAAAAGTAATTAGATTACTCTGTAACCTAAAAAATAACACAGTTATACTTAAACACCTTTACTCCTAACGCTGCTCACTTACTTTTAGAAATGATGTACCTTAAAGCAGTTTCCAAACATCAGAATGACCAGGCCTTTCCACCGGATTCGTAAGCGGAGTGTAATGTAATAGACGACTTTTACCCGTGAACGCCCTTCCCACCAGGAGTGTTTCAAAGGCAGCTAAGGCGTTCCATGCAGCTGGTCCTGTGAGGTCATTAAATCATCGGAGAAATGTGTGGTAGTTCACGAGATAACAAGTAAAAACAAAGATAGCAGCATGTGTCCAACCTGTCTGGTTTATTTTCTGTTCCGTTTAGCTCGGCTACAGAGGTTTAACAGGTAATGTACTTTTTTACTAGTTAATTTAGGAGATTTTCGGATGTTTGGATGCTGCTTTCGTGTTTGACAACCATAACATCACCTTCATGTAGACAGAAACACGTTTTCAAGAAAGAAAGAAAAAGACTTGCAGCACAATCGGTGTGCTTGTTTCTGACCACAGCAGCTGGTGTGACCAACTCTGAAAGGCGTTGATCAGAATTTGCAGATCACGTTTTTTTTTTCATGGAGATCCGCCCCAGATTCTCCTTCCAGTCGGCAGCCTGGGAATCCAAACTAGGAATCAAAATTTAAAAAAAAATTGAACAATTCCAGCAAAAACTAACAATTAGTCCCGATTCCAATCGATGCTCAATGCCCAACCCTGACTGCTGCGTACTACGCTTCGCTGATGTTACACAACACTTACATGTCCCGTGGAAAAGCCTGGCTAGAACAGAACCATTTATTCCCTCTCATGAGCAAAATATAGTTTCTGCTGGAGGCACAGTGGCAATGAATTTATCTACTCCAAGCCTCAACTTACAGGAGCCTGTGGGCGGGGTGGTCGTGGCCAGCTCCAGCTCGTTTTCTTAAATTGACAGAGCCCTAAAACGGCTCATTCTGGCAGGCACTGAAAAAGTCAAGAATGAAACTTCTGAAGTCACTTGACCTGAAATGGATTTAGTGCAAAAAAGTTCATGAACATGTTTTGTACTCTGCTTCCATACTTGTCCACAGCCTTGTCACCTCAAGAATCGACTACTGCAATTCACCTCTATTTGGTTTACCACAAAAGTCCCTCTACAAGCTCCAACCGGTCCAGAATTCTCTTGCACGCATCATTTCTAAAACCCCTGTGAGTCACCCTATCAGCCCTGTCCTGCAACAGCTTCACTGGCTTCCTCTTAGACAACACATAGATTTCAAAATCCTTCTCCTCACATTTAAAGCTATCCATAACCTTTCTCCCCCATACCTGTCTGACCTCATTCACATTATCTCTCCCATCCGTTCCCTCAGATCATCATCCTCTATCACTCTCTCTGTCCCCCCTTTCCATCTCAGCACTATGGGGAGCAGAGCCTTCAGCAGCTCAGCTCCCCATCCAGAATTATGGATGGCTTGAGGGAGAGAATTCCAGAGACGAGGAGCAGAGCTGCTGAAGGCTCTGCTCCCCGTCTCTGGAATTCTCTCCCTCAAGCCATCCATAACTCTCGACTCGCTCTCCTCCTTTAAATCTAGACTAAAACCCACCTGTTTCAGACCCACCTATTGCTAGTGTCGCCTTTTCCATCTTCATTGATTTTATTATCTAGTTTGTATTTTTAGGCTTGTGTGTGATTGTTGCTGTTTTTAACTTGGCTTCTTTGTTGTTATTTTATTGCTGTAAAGTGTCCTTGTGTCCCTTGAAAGGCGCTTTTAAATAAAATGCATTATTATTATTATTATTTATTATTATTATTATGTACTGAACATGCACCTTCTGATATAAAGGACATAAATCAAGTTAATTACTATATTATTATGTTTCTCTTAATGGTCTTGCACAGTAGTGTCCAACCCTGATCCTCGCGAGCCATCATCACCCTGAACATTTTACAGTTTAGAGCATTCAAAGTTGTTGCGTGGCGCATGTATGATGACATAAATGTCAGTGAGAGACTAGAAGCGATGCCTGCCTCTGCTTGAACACCGAGACAGAAGACCCGGCGACACTTTAAACATGTCGACAGAGCCAATTCCGTATTTTATAAAACCCAAAATTACCAAACAGCGGTCTTAAACGGCTAAGAAACGTCGTTCTCGAAACAGTTTTTTCCCCCTGCGACGCTAGCCATTTGGCTAGCCCTAGCTAACAACTGGAGCTATTAGCAGCTTAACGTTGTTAGTTATAAAAACGCGTAACTCGATAAAGAGTTTAACTACCTGGTTTGTGTGACAGACGTGACTCACCTGGTGTAGAGGCGCTTTAATCCCGCTCTGCTGTCCATGTTTGACCGGCTGCTGGTTAGAAGTTAGCCGGTGGACCGAGTCCTGTTCTGAGGCAGGATCAAATTAACGTCTTACATAATATTTCACAACACCGACGACTGTGTTCGGTGCTGTCAGTGGGGTGAGCTTACGTTTAAAAAGTGACACAAATAAATAATTAACACTCCTAAACCGTTACTGTTGTCCTTTGGCTGTTAATGGAGCTGCGACGGTAAAGAAAGAAAATGATCTTTTATAAAGCTTTTATAACAAGACAAGACATAAGTAATGCAACCCCCCCGCCGCCGCGGCCATTGGTCTTAACCTTAAAGAGCAAGTCACCCCCAAATCAACTTTTTTTCCTGATAAACTTTATGAATGCGTGTCTAATCGTGCTGCAAACACATGTAGTCAATAGTTTTGCACTTTAGTTAAAATTGTAATTTTCTGCCTAAAATTGTCAGTGTTGTGCCGTTGTCAGGTAAAAACTCTGCACTGCATTTGAATTTAAATCTGCCATTTCTATTGGCTAAGAGGTACCATAGAGGGTTAGCTGGTACCATATGATGTCACAATGTCACTGTGAACCTGTTCGTGTGTGTATTTGTTAGCGGCTCCACCCTCTCAGTCTGGTAGGCAACAACATTTGTTGCATTTTTCAAACAGGAAGTGGAAGTGGAGTAATACTCTGGTAGGGGGTGACTTGCTCTTTAAAGTGACAATGAGTGTTTTCCCTGGGGATACCGGGCGGTACATACCTAAATCACTGCAAGCAAGCCGTATTTTTGTGTTTGAGTAAGACCTTACCAATGGTTGGCCATTAGGGTCAAAAATCCCTGGAAGCGCAGCGCAACCTCCAGCAAAACCCTTTCACCACTGGCAATGAGTGAAGATGTAAATGATTAAAACAACATTTATGAATGGTACAAGTTTTGTAACAGTTTGTTACAAATCATTAAATGCATTTTGTCCTCACGGGCTCCCATAGAAGGAAACACGGCATCAAATATGGGGTGTTTCTCAATGTCAAGGCATCTGGCTTTGCAAGGCGATGTCTTGCGAGGCCAGGCGCCTTGCTTATGAGGACACTGTCCTTCCTTGGTCAAAGAAAACAGATAAATGGCACAGACTTGCATCACGTTACCCCGGCAGCCATGTAACATCATGTAACACGGGACATAATGTTAATTTTATTGTATAAGTTTCAATATAAACATATAATGACCCTTTCACTTTTAATTGTGTATACATTTGTTAACTTAAATATGTAAGCGAGTTACTACGTGCTAGCCACCGAAGCTGCAACTAACCAACCATAGCTAACTGCTTTGGATATTAAAAAAAATCCAGGTATCAGCCTGATAGCTACAATTAGTTGACTTACATTAAAACTTGGAATTTGCCCCCAAAGTAGTTGCCGGTCTCTGATCCTCCATACTTTTGAAAATACTGCGCTGTATTCTGGGTAATTTTTGACCAAGGCTAGGCTACAAGACACCTCCCATGTATCCTTTAAAAATCATCTAAAAACTCACCTTTTCATCCAGGCGTTTCCTCCCTAAATGTTTCAAAAAGATGGCTTTGTTTGGGTTCACACCTTCACTTTGTTTATACTCATGATTTAATTTTCTACTTTATCACTGCTATTGTTTTTCGGATGTTTTTATTGGTTAGAGGTATTTGCCCTGATCTTTATCATGTTGGACAGCGCTTTGTGATTTATATCTGTGAAAGGTTCTATATAAATAAACTTTGACTTACTTACTATCCTTGCTCAGCTAGCTAAACGGCTAACAAATGAAGAACAGACCGCTCGGTAAAACATGAACATTGAAACATGCCTTGGCGGTTCCTAATGATGTAACCCTGCAACCGTCAAGGAGAGGTTCCTTGGCATTGAGAAACACCCATGGTGTCACCCAGACTTAAACCCCCTCCCTTGTATATTAGACCCAATTTTTTTGGTTATATGTTAGAATGACACCAATATTTTTCAACAACTGAGCATCATTTAGTTCCTTTTAACAAGATTTCAGTGGATATTTCCAGAGATTAACAATAAGAAATACACATAATCTCTTTAAGCACACTTAATAGTTCACAATAAAGGGACCCTATGTTTATCAATGCTGAGTAATAATGTTAATAAAGAGACCCTTATTGTAAAGTATTACCAAAATATGGGTAATAGTGAAATTAGTGGATCCCGGGAAAGGTAGAATTGGTAGGAGGAGCTGAATGAGGAGGAGGTGAAGGTCCCACCAAAGCCAGCCCAAACAGGTGAGTTTTCAGCTGCTTTTTAAAGGAGACCACTGAGTCCATTGATCTCATTTCTCATTTATTTCGATCCCCAGTAGCTGCAACTTGTACAGCTACTCTTGCAAAAATAAATTAAATAAAATACCCCCAAACACACCCAAATAGCTACATAATAACATTGACAATCAAAACTATTTCAAAGTACTAGATCTCATTATTTTTATTCTCATCATTATTATTTTCCAATTTCTCAGCAAATGCTGTTTTAGCATTACCATCCATCCATCCGTCCATCTTCTTTACCCTCTTATCCTCGCCGGGTGGGGGGGTGGGGGCTGGTTTCAGTGCCTATCTCCTGCTGTCTCCAGGCATGCAGGCGGGGTACACCCTGGACAGGTTGCCAGTACATCGCAGGGCAACACAGGACAAACTACCAAGCACACTCACACCTAAGGACAATTTTGAGAGACCGATGAACCTAACAGTCATGTTTTTGGACTGTGGGAGGAAGCCGGTCTGTCGTGCTGCAGATTGTCACAAAACACCCATCTGCAGAACTCTGGAAACATGCCAGAGACAATGATCACCTCTACGTCATTTATTATGCACTGAACTGTTTCCTGACAATAACACTGCACTAATAGTTGTTCCTTTTGAACAGAACAAAGATGGAGAAATTTGCTCAAAAATAATTCAGGCACATTATTTTGTCTTTGAAGTTACACGTGTCGGATACCCGATTCACAATGGATGCTAGAAAAATAATTACCCAGATAGTAAACTAGACCAGAGAGAGGATACTGGCTTATTGAACAGAACTCTTTTTAATACACATTTCATCCCCATCAGTCCCCAAAGACTGGGTTCAAAGGTCGGTGGTGATACAGAAGCTTGCTGGTGTCAAACACTTCAGCTCTTCTCCATCATTTTCACAAGGAGCTACAGAGAAAATCAGGACAAAAAAGAAAGAAACAGGTGACATTAATACAGGTAAAGAGTGGAGGACAGAGCAGCCTCTTGCAGAACAAGTTACAGGTCTGTGACAGCAGAAATATTTCTTGTTTGTAGGAGACCAAATACTTATTTTTCACCATAATTTGCAAATAAATAATTTAAAAATCAGACAATGTGATTTTCTGGATTTTGTCTCTCATAGTTGAGGTAAACCTATGATGAAGATTTCAGGCCTGTCATCTTTGTAAGTGGGAGAACCTGCACATTTGGAGGCTGACTAAATACTTTCTAGCCCCACTGTTTGCACTATCTTTATTCATGTCATGTTTGGGTAGAAGTTTAGAGATGGAAAAGCCTTCCTAGGCACACTTTTGTAAGCTGATCAAAAACCAAAATCAGCAACAGGTTCAAGAACTTTTAAAAGCATTTTCATGGATTTCAAAACCACTTTTAAATCATCTAACAGATGACACATTGAAACAAATCTAATATCCTTTGTTTCTTTGGGGTCAGAGACATTTTAAATATGATACGTGGTCTTGGAGGTTTGTACGATAATGCTGCCTGAAGCCGAGTTGTTGAGGAAGAGCACCCCTTTAACAGATAAAAACATTTCTAGTTTATTAAGAATCAGGTGCTCATACCTTGGTCAGGTGGTACTCCTCATTTACCAGCTGCTCAATGATACTAAAATGATCTGTATTCACCACGTCCTCCAGGGTCACGTTCAGTCCTGCTGCTTCCAATGTCTAGAGGAAAGAAAAAAAGGATTTATTCACAAGAAAGTTTAAATGCAAAGATTATCAAACATGTTAATTTTTCCCCAAAATGTATGATTATGACTCAATATAATGGAGAGAAGATACATTTCTGCAAACCGCAGCCCCATAACCCGTTAACTGACAGGTCAACCACTTTAGAGCACATTTTAGTCCCAGTTTATAATTGAACCATGCAAAAAGAAGCTACTGAGCCAAGAAAATTATGGGGATGTTTGAATCAAAGGTTTAACATTACATCATGCCATCATATACCATTCTATACCAAACTATAGAGAGCCTAAGTCTCCTCCCCTTCCGGTTGGCTCATGGGTCCCCGGAAGAATGAAAAAATGAATGCAAGTCCATACCATAGTATACCATATTATATATACCATAGTACATTATATACAATAGTATACCATAATTTATTATATACCATAGCATATCATATACCATAGTATATCATAGTATATTATATACCATAGTATACCATTTTACATATACCATAGTATTTGATATACTATGGTATACCATATACTATGGTATACATGGTATATGATATACCATAGTATAACATATACAACAGTATACCATATTTTATAAGCCATAGTATATCACCCCTCCCTGGGCTGCCACCTTACCATGGTGGAGGGGTTTGAGTGTCCCAATGATCCTAGGAGCTAAGTTGTCTGAGGCTTTCTGCCTCTGTTAGGGTCACCCATGGCAAACAGGTCCTAGGTGTGGGATCAGACAAAGAGCAGTCCAAAGAGCTCTTATGAAGAAAAATATACATGGAAACATTGTTCCCTCACACGGACGCGGGTCACCGGGGCCCCCCTCTGAAGCCAGGCCTGGAGGTGGGGCACGTTGGCGAGTGCGTGATGGCCAGACTTTCACCCATGGAGCCCGGTCAGGCACAGCCCAAAGAGGAAACTTGGATCCCCTTCCCATGAGCTCACAAGTAGTGGGAGGGGCCAAAGGGGTCGGGTGCAGTGTGTGACGGGTGGTAGCCAAGGGCGGGGACCTTAGCAGTCTGATCTTCGGCTACAGAAGCTGGCTCTTGGCATGTGGAATGTCACCTCTCTGATGGGGAGGAGTCTGAGTTGGTGTGCGAGGTTGAAAAGTTCCAACTAGATATAGTTGGACTCATTTCCTTGACAGGGGTTAGACTTTTAACCACTCTGGAGCTGCTCCCACTGAGAGGCGCTGAGCAAGGGTGGGCATACTTGTTGCCCCCATCTTGGTACCTGTAAGTTGGGGTTTACCCCAGTGAATGAGAGAGTAGCCTCATGCCGTGGGGAAGGGTCCTGACTGTGGTTTGTGCTTATGCACCAAACTACAGTTCAGACTACCCACCATTTTGGAGATCTTAGAGGGGGTGCTGGAGAGCGCTCCTTCTGGTGACTCCCTCGTTCTGCTGGGGGACTTTAACGCTCACGTGGGAAACGACAGCGAGACCTGGAGAGGTGTGGATGTGAGGAACGCCCCTGATCTGAATCTGAGCAGTGTTTTGTTATTTGACTTTTGTCCTTATCATGGATTGTCCATAATGAACACCATGTTCAGACATAAAGGTGTCCATATGTGCTCTTGGCACCAGGATACCTTAGGCCGCAGCTCGATGATCGACTTGTTGTCCTTTTGTCTGGTCTGCGGCCACATGCTGTCAACTGACCACTACATGGTGGCAAGTTGGCTCAGATGGTCGGGGAGGATGCCGGTCAGACCTGGCAGTGTTCAAACATATTGTTCAATGCTGAGGCGGCTGACTAGAGCTTTGGCCGCAGGATCGTCGGTGCCTGTCGTGGCAGCAACCCCCAAACCCGCTGGTGGACACTAGCGGTTGGGGATGCTGTCAAGCAGAAGAAAGAGTCCCATCAGGTCTTTTTGGCCTGTGGGACTCCAGAGGCTGCTGATAGGTACCGGCAGTCCAAGAGGAATGAGGCTCGGGTGGTTGTGGAGGCAAAAACCCGAGCATGGGAGGAGTTCGGTGGGACTATGGAGCAAGACTTCCGCATGGCCTCGAGCAGATTCTGGTCCACCATCTAGCGCCTCAGGAGGGGAAAGCAGTGCCCTATCAACACTGTTTATCGTGGGGATGGTGCGCTGCTGACCTCTACTCGGGACGTTGTGGATCGGTGAGCGGAATACTTCAAAGACCTCCTCAATCCTACCGGCACGTCTTCCAGTGAAGGAGCTGAGCCTGAGGATTTTGGGTTGGACTCTCATATCTCTAGGGTTGAGGTCACTGAGGGTGTCAAAACACTCTTTGGTGGCAAGGCTCTGGGTTGGATGAGATCTGCCTGGAGTTCCTTAAGTCCCTGGATGCCATTGGGCTGTGTTGGCTGACGTGGCTCTGCAATATCGCGTGGACATCGGGGGCAGTTCCACTTGACCGGCAGACCGGGGTGGTGGCCCCCCTACTTAAAACGGGGGGACCGCAGAGTGTGTTCCAACTACAGGGGGGTTACACTTCTGAGCCTCCCTGGTAAGGTCTATTCAGGGGGTTCTGGAGAAGAGGGTCCATCGGATTGTCAAACCTTGAATTCAGGAGGAGCAATATGGTTTTCGTCCTGGCCGTAGAACACTGGACCAGCTCTATACCCTTAGGGGGGTCCTGGAGGGTGCATAAGGGGGAATTCTGTGTGTTTACCATAACTGCTTGGTCTAAGATGGGTTGAAAGATAACGTGTTGGTGTGGCTGCTGGATAACCAGAGCTGCATATCTGACCGAGGATAGCGGAGGCTATCGGGCTTCGCTGCTTCTCAGCGGCCAAAGATCCGTGATTCTGCCATTGTCGATGGTCCCGGTGTACTGCGACATTGCTCTTGGCTCCGTGTCGACCCAGCGCCGGTAGCTGACATTCCTGTCTTTGGCCAGGAGTGTGACATGGACTCGGGAGCTGAGTCGATGCTCCCAGAGACGGGACCGTCGATGATGGCGGCCTCACGGATTTTTTACCACGGTAGACCAGCGAAGCCTGATATGCTTGGTCAGCTTACCTAGTTATGATTTTGTTACTAAACAGGCCGGAGGTGCCTTCACTTTGGAGTCGCTCTACCAAGCTAAAAACGGCCAGAAAACTCCATTAGCTTTGGGTTAGCATTTAGCTAATGTCCCACTGATCTCCAACCGTGGAGCATGAGCTGATGTAAGAGGCGCCTGGCTACGACTGCAGCGGTCTGAAAAAAAATTTCTCTACAATATAAATTAAAAGCAAAAGAAATCAGCCTAAAGTCATTTTACAGCTTTAGAAAGGCTAATAAACCAGTGCCAGTGAGAGTTTGATGGACTACTTTTATGATTTTTTTACCAGAATATTTCATTTACAAGTGTGAAGGGCTCTAAAAACACAGCTGTACTGACTTGGAAGTACTCCTCGGACTGCTTGCGAAACTCTGGTGAGTCGTTCTCGGCGACAGCCACGACGATCTGACAGCTGGAGGAGGAGAGTTTAAGCTGGGGAACCAGCCTGCTGGGGCTGTTCCTCACCGCCACCTCCCTGTCAACAACAGACAAGAGGAGTGAGGCTCCGACTGGCTCAACGGACGATGACCTTTACATCCACAACAACGCTCTCTCTGTTCACAGGCAAAGAATAACAGCTGAAACTGCAGGGTTCTCCAACATCATCTGAAACCAACGGTCAGTCCTATTTCTGAGTGGGGAGAAGAGAACGCAAACAAACTGTTGAGTTTCAGAAGCAAATGCAATTTTGTTGTATACCTGTAATTCAGTTCGGTTAATTTCTATAGCTCCAAATCAGGACCAGAGTCATCTCAAGGACCTTCACACAGCCCAATACAGGTCAGGTCATTAAGCCAATCAGCAACAAGTTTCCTACATAAGGAACCCAGCAGGTCGCATCGAGTCGCTGACTAGTGTCAGAGTCTTTACAGCAGTCCTCATACTAAGCAAGCATGCAGCGACAGGGGAGAGGAAAACTCCCTTATACGTTTAAGAATATTGAATTTTGGGAAAAATGCACTAATGAACTCTTTTTACTGGTAACCATTATTATGCAGGACTGGGTTGTTTTGTCTTTGTTTACTGAAGCAACAATATAACTTATAGCTGCTTCGTGAACAAACACTGATCCGCTCAAATATGTAGAAAAATATTCATTTTCTTGTAGATTTGATGTGAAAGCGTTATGAAAGTGAGTTTGTTCCTCTGTTTATCTAGACCTGGCATAACCCAAACCCCTCTCACAAAGAACTCCCATCAGCTCCACTCGAGGGAATGCTAGGCATTCCCAGGCCAGCATGTGCCCTGTGTCGACTCATTATAATTATTATAAAAATGAGTTGGTACAGAAACAGAACAATTACACACATATAAATTCTTAGGAATTACTTTCGATGGGAAACATCTAAATGATTTAGTTAAAAATATAAAAAATATAGAAGTTATGAGTAGAATGATATTTGTTTTAGATATAAAATCTCTTCAGGTACTTTATAATTCCTTTATTCTTCCATATCTGAGCTATGGTGTTGAAATATGGGGAAATAATTACAGAGCAAATAATTACCTTATATTTACTTTAAAATGAGACAAGTTGCAGGTCTGCTTCTGTTCTAGAATAATGAAAAGTGGTGACAGCAGGTGTAGATCAGCTGATGAGAAGTGTGTTCTAACTGGATAACAACCTATGAAGGTGAAGACATAAGACAGCCTATGATACCTGAGCTTAAGAGCCAACAGATATAAAGTCAGTCTAACAGGGCGATATATGCAACAAGATGTTTTACAAGCACTCGTCTGACATTTTTCAGGTTCTTTTGTAAAACAAACTGAAACCCGGTTGTTGCAAAACAGGACAGAATGGTTTTTATGGTGATGAGTTTGCATCTTCTTTAAAAGACTCCTCAACATCTGGCTGCAGACAGAAAAACCCTGCAGCCTATCGCAGGAGAGCCCTTCCAGACCACCAGAGGCGAGAAAGTCGGGCTCTTCCTTGGACATCCCACGATTCCAAATGGCACACCCAGGGGCCTCCTGCTGGCAGGACACGCTGAAACCACCTCCCCTGGGGGCTCATCTTGATGTGGACGAGCAGCAGCTCTACTCCCAGTCCCTCCCGGGTGTCAAAGCTCCTCTCCCTAACGCCGGGGACACACTGGCCGCGGAAGCGCCGCGAAAATGGGACCGCCTTCATTTGGCGCCCTTGTTAAGCTATTCTATAGACCACACGGGCCGCCGAAGCGCCGCGAATCGCCTCGCGCTGGCGCTCCAGCCCGCGCCGTGCAGCGATCATTTCGGCGTTGGCTCTATTTTTTTCGCGAGCTGCGGGTGAATCGCGTCAATTCTGGCAGGAAGTCAAACCTAGACATAAGAGGCAGGCCGGTAAAGTTAACAAAATAAAGCATTTCAAAATAAAATTCCGCAATAGTCAAATGTGTTCGTAAACAGACACTGCAGAAAAACCACACAAACACACACACACATCAAACTTGAGTGAGTGTGTGACCACGTGAAGGGGGTTGTGGTTTTGGGTGTCTTTTTTCCGGAGCAAACAGGACAGAGAGGCAGAAAGTCTGAGGCAAGCAGTTAGGATGGATGACTTTAAATGAATTATGGAAGTTGAGAAACACAATGAGCTGTACGACCCCCGAAAATCAGGGTTATTTACGTACCCATTTCGGAAGAAACTGCTAGGATACAGCTGCAGAATTGGAGCGGGTTCCAAGAGATTCAACTGGCAGAAACAACTCATACCATAGGTTCATACACACACACACACACACGCGCACACACACACACACACACGCACACGTGTACAAACACTCAAAACGTAGAGGAAAAGAGCTGAGAAAAGGCAGAGAGGAAATGGAGGACACCAAGTGTTTAAAAGAAAAACTACAGCTGAGCCGAGGCGCGCCTTGACTGGGGCGCGTCTGATCTGAACTGAGGAGCGGCGAGCAGCGGCCGAATTTCGTGAGCAATTCGCTTCGCGGCGCTTCCGCGGCCGGTGTGTCCCCGGCGTAAGACTGAGCTTGGCCACCATGTGATGAAGCTCGTCTCCGCTGCTTGTTCTGTAGGACCCTAACTGAAGGTTTGGCGATTGTAGACAAAGAAGCACATCCCCCCTCAGGAACTGTTTTCAGGATCTAGATGCCATTCTTCCCACAGGTGTGTTCCCACTGCAGGAATCAGGGCCCAAACATAGCAGGGTAGAAATGTCCCCAAGAGAAGTGCCTTTGTCCTCCTTCCAACCTTCAGAATTACACTTCCATCTACATACTGTGGACGATTTCTGCTGAAATCCAAGTACTAGAAAACAGGTCCTTAAAGGGACTGTACAGAGTTTTGAATTTTTATGCTCGCGATTGCCCCCTCAGGCCAAAAGCGTAATGGCAGCTTCAATAGGAGGCTCGTGCACGAGGCGCGCATGCTGTACGTGCACACTCCTTAACGAAAATAACAGCTGAGACAGTCCCGTGTGTGTGTGTGGCCCGGAGGACAGAGGACAGGAGAACACGCAGCTAATTAATTAAATAATTTGGTTCTGTACCTTTCTCTTCAGCACAGCCGACAAAGGTTTATGATGGGTCAGTCCTCCTGCATGCTCAGATCATTCCCTTCCCTTGCTTGAAAAATTGTTCCAAACTGAAAGTTGAACCCACATCTTTTTTATCTGCGAATTGAATTCCGTTCGGCGAGTCTCAAATAAAAATTTGGGCATCTTACTGTAAAAAAATATACCATTAATGTAAAAAAGAAACTCTAAACAAACTAAGGTCACATCCAGATTCGAACCCTGGGTCTTCTGCATGAAAGTCCAACGTCTTACCAGATGAGCTAAAGCACCAGTGATGTATTTTGTATCTGTAGCTGTTATATCCTTGATGACAGCTGAAACGTTCAAAGAACAGTTCAAAGCGAAAAAGGCTATTTTGTTGCTAATTTGCAGGAAATATCTAGAAGAAAGTAGCTAAGGGTCCTCAGAAATGTAGCTAGGTTCATCACTAGGCGTTAGGAACAGCGACAAAGTCACTGAGTTGGCACTACCTCTCTCTCTGCTGCTAAAGCTACTGATAGCAAATGCTACGGGCTATGCCTGAGCGTGAACGCGCATGAAGCAGCCTGCTCGACCCGAGCAGCTCTCTTTTTCTGTGATTTTACAGAAAAACAGGCAATCACAGTAAAAATGCCAGGGCATTGCAGGAGAATGTATGAAGAAGAAATTTATTATTTCTATACACGTTTTGGCTGTCAAACTTCCATAATGCCCCTTTAATATGCTCCTGGTTACTGCAGGTACCTACTCTGTCATCTTCAGGGGCTCATTGACGTAGGTGGGCAGGATGGGCAGGAGGTCGTATATACCACTCACAAGGAAAGCACCTGGAGAACATAAAAGAAAAACTGGTTTTGTTCTTCCTGCTTCACACTGAAGCTAAGCATCCACTTCCATCTGTGACCTTTGATCTGTGGAGCAAGGCTGTGCTGAGACCAGTCGGTGGAGAGCACCATCGCGGCCAGGTGAGCCCCAGCAGAGTGGCCGCACAGGTAAAGACCACTAAATGAAAGAGCAGAAGGACCTCAATGACCCTCAATTTATAAAAGCCTTTACCCGAATATGAAATATAAATGCGTTACCTGATGTGAGAATACTGCTGCACGACGGAAACGATGCTCCTGCGAACCTGTGACACCATCAGGTCCATGTCACCTAAAAGTGAGGCGAAGCAGACAGCTGACCTGTTCACATCATCCCTTAAACCTTCCTGATTTCCACAGGAACAGAAATGAAAAGGGCTACCTTTGGGCGCGATGTCGTAACCAACGGCAACCACAACTACACCCTTTCCGATGAGCGGAACGGCCATGAATCCAGACTCTTCTTTGCTAGACAGATTAACGTAAAACCCGAACAGGACATCTAAATACACAAATGAAATGTAAAGACTTTCCTGAGGTCACCAGGGTTTACCTGAGAAACTGCCAGTAGCCTCCGTGAATGTAAATAACAAGGTTAACGTCTGAAAGAGACAGGATGAAGACGTTTAGTGTCACGTATGACGCAAGCTGACAGCATGTTTGTACCTAAGGAGTTGGTGCTGGGGATGTACACATCCATTTTCTCTCCATCTCCATCTCCGTATGGAACGTCGAGTAAAGTCTGAGCCAGACCACGAGCTTGCGCCGTACCTGAAATAAAGAGAATATCAATCATAATGACAGGTACAGATGACTATAGCTAGGGATGAATCACTTAGAGGAAAAATAAGTATGAAAGAACTTTTTATTCCCTCTGGATAAAGGTTGGGAACGGCTGCGTCAACAAATGTGGATCTATGACGCCTAATAATGAACAAATAAAGGTCATCTTTCTCATATGACAGGTGTGTGTGTACTTGTCTTTATATGGACACATTTTTACCTTTAACCATAGTGTGTGGACATTTCCACATTGTGGGGACATCTGGTTGTCCACAACATGACAACATACCCTTAAATGTGGTTTTAGGGTATGGGAAAGTGGAGGCCCAAAAATGAATGGAAGTCAATGGAGGGTCCTCACGAGGATACAGGGACAAGTGTGTGTGTGTGTGTGTGTGTGTGTGTGTGTGTGTGTGTGTGTGTGTGTGTGTGTGTGTGTGTGTGTGTGTGTGTGTGTGTGAAAGAGAGAGAGAGCGAGAGAGAGAGACTTTAAATCTAACTATATAGAATAAATGATATAAATGATATAAACTAAATAAAAATGGCCCAAAATCAACCCTAACCGCCCAAACATTTGAATCTGAATGAATAAACAGCGTGGTACCTGAGGGAGTACGGCATTTAAGAAAACATTTCCCTCGTAGACTTGGATTTTAAAGGGTATACAACATTTGGCACAACACCTGTTCCCTGCGCTGCTAGCTTAACTATTCTACTTTCTGCTCGGTGTAAAAATTTTGCGTCTTGCTTGAAAACAAACCGACCTTCCTTTAAAGCTTTTACGTGGGCCTTGATCACGTCGTCTGCCGCCATCCTGTGGGACCACCTGCTGGGTGAATACTGCTTCTCCAGCTCCTAGTTGACAGAAATACCCGTGAGCCGCTCGGCCATGAAAGCACGCAGCGATGCTGAACACCACCGGGGGAATAAACACGCGGCACACAGCGCCCCCTGCTGCTCAAACCCACTCTCTGCGAGTGTCTGTCTCTCATGAGCTACAAATAATAAGCAAATTAGTCAATAAATAATGTTGTGTTCCTTCAAACTCAGTTACATTTGGTATTTCATTAATCGAAAACGGTATCAAATTACATGCATACACATTTATATATTTGATACACTTGACCTGTTAAACTTTCTTTAAATGCATTTATCTCTTTACCCTTGTTGACTGTGATGTTTTAAAATAACTGTTACGCCGGGGACACACCGGCCGCGGAAGCGCCGCGAAGCGCCGAGAAGCGAATCGCTCACGAAATTCGGCCGCTGCTCGCCGCTCCTCAGTTCAGATCAGACGCGCCCCAGTCGAGGCGCGCCTCGGCTCAGCTGTAGTTTTTCTTTTAAACACTTGGTGTCCTCCATTTCCTCTCTGCCTTTTCTCAGCTCTTTTCCTACGTTTGAGTGTTTGTGCGCGTGCGCGCGCGTGTGTGTGTGAACCTATGGTATGAGTTGTTTCTGCCAGTTGAATCTCTTGGAACCCGCTCCAATTCTGCAGCTGTATCCTAGCAGTTTCTTCCGACATGGGTACGTAAACAATCATGTTTTTCGGGGGTCGTACAGCTCCTTGTGTTTCTCAACTTCCATAATTAATTTAAAGTCATCCATCCTAACTGCTTGCCTCAGACATTCTGCCTCTCTGTCCTGTTTGCTCCGGTGAAAAGACACCCAAAACCACTCCCCCCTTCACGTGGTCACACACGCACACAAGTTCGATGTGTGTGTATGTGTGTGCGTGTTCGTGTGGTTTTTCTGCAGTGTCTGTTTACGAACACATTTGACTATTGCGGAATTTTATTTTGAAATGCTTTATTTTGTTAACTTTACCGGCCTGCCTCTTATGTCTACGTTTGACTTCCTGCCAGAATTGACGCGATTCACCCGCGGCTCGCGAAAAAAATAGAGCCAACGCCGAAATGATCGCTGCACGGCGCGGGCTGGAGCGCCGGCGCGCGCCGGCGCGAGGCGATTCGCGGCGCTTCGGCGGCCCATGTGGTCTATAGAATAGCTTAACAAGGGCGCCGAATGAAGGCGGTCCCATTTTCGCGGCGCTTCGCGGCGCTTCCGCGGCCAGTGTGTCCCCGGCCTTAATGAGAAATAACATTTTGCCTAAATGACAAACAAATAAGCAAATATTTATTCATTTATTTAACTTGTGTTTTTCAGGAGGATAAACTGCTTGAGATGTAACATCTCGTTGTCGAGCAGGTCCTCCTTCCACACAACCGATAAAGAATAAGATGGCAGAGTTAATTAAATACAATAGACCTACAATAAAATGATAACAATAACAAATAAATAAAACTTCAGAAATAAAAAAATTAATAAAAGATAAAAAATAAAACTGCTGCGAGTCACTCCAAGCAAAAAAGGACATTTCACTAAAATCATATATAAATAAATTTACATCCAAATTAATTGAGAATAATTGGCAATAAAAAACAGCAATGCACCAAACAAATACACAAATTCATCATTAGAGTCATAGCAGTCACAGATCGGCTTCACATGAACATAAATAGTGCAACTAAATGGACAAAGTGACGATATGGACCTTAATTCGGTAGGTAACTTATTCCAGTCATGAGGAGCTTTAACGCTAAAGGAGAATCTCCCCACCTCCTTTTCAAAACGAGGATCAACAACCGATGGATGATCGGTTAGACGGGTGGAATACAAGGGAACCCGCAAAACTTTCAGATAAGATGGAAAATCAAAATAGATGCATTTAAAAATAAATATCAACCAATGAAATTGATGTCTAGCTTTTAAGGGCAACCAAGCATTCAGACTACTAACAATGATGAGTATTGAAAGGACACCGTAAAGCAAAGCGACATAAGCTTTTGTAGACAACATCAAGGGACTGCAAGCTAGCAGCCGTAGAGTTTTGATTCAACATATCTGCATAATCAATAATCGGCAGCAGAAGCTGAGTGACAATCCGCTTACGTACTGTCAGTTCAAACAATGTGTGACCTTATGACATATCATGTCAATATGATATTTAAAAGACAACTCTGGCTCAAGCCAAACTCCTAAATATTAATATTTAGCAGAAGAATGTACTGCAGTGAAATCCAAAAAGTGCAGATTAAGAGTCCCATCGATACCAGAGTAAACACTTCTTCTATTAAACAACATGGAACACGTTTTTGATTAATTTAGAGGAAGTTTGTTCTGAGCTAGCCAGAGCAGCACTTCGTCAAAATGAAGCTGTATGAGAATCGTGTAGATTTACTTGGCTTAGAACAGTATAAGACCGTGTCATCTGTGTACAACTGAACAGAACAGGAGCTGCAACACCTTGGTAAACCATTGATGACAATTGAAAATAATAACGGTCCAAGTGAAGAACCTTGGGGAACACCCCTAATGACTCGTCTCGTGTTGGACTCAGAAACACCAAAAGAAACTAATTCAGAATGATGATGAAAATAAGAATTAAACCACAAAAGATACAACCTTGATAGACCAATAGCATTTGTCGAAAAGTAGATAATGGTCTACAAGATCAAAAGCTTTTGTTAAGTCAAGAAAAATAGCACCCCCAAATAGTGTTTTAACTCCATCAGCTTTTACTAGTAGACTATACTGGTTTGATTGTTAGATGTTTGTAAATTATAGTGATCCCTCGCTACTTCGCGGTTCGTTTATCGCGGATTCACGACTTCGCGGATTTTTTCTTTGGAGCTTTATTCAAGGGAAATTCGCCGATTCGCGGAATTTTTCACCTATTCGCGGTATTTTTCTATGCGAAATATCAAGGAATTCCTGTTTTTTTCCATCAATTTCATCATAAAATGCACTTTTTGTAATAAAACTATAAAAAAAAACAAGTAAAAATATTTTTCTATGTAAAGGGAGGGTTTTAAAAGTCTGAATACTGAATACGTACCTGTTAAATAAATACTGTAAATATGGTGTCCCTACTTTGCAGATTTTCACCTATCGCGGCCAGGTCTGAAACGCATCTACCGCGATAAACGAGGGATCACTGTATATAATATAATATTATATTATATTATATGTTACGTTACGTTACAAAACATTATATTTATTATATTATATTATAGTATAGTATATTACACAATAGGTAATGCTGACCTTGGCCTTCATCTTTCTGTCAGACTGTGAGGACAAATGTAATGGGCTAGGTCAGCATTCTGAGATTTCACCAAACATCCAACTCTTTCTATCTGCTTGAGTGCCAATAAAGGCTTTCAGATCCCGATGACTTCATTTGTAAATTTTAGCTCTGTGTTTAAACCAAGATGCTCCTTTTGGGGCATTCATGTTTTATCTTACTGTAAACTTTATTCTTCTGATCGCACGGCTTTCAAGCTGGTTAAATACAATCCTGGGGCCTCATTTATCAAGCTTGCTTACGCACAAAACAAGGTCGGAAAACTGCGTAGGCAACTTTCCACGCAAACTTTGGGATTTATGAAAGAAAACTTTGCGGAAAAATGTGCGCAACTTTAAGTTGACTTAGGACCATGCTTACGCACATTTTGGACGTGGAGAACACCTGCAGTGCTGCTGCTGAGAAGGATAAAGTTATGAAATCCTGCAGCATTACCACTTGTACTGCTTCATTTTCACACAGAACAAGACCCCCACACGCACACACACACGCGAGCGCGCGCACACACACACACACACACACACACACACACTCGCGCACACACACACACAGCCTGAAGCGCAGAATACGGAATGCAGAATATCAGCCGAGGGACAGATTGAGACCGAATGTCATGCGTCTGTGACAGTGTGTGTCCTGTCACTGTGACCCGATTGATCATGCGCCCTGGTTACTTGTACAGGGGAGATCTCTGTTTGGGTGACCGGTTAGCACACGTGACTTTTACTCGGGAGTCTGGGGATCAAATCCTGATCGGATCATATTTTTTTACCCGCCACAGATCTCTCTGAAGAACTCAGCATTGACGGCTTCAGCAACGCTGTGCCACTCCGTGGATTTTCTCTTATTTGTTTTGCAAAAGCACTTTCTTTCATTTATCCACCTCACCCAAAGGCACCTCAACTTCTGCTTGTGAAATAGCGCTTCCTTGATCTGCGGTCGTGATCGAAATGCTGCAACAAGCCAGCTTATGCATATGCATGAGAGCCACAAGGCACTTTGCATTGACTATTTATGGCAGTAAGTGGGCGTGGTGAGGGTGGGATGTGACTAAAAAGCAGCTGAGAAACATTCTCGTTAGTCTCCAATTTATGAATCGGAGATTGCGTGCAGCTGTGCGTACTCCATGTTTGATAGATCACAAATCTGCTTGGCGCAAGTACATTTTTTTTGCTGAGCTTAAGTACGGTTTTAGAAAGGATTCTATGCAATGTTTGATCAATGAGACCCCTGATCTTTATTTCTGCTAAAATCATCTGATTTTGATGCAAAAGATTCTGAATATAATTTGACACAATGATGATGTGAATGGGTGAGTGACTGACTGTGTTGTGAAGCGCCTTGGGGGGTTGTAGAACCCTAAGAAGGCGCTACACAAATACCTCCTGTCAGCTATCAGATGGTCTCTTTCATTAACCTGTATGAAGCTTATTGGTTGCCTTTAACAATCTGATACAAAATAAAATGAGAAAACACTTTTGTTTAAACTCTTACCTCTTTCTGCATTTTAGTCCAGTGGATCCACAGGAAAAGTCCAACCAACACTTGCGGAAAATCTGAACTTTAGTCTAATGATCTACTGAGCAAACACAGCGACCCTTTTTGATCTTCATTCAAAGAAAACCTGCCTCTGGTGAAACGTTCAATAACTGTGGAGTGTCTGAAAATGCGACACCATGGAGAAGAGACACTAGGGAAGTGAAAGCACGAAGCATCTTTAAAAATAATTATTTTATATGCATCTTATTGGCCAATAAGTGCAATTATGTGAAATACATGTAATCTGAAAAAAGTTCTCCTTTCTATTCATGTTTGCCTTTGTTTGCACCTGTCCGTCAAAAAACTACAGAAAAGATTTTGTAAATGTAATTATGCACGTTAAAGCCGGTGGTTAAAGCTTACTTTCTTCGTTTAATGTATGTATAAACTTATTTTTAGCTTGAGACGTACCATCTCGTTTTCGAGCGGGTACAACAAGCGAGTTACAAGGATACACCCGACCCATCCTTCATTCAGGCGAAAAGAAGGCCGCATTCGTCGACCGCATTTGAAGGAGTCTTCGAATTGGGACAGGCCTAGTCGCGGCGCTGTGACGTAACCGGCCGACGAATCCGGCCGACGTAGGATGCAGACCCTGAATTGAGACACAGCCCACAAGATGATCATCTATGTCCATGGTTTTAGCTTCTGTGTGCTTTTATCTTCCTTTTTGTCCCTGTACTTTTGCAAACTTAAAATGGTGTCAATAAAGTTAAGCCAAACTATTATGGCGCTTTGGGCTCTGATTGGTCAGTAGCGCTAGCAAAGCTTTGTTTACAGCTAAGCTGATTGGTTGTTGTTGTCACGCGACGTTACGCCCATTGGTGGATAGTTTGCTAATAAATCCGCCAACATCAGCTACTTGGCGCGCGCATTCAAAGTCTCTCTTCCTTTGCGCGGCGCATTGTTTGTAGTTTAGAAGCTTTCTACATGTTTTGTTTTTTACTCTATTTATCTTTTAATTCTTGATATTAAAATGGATCCCATTGATTCTCCGATGATTTTTCCAAACTCACCGAGAAAAGCACGAGGACAAATCCAGGTCAGTAAGAGTAAATGAGCTCAGACAAGAACTGGGGATAACAGGTTATGAAGCCATTAAATCGGCTCTTCCTGACACTTAAAATAGACCCTCTGTTGCTTTCAGATCATCTTCGGACCGATGTTTTCAGGCAAAAGGTGAGTTGATTCACTCACGGCCTTCCTGAGTTCTTGATTAGTTATCAGCTGTGTCACCCTCCCGCCAATTGTTCGTTTATCCAGCTGCTCTTGGCCCACATTAGTCCTGTTCTGACTCGTTTTATTTTTTAGACGTTTGGCATCAGAAAGCATGACTTTAACTCCACTTCGTGATGACAGGTCGGACTAGATTTACATCAGGTTTACTGGGAACAAGTCATCCCTCATCTGTTTTCTCTTTAGTGTGTGTGTGTGTGTGTGTGTGTGTGTGTGTGTGTAGTGTTCAGCAACAGTTTAGCCTGATTTAAATAGTGAATGAAACCTGAATCACAGCAGAAAGAGGATGCATCTCTTCTAGTCCCATGTCAGCTGCTTGGCTCTATGGACAGTTCATCTGCTGCAGACAGCTTTTAGGCGTGCCAGCTGGAGGCCGAACCTTCAGCACGAGGCTGTAGATGGTATTCTGTAGAAAACTCAGCCTGTTTTCTGTTTGCAGCACCGAGCTGATGAGGAGAGTTCGTCGTTTCCAGGTCGCCCAGTATAAATGTTTAGTGGTCAAATACGCCAGAGACACTCGATATTCTGACACGGGCATGGCCACGCACGACAAGTAAGCATCTGTGTTTTATTCACTTTTGTTTATTTAGAATAATCTAACTTCTGTGTGCACAAAATGAGCAGAACTGTAAAAGTATGCTGACTCATTGCTTTTATGATGTATAAGAAGCTGTTTTCCATCCTGCTCTTGAACAGAAACACCATGGAGGCTGTACCAGCCAACTGTCTGGGAGATGTTCGGTCCCTGGCGCTGCAGGCCTGCGTCATCGGCATCGACGAAGGCCAGTTTGTAAGTTTGAACGTGTCCTGCATGCTTTCCTGTTCTGGCGAAAGCTAAACATCATTTAGTAAAGACCGGGACGCCTGAAACGTGCGATTCATCACTGATGAAGCTGCTCCTTACCTTGTTTTCCAGTTTCCAGACACAGTGGAGTTCTGTGAGGAGATGGCTAATTTAGGGAAGACGATCATCGTGGCAGCTTTGGACGGAACCTTCCAGAGGAAGGTGAGCATCAGGACTGGAACAACCTGCATGAGCAGTAGTGATGTGCGATGCCACTGACTTCCAATCCAATGCCAGTAAAATGAGGTCCAGTATCGGCAAAACCGATCCAATACTTTACTCAGATTTTAGTTTAAAAAATAAAAAGTTGTTTATTTAGATTCTAGTTTAGTACAGATGAGTCTGGCTTTGTTTCCGCCTGGAAGCTCAGGCTTTGGGTCAGGAGCCCTCACCAGTTTATGAGCGGCTTCCTACACTTTTAAAGTGAATCTGTTGGATTTGAAAAGCTGTTTATTTTAATAAGTCTTTATTTAACCTACTTTAAATCGATCTACTCTATTAAACCTCACCTGAATAATTAAATGTTTGGAATTTCAGGGGCTGATAACACTCCGACTAACATTCATGCAGCTATAAATGTGCGTTAAACATTTAAACTAGACTAAATGGAACGCCTTAGTTCTAAAAACACAGGATGAATAACTGCACCAAACCTGTAGCAGACGGATGTAACGTAGCTGAATTATTCTCACCTGGTTTACCTGGGTAACCCCTGCTGGGGCAATGCCTGCCTGCCAGGGCAGCGCTACGGTTAAGACTTCTAGCACCACAGTAGCTCCACCACACTTCAGCCACGTTAACTCTGGCGCACGGACGGCGTTCATCCTTGAGCACATCCCTGACGAGCAGCTCTCGCGTGGACGATTCTTCACACAGCGGTGCTGATTGTAGTCGGCCATCACGCGTTCCTGGGTTCGCTGCTTCAGTCCTAAACATCTCCTCTTATTTCTGCTTTTGTTTTGTGTGTTTCTGCAATCTTGGGTCTGGTTTCCTGTCAGATTATTTTCTTCAACGGTCTCAGGATTAGCTCTGAATCTGATTATTTAGAATTTATTTTCTAAAGAAGCTTTTTCCTTAACTACCAAACATTTATTACAATCCTAAAATCATCTGAAGTGCTTCTAGGTCTGTGACCTTGTCCTGAACGTGGATTTCTTTGTGCTCTTCTAGCCGTTTGGGAACATCTTGAACCTGGTTCCTCTGGCGGAGAGCGTGGTGAAGCTCCACGCCGTCTGCATGCAGTGTTACAAAGACGCCGCCTACACCAAGAGGATAGGAGCAGAGAAGGAGGTGAGGACCGTAACCTCTGGGTTGGAGGTTACGGTGAGTCGGGAGGAGTTTCTGCAGAATGATCTTAATCCAGTTTTCACACAGATTAAAGGTGAGATTACTTTAGATCTGTTTTGTGCTGCAGGTGGAAGTGATCGGCGGCGCTGACAAGTACCAAGCGGTGTGTAGGAAGTGTTACGGCGGTCTCGTCGTACAAAAGGAGAACAAATCTCCCCTCAGAGACACAACCCCCGAGCAGCTCCTGACGGGAAAACGAGTGGACCCCGACTTTCCACGGAAACTCTTTTCCCACCTCCACTTCTGAGAAGACTTTCAGCTGTCACCTGTCGCTTTTGGGGGATGTCGGTTTAATGAGTTTTGTGGTATTTTATGAGCTTTATTGTAAATAACATTTTAGCACCTCCCGTTTCTTCACGCTTGTTTTTTCTAACTTATTTAAATGTTCTTTTTGATGTGAAAATGTACGTTTAGATAAGACGTTTCCTCGTGGAGTCAGAAAATCTGAAGTTTACAAGAGTGTAACCCTGATCTTTGATCAAGTGTCCCACTGCGGTGGTTAAACTGGTTTTGTATGAAAGCGTTCGGTTAAGTGTGGGACTGGTGCAGAAAACCAGGAAGTCACGCCTTTATTTACCAGGCAAATGAACACAATCTCTCACCGCCTCAACTGCAAGGCACAAACAATAAAACTTGAACAAATCAAGCCTGTTTTTTTTTACTTTCAGCCATAAATATACCGGTTTGAGCTACGCCGGGTTCCCCACGTCTGCTGCAGAATGAAGCAGCAGTTTAGCTTTTTTCACCAAAACTAACATTTGGCTCCAATTTCTGCACACATTCTTCAAAAGATTAAATAATTCACATCTATCCACGAGGTAAAAGGAAGCAGTTAAAGGTGTGGTTTATCTAGAAGCTCCTCCCTTTGGCTTATCTGAAGGTTAACCAGGTTAAAGGTCAGAGAGCATACGTAAACATTGGAACAACACTAACATGTCGCACAAATACAAAAAAAACCCAAATTTTATTTTTTCTGATGCAAAAGACTTCACTGTACACCAAACTTACCCCAAAACCCTTCAAAATAAAGGTTTCCCCCTTCAAAATAAAGGTTTCCTTTTCCTTCTACAACAAATGTCACCATATTAATCCTCGTGAGTAATTAATTAAAACAAAAAACCTCCAAAGGAACAAAGTGTTGCACAGAACATTTACATTCCTACTTTCGCCTAAGTACACATTCTTCTAGGTCAAAGGAAATCCACGGTCCACCTGATTGTTGACTAAAGCTCCCCGGCAGGCTCAGCTGACGAGGTAAATGTTGCTTTTGCACACAGATCGAAGGTCAAACTCCGTCTTAAACACCAATCTTCTCATGTCCTCAGATCTGACCAGATGTCTCCACAGCTCAGGTCCTCTAAACACTTTTAACCGTGCATCAAATTAAAGGTCTGCGTGGAGCCTACAGAGGAGCTGGAGCACCACCTCATCCCTTTTGTCTCAGTATTTGGGCGGCTGGTAGCCCCCGTCGCCCTGAGGCGGCAGGTTCGAGGTGAAGGGAGGCTGCTGGTGCAGGTCGGGCACGTTGCTGGGGTAGGTGTAGGTGGTGGGGGTGTAGGTGGTGGGGGCGTAGGACGTGGGGGCGTAGGTTGGAGGATAGGGGGCGCTGTGGTCTGCTGGTGGCTCGGCGTAGGTCGACGTAGCAGCGTCGTTCACGCCGTGGCGGAAACGACCAAGGGCGAAGTAGGTCAGGATTCCCTGAACAACCAGGGAGGAGAAAATTAAACATTCCAGTTAAAACCCAAAGTAAGATGCGGATCACAAGTTCAAAGGCCTGAAAGCCGAGTTGGCGTCGTCGGTCTTAGAGGGTCCAGCTAAAAAAAACCCCTGAAGTCCAGCTGGACCTTGCTGCAGGACTCGTGACGGGGACGCAGGACAACAGCATCAGCTGTTGTCTGCTTCCGACTCCAGGTTCCCTAAAAGAGGGACGTAGAACTCCTTCATATTGCTCCTTTAAAGTAGAAGTATTTATGATAGAAGATGTGATATTCGTTACCTACAATGATTTAGTCCCCCGCTTTAACGGTATCACAGATTAAGAGTGAGTCTGAAATACTGCTAACATACGTGGAGCGTTCCTATCAAATGTGTGATAGATTTAAAACACACCGCTCCAACACTTAAACAACACAACACAACCGCCAGTCAGTCACTGTTAAATCAAACCGTTCACCGAGGAAGCAGCGTGGTTAGCGAGCAGCGCCACCTGCTGTTGTGCAATTGGAAAAGACAACTGGTGGAGATGACAGGTGAAAGCTCTGAAAGTATCTGAGTACTTCCATCAGAAATAAGGCAGCGTGTTTCTGCTCACCCAGGTGGCGATGGAAAAGAAGGAGAAGGCGATGGTGGCGCGTGCGGCGTCCGCTGGAATACTCTGAAATTCATCCTTGGTTTGACTCCACTGACTCGCCAACAGGCAGAAGCACACAAACCACAGGAAGGTCCACACCCCTGGAAAACACAGCAGAGACGCATCAACGTCTCCTCGTCATGAAGCAGCTCAGACATGTAGAGTAAAAGCTCCTGACAAAAGCCTCCTTCTGCTGAACTGAACAGTAGCTCCTTCTCTCCAGACCATCTCGTCTTTGTTTCCTTACTGAAAGGCTGATTGTGAGCTACGCTGGAGTCAGCTGTCACCTCTGCAGAAGCTGCAGGTCATCCTCCTGCTTCACCCTGCAGCTGAGTCACTTCTGCTCCAAACGCTGAGTAAGAAGTTTAGTCTCAAACAAACACAAGAGTGAAGTTTTCCCACATTTTCTCTTCAGAAAACATCAAATATAAGAATGTTAAAGCTCTGCGTTTGTCTCTGCCCCCAGAGACTCACGGTTGTAATATTACAACATCAGATTTAAGTCTACAAAAATAAACCTTCCCCATTTTTTTTCTTTTTAAAACCACATTTACATTGCCATTAGGTCCTATTGTTCAGTTCTGCAACATTATTGGCTGTTAAAATGTGTAAATAGGCCCGTTTATCTGGCCTCCTAGAACAACATGTGAAAGGTTAAAAAAAAGATTTTGCATTTGTTTTCTAAATTTGGGTCTCTGGGGGTTAAAACAGCCTAGCTGTTAGCCACAGAGCTAGGGTAATGCTAGCCAATGCTAACACTAGCAATAAAAGCTCTAAGCTGAAATGTTCATCATTAGGCTTTAATGACCGCACAAACTCTTCAGCTGCTTCTGTTTGTCAGACATTTGTGTTGCAGGGCACAGCTGGCCTGATGTACAAGGAAGCAGCTGCCATGTTTGAAGGTCATCGCTGCTCTCCCTACTTCTGCGATTGTGGCTGAAGCAACGCCTGCAGCCGTATCCTCGTGTTACGCCGTTCAGTCACACGTCTACTCTTCCAAGAGGAACACCTCCAACCCCACATCAGTCACCCGAAGCTGCACGTCAGCAGACGTCCGGCGCCGCAGGAGGATCTCTGGGACGTCAGTACGTTCCTTGCACCGCATCACTGTAGTGTGTCGCATGAAACAGCGCATTCTGCCTTTACTTTGGTTGTTTGCATGTTTGGAGCAGGATTCGGCGAGGCAGGTGGATCGTTCTTGCCGTGTGGTAGGTTGTTTGGCCGCGGAGGCGGGAGTTTCTGCCATAAACTACCATGAAACATGAAAGAGATGAAAGCGAGCGACCTGGACTGTCCGAAGAAAGCCTGGACTCCTGCAGCAACGGGCCGAGATCACGGTAAGCCCTTGTGACCACGTATGAAGATGTTAATAAAACTCTCATCTCTGTGTGTTTTTAAATCCACCGAGTCGTGTTGTTTTCCCGCTCTTTCTGCTACTTTAGTCCACAAACAAGTTTCATCTCTCAGCTGGAAGGAAAGTGATGGACTACAGCGTTGGAGTGGGTCCTCACCTGAGAAGCCGAGGTCGGCGGTGACTGCATACTTCCTTTCCTGCGCGTTGCTCATGAAAGGCACATAAGCATCCAGCACCAGGAAGGCCACGCACGCCAGGAAGGCCACCACCCCGATGAAGACGGCGTAGCCGCACGCAGAGGCGCTCTGGTTGAACATGCAGTGTTCCTCAGAGCTGTGATGGTCGTTGAGGAACCCTTCTCCGGTGATGGTGCCGAACACCACGATGGCAAACACCTACGTCACAAACAAACAACCGACCAGCTTTATTCCTTAACCTCCATTTACATGTTACCCACCCAGACCCACGCCAGCAATCCGGACGCTGTTAATCCTTCCAGCGGTTTCTAAGGCCTTACCCTTTAAAGTTTACGTTAGGGATGCACCGATGGATCGGCATTTGATCCCAATCGGCCGATAGCGACCCTATTGGTTTTGATCGGAGTTTTCAAAATAGATCAAAGCAGACCGACCAGGTAGGGTTGTCACGGTAACCGGTGTAGCGGTAAACCCCGGTAAAAAAAAGTTGACAATAATAATAACCGTCTTGTTTTTAAAAAAACTATATTATCTCGGTGGGTTTACCGTGGCTGCGGTGTAGGCGCGGTGACCCTTACCAGCCACCGTATCATCTGCTGAAGTTGCCGGCGGCGCATGCGCGCTTTGTTGTTTACAACCAAAACTTTCTTGAAGCTAAAGCTGAAATAATGGCCAAAGGAGGAGACGGCAGCGCTCAGGACATTTATTATCCCTCAAAGAAGACAAAGTGGGAAGTACGGGCATTTTGTGGATATTTGAAGAATGCCGAGGGACAGTTGATAGAAGACGGCTATCCTGTTTGCAGTACGTGCAGAAAAAGTGTCTGTGAAAGGCAGCAACGCTTCAAATCTCATGACACATCTGCGTGACCATCACCCACAACTCTACAGTCAACGCAAGGCAAGCTAACGTTAGCGTTTTAGCTAAAATGCGTGATCCGAGGATTTGAGTTGAGGGAGAATGCAACGAGTCGCTATATGAAGCAGCCGCAGCGCCGCTACCTGCATATAAACCGTGTCGCGGACACCCCCATGTTGAAATGACGCTATGCATTACGGGGCTCCCAGGGGCAGATAAGAGTTGGTCTCTCTCCGAGAATAATTATGAATTTAACAACAATTACTGCCTGATGACATTTTCCCACATCTGCAAAGCTCACTGGAAGGACACAAACCGAGGACAATATTTTCCTGATATAGGGTTTATTACTCAAGTAAGGGCAAAAAAGTATCTGATTAGAAGGCTACTTGAGTACTGAGTATCATCTGATCTAATATTTTTAAAATGATGACATCAAACAGACATAAAATAAGAAGTTATGGGCAAATATTGGTATTTTAAAGACTAAAGGGAAAAAATGTAAACAAATAAACAACATAATTACAAAATAACACATTTTAGGCAAAATTTAGACACAAACTGAGGACAATATTTCCTGACATACAGGGTTTATTTAATTGTGTGAAAATGTAGCACGTTTAAAAAAAATACCGCGATAATACCGAAAACCGTGGTAATTTTGGTCACAATAACCGTGAGGTTAAATTTTCACACCGTGACAACCCTAATACAGACCATTTTAGATTAGGTTACATTTCCTTTATTCCCAGATTATGTAGTTTGTAGCACTCATTATAATGTTGTAGAAAATTTCTGGCCAATCCACGTGATCGGTATCGGTGATCGGTATCGGTGATCAGCATTCTTTGATATCGGTATCAGTGATCGGCAGCAAAAAACCTGATCGGTGCATCCCTAGTTTACGGTGATATTCACCGTTTGTCTCTTTGGCGTTCACCCCGGTGTTTACTCTACGGGACTTGAGACGCGCGTTGCATCACCCTCGTAAGCAGCATCACCTGATAACATGATAAACACTCTTTTCTCATCACTGACACTTTAAATATCCCCTCTGCTCCGACGGTCTCGTGGTCGGCTGCTGTCCGCTCTGATTACCCTTCGCACCATGTGACCTATTTCTGAGTGCAGCTGCCTGCCGTGTGATTCCACAGATGCCATCCTCGCACCAGTCATAATGAGATCTGGGAGCACAGAAAACGTCTGTTGGACGAGTGGGCAGAGAGAGAGAGAGAGAGAGAGATCGAGAGAGAGAGAGAGAGAGGAGCTGGGCTCCTGCTGGTGGGTGAGACTCCAACTGGAGGTAATGAGGAGAGAAAACTGAACAAACACACCTGCAGGTGTTAACCTGAGGACTTCCATAAACAACTGCATATCTATGAAAGGTTTATTAAGACACCAGCTCATTTTGTCCCCAACGCAGGACCGAGTAAAGGCTTTGTGTCCGTCAAAGCGACGCTTTCATGATTTGGACCATGTTTCTGTGGAGGACCGCAGCGTAGGGCAGGGCTATGGGCCAGTACCCAGCATGTTTTAGTGGTTTCTCTGCTCCAATACGCTAATTCAGTGGTTGGTTCACCTGCAGCAGCTCATCAGGCTCTGCAGAAGCCTGTCAATCACCTGCTGATTGAAATCAGGTGTGCTGAACCAAAACATGCTGGATACCGGCCCTCCAGACGCCACATGTGAAGGCGGCGTCATCTACTTCACTAGTGATCGAACTTCTTCTCAGGGTGAGACGGAGTACTTCCTCTAAATTAAGCAGAGTGAAATTAAAATGGTGTCAGAAAGTTTTCTCCTTCAGCTTGCCTCCAGCTCCAAACATGTTTCTGTCTTCTGGACCAGGTCGCCATGCCGACCTGATCAGGCCTGATCAGGCAGTGAAAAATGCTGCGATAGAAATTTAACATTTAGACCAAATTAAAGCACTTCACAGCTAGAGCATAAGGAAATGAGCTGAATGAAAACGTGGTTCAGGAGTTTTAGATAGAGACGGTTTAGACTGAAGTGACTCGTGACAGGGTGAAGAATGCTTCATTCTGTCACCGATTTTGTGAAACTGAGACAAGATCATCAGAAAAAACCCAGATTTAATCCCAGTAAGAGGTTGACATGGAACCGAGTGATGGAAATAGAAGTGAACACAAAAGGAAATGAACACATTATAAAAGGGAACAACATCACACGTTCATCATGTGCTCACTCACTGAAACTCTGATGCTATAGATGTGTTTAGCAGCTGAGACCCGAGCTCCTGTTTACCCCCCCCCCCCCCCCCCCACACACACACCTGCAAGAGCAGTTCTGCCTTTACACGCTTTAATTAAACTCGTTCTAGATTTTATTTCCCAACCACCAGAACCACCTGAACCATGTGACACACCATTTGTTTCTCCTCGGACAGAACCGTCACCACCAACGTGAACGTCCACAGATGTCAGACTGGTGGAAACAGTTTAACTTCTCCCTGCTTAAAACCAGCTGATTGTCTTACATTAGACAATAATAATAAAACTACTGAAAGTAGCTCTATCTGGGGCATTTGTTCCGGAAGTGGGGATCTGGCTGACGGATCTGTCAGGCAGCAGCTGCAGGAAACATGACGCGCGCTGGAGACGCAACAGCAAGGAGCGGCTTGTTGAACAGCTCCAACACGTCTTTGACCTCAGACACCTGCGTATAGTCTACACCGGGCTCTCCGGGCTGTTCCGACCCGCAGACTGGAGCCTGGGCTCCTCCTGCGCCGCACTCACCCAACTCAGCACTCGCACGATAGTTTGCGGCTGTCGGACGAACTTGTAGAAATCAAAGCCTCCTCCGGAGAGCGGAAGTCCGTATGCGCTCGGAGCACCTGTTCCCTCCATGTCTGGGTCCAAGCTCCCTGTGAGACCCGAACCGAGCTGTCTCAGAGGCTGTGTTGGACCAGAACCTGCTGAGGCGCAGTTTCACCTCGAGGAGCTGCGCGTGCGCACAGAGGGGCGGAGCGCAGAGTTCTAACCTTTCAAAAACTCAAGGTGGTCCCAAAGCTCCTCATGACATTTGTGGAAGGTTTGGTTAAAGCCCAGCAGCAAGGTGCACAGTCCCGCCTGGAGAAGACCTGCTTTTGTTTTTATTATTTATTTAGACCCAATTCTGTTAATAACCATTAAACCAGCGAGATGTTGTACAGCAACAGCTTTCACCTCCTCCTGCTACACATGAAGGTAACCAGGTAGAGGTCAGGCTCAGCCAACCAGCAGCTGACTGGGACTGTTGTTGACGTCACCGGTCCTTTAATGGAGGTGGGGGGTGGGACTGGACCGGACTGGACCCCGCCCTGGGCTGAGGGGTGCTATCTGTGGGCAGAACGTCTTGAAGGTCCGATTTCCGAGACACGATGAACGCGACATGCTTTGAATTGGAGTTGGGCGGAGCTTAACAAAACCACACAGGTGCTGAACTTTTACTCCTGCCGACCGTAAAAGATCTTATAAAGAACCAGGTTTGATGTTTTTTATTCATAAAAACAGAAAAGTTCAGAATTGGTTTGATTTTGAACACCGAATTTAGTATGAAGCTGGACTGGACAGGTCACTGGGTCAGCGCAAGGCTTCATGCCGCGCGCCGCGCCACAGACGGCCCGCTGTTTCGCTTAGGGACCGTCAGTAAATTAGTAGTCCTTCGTTAACGAGTACAACAAAGTCTAGAGCTTCCAGAATAATCGCCTAAATGACCCAAAACAACTGAGTTATGTTACTGAACTACATTTAGCAGACACGTCAGTTTTAACACGTTTCACACAATCTGATCTTTTTATTGTGATTTTTATCCTAAATGAAGGGATCTTTTTCTAGAGCCCCTAGCTTTGTTTTCAGATGTTGTGAAATGTGAAAACAACCACTGTGTCTCATTGGTCCAGCCAGTAAGATCATTTAGAAAGTGTTTTGGTGTTAAATCAGTTAACATGGGAGCTATTGAAACTTCATTTTTGATAAAAAATTAAATAAAAAAGATCAAATCTTGAAAAATGCTGTCTCGTTGGTCTTGTTTAGTTAACAAATGTTTTTGAGTATTTAGAGCAATTAACATAGGAAATAACTTATTTTTTTATTTAAAAACTACAATAAAAAGATCAGATTTGATCAAATGTGTTGGTAAATGTTTTTGTTTTGTTCGTTTGGTTTAGTGCGACCGTTGACTGTTTTTGAGTAATTTAATCAAGTAATTCAAATGAATATAAATTAGTTGATGGTCCCTAAGCTCTCACGAGGAGTCCTCAGCTAAACACTGTCTGCAGCACTTGCACACGCCACCGTGGAGTGAATGTCTGTCCAACGTCCAACCAACACCGAAGTTATTTGAACAAACAGATTTAAATTGTTTCTTGGTCTTCTTCATCCTCCAGACATTTCCTCTCCTCAGCTTAAGACCATTCATCCAGGGAAGCTTCAGATTCCTGCAGGACACAAGCGTTTAGGTCTCTGCTACTGAATTGATTAATAATTCATCCTCTCACCTGGTAAAACTCGTAGTCTCTGGGTGCCTTCATCTCATCAGGGTCCTCACTCTTTATCCACCACTCCTTCAGGGAAATGAAATGAGATTATTTATCGTGTGGGGGTGAAACACGGTGGAACACGTAGGAACAGTACCATGTCGTCTCCAAGTGCTGAGACCAGGTGATCCAGTGCCAGACCTGACCTGAAAGGAAAACAGCCTGCTGTGTCATTCTGAGGAGGCTCTGGCTACGTTGTTGGATCTCGGCCTTTCGTCTGTTTTACTGGCTTTAACCGATCGGGCTGAACTGTAAGTATGAGTGAACTCAGATCAACAAGGTTCCAGATCCAGAGTAGAAGAAAGGTGTGTTTTCATCAGGGGTGGCGTTAGGCCGGCTACTTGGGCTCAAGCCCCGAATGTTTTATGAAAAGCCCCAGATCTAAAATGTGGAAGTAACATGCAGTACCAAAGTCCAACAGAGAGGGAGCAGCTGGCAGTAGTTTGTATACAGCCTGCCTGAGCCTCCACCACTGAAGAAGAAGCCCTTCAGCAGCAGGCTTCTACAGTCTCTGCCTGAAACGCATGAGTGAAGATGGACATAAGGACGTTTTTTAGACAAAAAGTACAACAGAACCCCAGCTTTGATGAGACTGGTGTTGACTCAGGTTTGTGAGTCTTATTTGAAAATATTTGTTGTGCTGCTGGTTTGCCTAAAGTTAGCTTACTATCAGGTAAAGTTGTTGGAGAAAAAAGGGAATATTTATTATCATCTCACACTAAACACTAACAGGAACAATACTCTGCCCTGAACATGCTTAATATGTAGCTTCAGATTAAAAATTATGTGGTACAAGACAAATATATATGATGTTGATTAGTGCGTGTCACGTGTGTGTGTGTGTGTGTGTGTGTGTGTGTGTGTGCGTGAGCGTGCGTGTGTGTGTTAAGCCCCGGATCTTCTTCAGTCCTAAATCCGCCCCTGGTTTTCAGATCACATCCATCTTCACGATTTCCTCACTAGAGACCAGAAAGGTGGCATCTTTTCACAAAGTGAGAAAGGGAACTTACTGAGACGTCTCCCCAGACCGTCTTCGTCCTGGACAAAAGTTCAGACAACAGTTTTATTATCAGTTAAAGAGGAAACCAGCAGATCCAGCATCGTCAGAACCTGTTTTATTCTTTAGGGTTTGACCTTTTTTGTCTCATTTAAATGTTTCTGCACAGCAAAGAAACCGTAACGCTGACTCGGGTCAGCCGGGTAAATAACAGATGTTGGCCTTTCCCCACTTGTTTTATTAATAAATGTATTTCATGATCTTTGTCAGGTGTCAGTTTGTTTGCTGAACTGAAACTTTTTAAAGGTGTGCTTCACTCATTTAATTAGTAGGTCTGCTGTGGTCTTTAGTAGGAGCAAATGCCTTGTAAGTCACTCTGAGGAAAAAAAAGCTCCGGTGCACCTGTTTCTGAGCTAACAGTGAGCCACATCACAGCAGAGCTGAACAAGACAGGATCCGGAGTCTTACTTCCTGTAATTCAAACATCTCTCCTCTGATTGGCTAACAGCAACACATCACCACTGACTCTGTTTGCTCTGCAACGTTGATGTTTTATCTCCACCAACAAAGACAGAAAGTAAGAAAATGATCTTTTATATAGCACCTCTCAAGATAAAAATTATGAGGGAAATAACACAAGCCTGGAGGAGTTCTGCTGTGTGATGGGGTTGCTAATGCTAACAGTTAGCTTCTACTAGCTGAGATGTTCTCTGCTGTTTCCTGGACTAAACCAACAACCACCTTCCCCGCCGTGAGTCCAGATGGGTGAGTCCATGAATGTTAGTGACAGTGTGACGTAGATCTGTCAGGATTTTCTATCCTGGAGTTTCACCGTCTGTTTTCTATCAGAAGCTACTGCAGGAGATAGGTGTAGGAGACTATCTTCATGTTCAGCCTGCATGAAACAGAAACATATCTGTGGGTAAACGTTCCCACCCCTGTGGAACTCACGGAACAGGGCTCCAAACAGGCAGCAAAAGGACACCAGGACAATCACCAGTGTGAAACATCCAAAAACGATTGCCACCACAAAGACAGGAAGGCGGTTCAGCACTAGGAAACACAATCAGATAAAAACAGATCAACACCAGAATGGAGTTGTGTAACTGAAACCACCAGCAGCAGGTCAGCTGTACCTTCTTTATCCACATGGTGCCTCTTACTGCTGATAGCAGTGGTGTTATCAAAGCTGTCTGACACCTCACAGTGGTACGTCCCGGCGCTGCGGCGTCCCACGGACACGAGCAGGATGGACTGTTCCGGCAGCTGGTCGAACACATAGTAGAAGCTCCCTCTGTGGCTCAGCAGGGTTTGGTTGAGGAACCACTGGAAACGTGGGTGAGTTCCTTTGGCTGCCTTGCAGTAAAACCTCAGGCCGATGATGGCGTAGTTTTCTGCCATGTCATACTGGGACTGGATGGAAACAGGCCCGCCAACCTTCTCTGTGGCACACATAGATCACCATGTTGCTGCTGTATGTTTGGCACAAATCAAACGGGAAGTACAGGCACCACATCGACTCAGCACGGCCCACCTCGGATCTATACGCTTCTAGTGAGGGTACGGGATGCCAGCCCCCACTGTAGAACCTGCTTGTGGTTCCATGCTTAGCAAATTACAGAAGTGACGTCAGAAGGCTGTCAGTTTGGCTAGGAGCCGGAGTTACTGGTTACATCACAAGAATGATTCTCTTACAGCCATCCAACCCTCCACTGTGATACGTCACCACAGTGACCGGACATATTTGTAGTCCATAACCGGAGGGTTGCAGGTTTGTGCCCCAGTCAGTTTTTCTCAGCCGTGTCCTGTGGGTGGCGGTCGGAGGGAACCAGCAGCACTACCTCCCTCAGTCAACCCCAGGGCTGTAGCTCGTCACCACGCGTGTGAATGTGTGCATACATGCGTGAATCACTGTTGAGTTGTAAAGCACTTTGGGGGTTCTAGGACTTTAGAAGGTGCTATATACACGTGAAACTCAAAAAACCAGAATCTGATGCAAAAGTTCATTCATGCCAGTAATTAGTTCTTTTATTTGGAACGTGCAGCACTTCCCCTGGTGGACGGAAATGGCCGAAGGGCCAGAACAGTAACTAAATAAGGGGATCGTGTTTCCGCTTAGGAGTGGGAATACCTCTGAACTCCCACCCTGTTAGGGTCCAACTAAGTCAGAACACAATCACATCACTATGTCTGTGCCTCGTTCCACAAACGAAAGTAAAACACAAACCAACATTCTCTTCATCTCTCTACCTCCTCCTGCTTTTTTTTTGGACATTGCTTCCACCTACATCCATGACACAGGCCCACTCTAGGTAAATCCAGATGTTTCAGCCGGTATCTGGCATACCTGTGATGAGGATGATGGCCTACAGCTAATGAAAACTCTAGACTGTTAGAAAATTGTGAAAAGCTTCAATATTCTAGACTCTGATCAGCTGATGAGTCCAGAACAGCTGCAGACGGTTCCTGACCCTTTAGACGGTCTCTCAGTCTGAGCTGGATTACTGACATGAACGGACTTTTGCTCCAGATTGTAGTTTACACTGTTCCCTCTGTACCACTTGTAGTATTTAAAGAACACTAATGACAACACTGAAATGTCGTAGTTCAATGAAGACTCCACCCTTCGGACTCTGGGGGCCCCCCCTGCTGGTGACCCTACCTACCTGGAGCTAGAGCCGAAATCCACCCAAACCCTGTGGTGTGGAGTTTTCCCTGCTGTGAACGTGTCGTGGGAAAAAGTAAAAGATAAATGAACACAAAACAAAGTTTTAGTACGTACCAACTTTTAAGGGCAACCACTGACTGTGTGTAGTCTGGTCCCCATTGCTGGCCTGGCACTGGAGCCATCCCAAGTGGCGGTCCAAGACCAGAGGAACCTTAAAAGCTGCATGTCGGTCCACAGCTGTCAGGTTGGAGATCAGCCCTGTCGTACCGTAGAGTAAAAAGGTGATGGGTAGATGTCCTCTGTCAGTCTGACAGGTGACCACGGCAGAGTAACTGTGGTCCTCTTCCTTCAACACCGTGACCAAGATGCTAGGTTCTGACACCAAGTCTGCGGGAGGAGAAGTTGGGACCACGTTATTCTGCTAAAATGAGATGTTTTTATTTGAACTCTAACCAGATGTTGAGTCCAGATGTTTCTGACCTTTTACTGTGATCACCACTTCAGAGCTGTTGGAGGAGAAGACTTTTGTCTCGTTGAACCTGTTGGTGACCTCACACCTGTAGGCGCCGCTGTCTTTAGAAGTGGCTCTGGGGAGAACAGATTGTTAATCCATGAAATTACAGATTACACCAATTGTGTGGTAATGGCCATTAATGTGAGGTTGGATTCTAAAATTAATAATCTGCTCTCCCACAGATCATTACCAGCATTTTCATCCATCCATCTTTTGGTAGGTTTACGGGCCTAACAAGCAAGACTAGACATCCTTCAGGTCCACCTGGGGATCCTGAGCTGTTCCCTGACCAAAGCATGTGTGTCCTCCTAGTGGGACGTACCAGAAGAACCTCCTGAGAACTTTCAGAGGCCCAAACCCTTTGATGTAGAGGAGCAGCAGCTCCACTCTAAGCTCCTCCCACTGACCTTTTCCTAGGAGCTGAGCCTTGGGTGGAGGTTCGTCCCAGCCACACGTTTCTCAGTCATATACACTTTAGAGGCAGGTTGGAACGCCCATGTGGATTAAATCCCCAGAAGAACTTTACTTTGTTTATTTATAAAGCTCCCTTTAGACCTCACCAGACACCCAGGGTGCTGAAAACAACGTCATTTATCAACATAAAACTATTAAAAACAGGTAATACAATAAAAGCAGGACTATAGTCAGCCTAAGTCTCCTACCTTTCCAGTCGGCTCATGGGTCCCCGGAAGAACGAAAAAACAAAAGCAGGTATGCGGGGCTAAAACGCCGTTTCCTAACCCACTTAGCCTTATCTCATACATGTTCTACCGCAATTTAAATGAAAAGTAATGATGGGTGTTTCGACCACGCCAGTCACGTACTTTGAGATTTATCAGCTTGTAAAAGTTTGTAATTAGCATGACTACAAACGAGAAATCAGCATATAAGCTCCGCCCCCCTAGCGTAGCTGCTACTCACCACATGACCAGATTCATGGTGGTTCTTCCCTCCTTTGGGAAGTTCGCTGAACTTACAGCCCTTTTCCTTCAGTTTTCTCCGTGCCTGGTTCGATGACGTCACTCTGGTGAAGCACATTTGTAGTCCTGGACTTAACTTTGCACAAAACCTAAAATAACGTTCCCCCGTTAGAAAATAAGCGCGTTCTTGGTATCAAAATGTGTCTTTAAAACTCACAGACATCAGATGTGACATCCATGGTACAAAACAAGCGGAATTAGAATATAGCGTTTTTAGCGCCGTTGACTTGCGTTCATTTTTTAGTTCTTCTGGGGACCCGTGGTCCGGAAGTAGGTGGGCGTGGGTTAGGCTCCCTATTGAGAAACACCCGATGACCTCAGTTTTATTGTCGTTTAAAAGCTAAACATTAGAAGCCATCCAAGCCCGAATATCCTAAAAACAGTCCAAAATAGTTGAACTGGAAGGTAGATTAGACAATCGTCAGCATAGAAATGGAATCGAAAGAACAACTTCACGGTTTCTACACGGTGAGATCAGTGAGAGCCTTTACCCGTGTAACCACCTCTAGTTCTGATTGTTCTGGTCGGATCGTTCCTGGACGTTCTCTGGTTTCTGGACTGACCTGTAGATCAGAAGATGATCGTCTTTAATCCGATGGAAGAGACTCGGAGAGACGAGTCGTGCGTTGTGCCGCCACTTGAAGGACAAATGATTGCCAGCTTTAACGGTACAGTTTAGCTCCAGGTTCCTTCCTTCAAAGAGCTCGTTTGGACCTGAGTAGACAACCTCTGCACCTTCGACTGGTTCTGAAGAACAGAGAGAGGCACACCTCATAATATTTAACTAAATAAGTTGTTTTTGTTATTGCATTTATTTATTAAGCCATATTTTCTTGTTGAACTTCTGCTGCATGTTGGCAGGATTTGGTTTGGAGAACTTTGTATTCTAACGTTGAGCCCAGAGGAACCAGCTGCTCTGCTCACCGATGACTCTGAACGGGAGGGGTTGGCTGACGGTGGGGATGGTCCGACTGCTGTTTTGTACGCTGGCCTCACACTCCAAGTCCCCCTCGTCTGACGGGGTGATGACTCTGGGAAAATACCCAACCTCGCCTCCCTTCAGGAGGCTGGAGACTCCCAGCACCTTCTGACGGTCTCCCTGCCTGGAACCAGACGGAGAATAAAAACCTGAAGCGTTGTGGATTTTAGATTTGAAATGCTTTTACTCACTTGAATAATCTCAGCAGGATGGACTGATTGTTTGGATTCGAAATTTCACACAGAAATTCAACGACGTCCTTCACCAGGGCCTCTGAGGGGCCGAGGAGTCGAGGATAGTCCAGCAACATCTGACCTGCTGAGTGAAAGATAAATAACCGCTTCAATAATGAAATGACAGTCCTGTAAGGACTATAGAGGATGGACTTACTGCTCTGTCTGCTGCAGCGGCACAAACCTGCAGGAATAAAGATGGTTGACTGCAAACAAAAACATTTCTAATCATGATGCAGTTTGGAGGGGAGTCTCTTACCCAGAAGGACCAGAGAGAAGAAAGGAGACATGTTGGTGAGAAGCGCTGCTAAACAGGAAGGCTGAGCGTTTCCTCTGCAGCGATTAAAAACAAACACTCAGAGACGCATGTGAGGCGCTGATAAAAGCCCTGCACCTCCCTGCTGTCGCCTCCTGCAACGCCTCAACCGACCATGAAACCAAAAACGTTTTCTAAATGTGTTCACCGGTACAAAAAACTCCTTAGAAACAAGCTTCACTGTGTTTTATTCTTCACAATTTCTCACTTATGTGTTCAAAAGTGTTTATGAGCATGTTTATTTCACAGCAAAGAGCCTAGATTATTCTTCTGGTGTCATCTCGGGGGCCTGAAAGAAAAACAGAAAGAAGAAAGTAGTTTATTGTTTTATGTTAATTACACTTTAAAACACAGTTTAAAGGAAGTTTACTGTAAAAGCTTAAACTGCAGCTAAAGCAGCACATTTTAGTCCTCGGTAAAATCTTCTATTTGAACCCAAAATGGATGATTCGACGTTGGTAAAAGGAACCCGGGACACAAATACAGCAGGATTTAAATCCCCTGAAGTTATGAGAACCAGGAAGAACTTAGAAGGAAACGTTCAAACGCACATCTACCTGATTCAGGAACTCAGTGATTCCTGTTGACCTCACCTGGTTCTGGACTGCAGACAGCACTGGAGCCTGCAGGGCCCCTGCATGAGACTCTGGTTCTGACAGATGAAGCGAGGGAGGGCTGGGATAAAAAAATATGTTTTTTTTTTGTCTTTTATTGTTTCTAAATATCGATGTTCTAGTAAACAACAGACTGAAAAATCTCACTTTAGTGAAGAAATGTTGGTGGAATCTGTAGAAAAAGGACAGAAACAGTTAATTTAATAGAATATATTTCTGTCTTACACACACACACACACACACACACACACACACACACACACACACACACACACACACACACACACACACACACACACACACACACACACGCGTACACACGCGTACACACACACACACACACACATGTACACACACACATGTACACACACACACTTGTACACACACACATGTACACACACACACACACTTGTACACACACACACACACACACACACATGCACACACACATGTACACACACACACACGTACACACACACACACACACATGTACACACACACACACGTACACACACACACACACACACACACACGTACACACACACATGTACACACACACACGTACACACACACACACACGTACACACACACACACACATGTACACACACATGTACACACACACACACACACACACTCACACATACATGTACACACACACACACACATGTACACACACACACACACACATATGTACACACACACACACACACACACAAACACATGTACACACACACACACACACACACACATGTACACACACACACACACTCACACATGTACACACACACATGTACACACACACACACATACATGTACACACACACACACACACACACATGTACACACACACACACACACACGCACACACATATGTACACACACATGTACACACACACACACGTACACACACACACACCTTGGTGGAACATCTTGCAGACACAGAGCACAGCCACTCCCAGCATCAGGAGGAAGAAACAGCAGAATAATAAGCTGATGGACTCAAAGGGGGACAGGAGAACCTCTGGAAGAGATGGACTACATCAGCATGAAGGCTGTTTTTATTCAGCATAGAAACTAAATCAAGTATGAAATCTAAAAGATCTACGTTGAGGTGTTTCCGTGGGCGACGCTCCTTGAGGCTTCAGGTAACGGATCTGGTCTGATTGATGATGTAACACACAGAAAAAGGGTTTTGTTCATTCTGAATGTAAATAACAGAAATGTGATGAAGCTACGGTCTAAAGCCACAGATTAAGATGTTCGTTGTTTCATCTGAATCAACCCAAAACCACGTCTCTCCCGTGTGGTGATGTCTCATGATCATATCTCCAGATTCCCACCACTTCTCGTGTTTAAAGGAGGTTTCGGTGAAAGAAAGTTACCTGTGATGTGGACCAACACGGCTGCACTCTGCACCCACGACCCCGAGGGGTCATAGCTGTCTCTGGCGCTGCACTGATAATACCCAGAATGCTTTGGGCTGAGCTCGGTGAGGATGAGGGTTTGACTCGGATCCCCAGGGCCAGGCTGGGATAGAACAAACTCAACATGACGATCCTCAGACGGAAGGACGGAGTTGTTGAAGAGCCAGGAGAAGAGCGGGAACGTTCCTCTGCTGATGTGACAGTTCATTCTGGCAGCAGCCAGCTCGGCCCCGGCGGTGTACAGATAATCCACCTGCAGGTTCACGTCCCCTCCAACCGGGACTGGAACAACGGGAATGATCAGAACCAAGCAGAACCAAGTCCCCACTTAAAGAATCACACGTTCATCTCACCTACTTCCAGAGTCACCGGCTCACTCTTCAAATCCTGCACCTCGGTTTTTACCCGACACCTCGCGTCACCCATGTCCAGTCCGATTACCATGGCAACGTCAAAACAAGCTGCGAGGGACTCGGTTGCTGTGATGGAGCCGAGCTCTTTGTCATCCAGGAGGAGAGAGAAGTTCACGGGAAGGCTCCCTCTGAGTGCCCAGCAGGTGATGTTGCCACGGTAACCGTCTCCGACTTTGAAAAGGGAGAAGGAGATCTTTGGCTTTGAAACGTAAACTAGAGGAAAGAGAGGAGAGGGTAAGATGTTGAAAGACGTGTGAAGCTAATGGTGCAGGCTTGTTCCTCAGGAAAAACTGGTCACTAATGTTTTTGCCTCTGTGTAAGTCTGCAGGTGTTGGCAGATTATCTGATGGTAAAACCTCCATGGTGCGTTTGTTTCTGGAGGGGTGGGATGAATTTTTGTTGCTTTATTCAGGAACCGCTTCAGAAGAGCAGCAGCTCCTAGACTGAAGGAGCAGTTTCTCACATTCATGCGATCCCTCACAACTCTGCTTTTGTTGGCGTTTACCTTTGACCGACACCGTGACCTCTGTGCTGGTGGAAAACCTCCTGATGTCCTGCACTGCCGACCACGCGATGCAGTAATAATTCCCAGCATTCCCCAAAGTCACCCTCTCCATCACAAGCTTGTTCCCGCTCAGGTTGAAGCCAGATATTATTTCCTTCCTGTTGAAATACCAGGTGAAGTACAGGTGGGAGCCCCTGTCCACTTCACAGCTTAGGAGAACCCGTGACCCCTCATACGCGACAGGAGGAGAGGGGTCAGAGGTCACTCTGGTGTTTGATGCCGGAGCTAGAAGTAAAAGGAATGACACACGATTGGGTTTGAAGTTTGGAGATGCTCCGGCAGAACATCTCACCCATACTCACTGACTACAGCCAGTCTGATGCTGTTGCTGACACCAGAGGTTCCTCCAGCTGTCGCCTCGCATCTGTACGACCCGTCTGATGATGCCTTCACCTTCAGGGAGAATGTGGCGTTCCAGTTCCATTTGTGACCGATGTGCATGGCGATTGGGAAACGCTTGTCCTTAATCAGCTTGTAGGTGACCGTCGGGGCGGAGTCAGGTGCAAAACACCGAAAAACAGCCCTTGTGTTGAGGTAGGCCATGTTAGGGCCGGTCAGCTGCAGGTGGAGCGAGGCTGAAGCACCTGAGAGCGTCATTTCTCAACTTCAACAACATTCCTTCATGTTACAGTCGATGTGTGAACACTGTAGTGTGGTATACACACACACACACATATATATATATACACACACACACATTTACATGTATTTCTATGCTGCTGATCTGCAGACCAAAGAGCACGAGGAGGGTAGTAGAATGAGGAGTTCGCTCTGATAGGGTTAGGGTTAGCATAGCAGAAAGAGAGTGGAGGTCAGGTGGCTGGGTCGCTCTAACATCGGCGGGACTAAAAACACCTCAAACACCTGCAGCCAGGCCTAAACTGAAGCACTGCTTTGCACTGTATTTGCAGTCCTGCAACACACATGGTCCTGCGTAGTGCACGCTATCTCATACACGGTTGGTTCACAGGGCGCCGTGTGGAAGACGCACTCAAGTTCCTGTGCAGCATGCCATGGTCCCTCATACTGAGAGACGGGCTGTGAGGAAAAGAAGCAACCTGATGACAGATCTGTGGTTGTGTTTCTCTAGAAGACCTTCTGGGAAGCACACCAGCAGGACCTAGTGAGGTCAGACGATACCAGCTGTCTCCATCAGCTACAGGCAATGTGAGCGTCACCACCATCGCCATGAAGCACTCAGTGTCAGGGTCAAAGGTCAAAGGTAAGCGTAACTGTCCCTCACATTTACAGTGTTGGTGAGATCCAGCAGCAGCTGAACACGTACCTCATCAGAACCGCAGAGCTACAGGTACCTGTGTGATGGGTTCTGCCTCGTGAACTCATTTCCACTGATGAAGCTGAATTCCACCTGAGCAAAACAAGACGACGGGGTCATGATGTAATTGGCCAAAGGGCAACTGTGCACGCTCCAGGGCAGCACGGGGGGGAAATATCAGAGTGTGTGTCACCAAAAGCCTTTCAGGGCTTCTGCATCATCACACAAAACAGGTCCTTACAACAGCCAGCATACATCAGCTTGGAGATGGTGCACATCTGACCGCCTGCAGGCCTCTTCTGCAGACAACGGAACAGGCCTGCAGCGACGTTCAGGTGACATCAGTGCTGGGATGGTTGTGATACGTAGGAGGTCTTTTCCCCAGACGGCGGGATCCACGAGTCCACTTATGCACACGATGTTCGGTGTTTACGGTGTAGTGTGCTATTTAACACCGAGTAGGTCTCTTTGCTTCGGAATAAAGACTACAGTGTTTCCTATAAAGTGGACTGGTCTGCCCCTGATCTGAGTGTGTCTGCATAGGATGCAGGTACGTGCCGGTTAGTCATCAGTTACAGTTAGACAGTATTGTTGGGTTTGACAGCTTTAGTTCTGGCCCAATGAGCCGAGCTGAGCAAAGGGTTAGAGTTCAAGCAGCGACTGTAAATAACTAGCAGAACACCATATCTGAAGAAGCAACTTACTGATCTCAGAGAGCAAACATGCCAGAGCTGGAAAATAACAAACATGAAAGGTTTTTAGATGAGTGTCAAAAATTAATTAAACTCTCTTAACTCACCTAAAATCATCACCAAATTAAAGTGTGCTAGATCTTCATCACAGGGCTTTGGATGCATCCTCTGGTGTGTGGGTGTGGGTGTGTGTGTGTGTGTGTGTGTGGGTCTGTGTGTGGGGGGACTGAGTCATGTGCTGTTGCACATATGTTGTGAGCAGATAGCATGACAGCGCACGTTCATCTATGACCTCACACACATGCAGACTCAGAAAAGTGTTTTTGTCACAAAGACTTTAATAAAAACAGCAGAATGACGTTAAAAGTCTCTTCAGGTGTGAAGCGGACCTGCTACTGACACACACCTGTGTTAAAGATGTCAGGAGTTCATTACATAGACATTAATGAGCAGACATTCGCTGTTTGTGCACAAAAACATTCAAGGGCTCAAGCTCAGCTGGCTGTAGAAAGCCTTCCAGCACCAGCAAAAGGAAAACACGTCTCTGCTCGTGAATGCGTCGTTCACCAGTCCTGTTGTCCAACACGAGGACGTTAACCAGCTGTTTCCTGTGAAGGACGTGCTTCTGGCGCGTGTTGGTCCCTGGTAGCACCACGGCCTCTGCTGGCATTCCTTCCACTTCTCAGCATTGTGGCGTGCTGCTTCACCAGGAAGCGTTTATCCGAGCTGATCTGCAGCAGAAACAGAAAAAATGTTGTCCCTCATATTTTCAGCTTCATGAGTCTTTTTTATTTTTAGACCAAAATAAAGTCACAGAAATACGATAAATTTATTTCTAATGATTTTCCTACATTTCCAATAGTAAACAGTCCATGATCTTCTTTTCTAAGACAGTCGTGTGATGTCTCACCATGACCAGCATGTCCTTTAGTCTTTCAATGGCTTTCTGATTGGCTCGTCTTCTTGACACATACGAGGTTAAGAAGATGCTGAGAACCCAGATGTTTCATATTTAAACAACCAATCAGGATGCTTCGCGGGTGTTTTTGGGATGGGAAACTCACATCTCAGCTAGGATGAGAGGCAGGGCAAAGGCCGCCGAGGACAGGAAGTGCAGAGCGACCTGGGCTGAGCTGGGGAGACTTTTTACACACGACTCGGTCACATTAAACAGTGTTTGTCCCTTTTCCAAGGGCCCACAGGGAAACCTGCAGCAGCAGAAATGCATGGATGAATGGATGGACACATGAATGGATGGATGCATGGACACATGGATGGATGGATGGACACATGGATGGACACATGGATGGATGGATGGATGGATGGATGGATGGATAGATGGACACATGGAAGGATGGATGGATGGATGGACACATGGATGGACACATGGATGGATGGATGGATGGATGGATGGATGGATGGATGGATAGATGGACACATGGATGGATGGATGGATGGATGGATAGATGGACACATGGATGGATGGATGGATGGATGGATGGACACATGGATGGATGGATGGATGGATAGATGGATGGATGGATGGATGGATGGACACATGGATGGATGGATGGATGGATGGATGGATGGATGGACACATGATGGATGGATGGACACATGAATGGATGGATGGACACATGGATGGACACATGGATGGATGGATGGATGGACACATGGATAGATGGATGGACACATGAATGGATGGATAGACACATGGATGGATGGATGGATGGATGGATGGATGGATGGATGGATGGATGGATGCACACATGAATGGATGGATGGACACATGGATGGATGGATGGATGGATGGATGGACACATGAATGGATGGATGGACACATGGATGGATGGATGGATGGATGGATGGATGGATGGATGGATGGACACATGAATGGATGGACACATGAATGGATGGATGAAACATCTAAATGTGAGAATAAAACCCAACACTGAAGGCTTTACAGAAGAGTGACAGAACTCAGTACCTGTCTTCAACTTGGTAGAAATCAAAGATGAGGGCGGCTGCAGCCATGAGGAGCCCCAGTAGCAACATGAAGTGGAACAGAACGGAGGAGCTGGAGGCTCGAAACATCTGCTGCTCCGCCACACAACACCGCAGGATGCCGAACTGGAGATGCACAGACAGACACGTGAACCAGAACATCATTGGTGCTTTCCAGGTGGTCTGACTCTGTCCCACACACCCCACCCTCTGGTGGAGCAGCTCAAAGCTCTAAGAGTGCCTGGAGGTGTCCACATGGTTTCCACACTAACAGCAGAAGATCAGAAAAAATGCTGGAAAAACCTTTTTAATGTAGAAGGTGGCCATCAGTGTGGCGGTTCCGATCAGAGGCAGCAGAGGGCAGTAGTACACTCCCACCCAGGTCACCGTCTGAATGTAGACCAGGTCCAGCACATTCAAGGGGATTAGGAATCGTTGTTTCCCTGACAGCCGAGCCAGCAGAGATGCTGGGTACTTCTCCTGCAGAAGCCTGCCAGCGTAAGGACAAAGATCAGAAACTCTGTTCATCACTGAAACCCAAAGATGCTGTTGGTCCGAGCCAAACCCACTTCCTGGGGTAGCTCAGGAGAAAGGTGCTGCAGAAGGTGGTGAGGAAGTTGAAGACACACAGCTTGTACATCTCTCTGCCAAACTGGTTTTCCCTGCAGTGAGAATTCTGTTTCTGAAAAACAAACAAAGAGAACGTTTGGAAGTGTTCTTATGGAGAAAAACAGCGTTTATGGTTGAACACCGCTCACACTGAGGTCCGATCTTAGGACAGAAACCAAGTAGATCCCCAGGGAGGACAACTTCAAGAAGATGCTCCTAAAAAGAACAAAAACAAGAGTAAATTTGCCCGTTTTACATCACAACAATAAAGAAAAACAAATGCATTCAACAGGGAATCAGAAAGCAGCAGCTTCTCCAGCCCGTCATGCTTTCATCACCTCACGCATGCATGCACACTAACCCAGTCACAAATTCACCCCCATCTTTCAACTCAAATTCTTTTATGTACATTTTCTTTTTCATTGTGCAATATTTGGACTTTGCTTCATTTCTTCATCGAGACCATTCCATAAGGTTACTGCACACAATGATGAGCACATGCTTTTAGGAGCGCTGTAACTTTAAACTTAACCTGTGCCAAATCCATAAATTTCATAATTGAGATTTTATAAAAAGTTGATTTGTTTGCATTACCCAACATTATAAATTATATTTTTTGCAAATCTTTGTGGAGAACTTTTATTTCCCCAGACAGCTCAGTAATCTCAGATGGGTTCCCCAGACAGCTCAGTAATCTCAGATGGGTTCTTAAGTCATCGCTTTGGGATCAGCTTAATTTGACACAAACGTGGCAAGCACACGTTCTTGACAATCCTTGTCATCGTGAGCATAATAAAGAGTAGAAATAAAAATTAACGACGTGTGTTAAAGGAAGGGGGGGGTTACCTTGTAAAGGAGAAGTGCTCGCTGACACATGTAGACAGATTTCAGAACAATATATGAGGTATTTTGTGTGTTGGTGGCCCTGATCCTCAGGCTACCAACACAGATGCTCTCCACACCTCAGCTGCACCTAGAAATCCTTCCATGAAGGTTATGAACAGAATCGGTGACCAAGGGCAGCCTTGGTGGAGTCCACCTCTCACTGGGAACAAACCCGACTTACAGCAGACCAGGCTCTGGCACTGGTTGTAGGGATCCAACAGCCCGTATCAGAGGGCCTGGTACCCCATACTTGCAATGTACCCCCAGAGGGTAATCTTAACTATGGTTAGGAGTCACATAATCCACTGATAGTTTTCCAGGTCATCCATCTCCTGGATGACTAGAACTTCAGCTTGCTCTAGGGCATGGACATAGCTATGGGGGGTAAGGGGGGGACATACCCCCCCCCCCCCACACACACACACACTTTTTCCAAAGTCCGTTTTTGTCCTCTGCACTTTTTACCGTCCAAAACCAACATTACGCTGTATTAAACACACTGGTGGAGCTCTGGGACCAGGTGGAAAACAACCAAGTGTGTTGAAGCCTGTTTCCCATCAGAACCGTCCAGAAGCTCATCTATTGGCTCTGCTGATGCTTGCTAACGTGTGATTGGCCGTTCCTGCCACCTGTGAACTTGACAGTTCTGCACTGCTGACATTGCATAAAACTTTCTAGGCTGCAGTGTTATACACATTTTTGTATACTTACTGTAAAGACCCCCCAGTCCTCATACCAGTTGTGTCCCGTCCACTTCCCAAGTCAAACAACGTCCATGCTCTGGGGTACCATTCAGCTGTATTACTACCTTACAGATGTCCATGTGGACTGTGTTTAAACCCTGCTCATCCGGCTATGTCTACAGTTTTTAATAGACCGTGTTCGTGTCTGTCTCTGTAGTGGCTTCTCATGTCTTCTATGGACGAAGCGGATATAATGGCCAGTTTTTCATTCTTGTTCTTCTGATGGAACGCTTCCTTGTTCGCTAATGCACACCCTTAGATACAAAGATGTAGTCACTTGTTGCTCCGAGGACGGCAGCTCCTGCTCCATGGGTGCCCGGCTCTCTGCCGCGGTTTCCATCCCACAGACTATCACGTCATTCATTCTGGAATATTGATCCAACTCACTGACTCTGCTTTCCAAAAACGCTATCCTTTTGTCCTTTTCTTCAAGTCGTCCTCTAAGGTCTTTCATCTCACCCAGGATCACTTTTGTTGTTTGGAGATTTTGAAATTTCTTCTGACACGAAGTTAAGTGACTTCCTTTTCTCATCCAACTCACCTTCATTAACAGCATTTCTTTTTGGAGGCATATTGCGTCAGTCTCACCTCTTCTGCAGACGATTGTCCATTTTACTGCTTAGCACCCAACCTAGTGGTCTGCCTGGGTGACGATGGCACAGGCCTGGTGGTTGATGATGAAGTCAGGTTGCCAGGGCTTGTTGGTAGATGGTGAAGCCAGATGATAATGCCTAATGGTGGATGGAGTAGCCTGGCAGCCGGGCGTGGTGGTAGATGGTGCTACCAGATAGTTAGGCTTGGTAATGGATGATGAAGCCAGACATCAAAGCCTGATGATGGGGCTCTCCAAGGGGCCAGCAGAGGTCCTCACAAAGATGATTCCCTGAGTGGTAAATGTTTGGAGGCTATAGTGTCTTGGCCCGGGCTTGTTCTGATGGTTAGCCTGAAGCCTGAGCCTGGCCTAGTGGATGATGTGGCGCCTGAAGCCTGAAGCCTGAGCCTGGCCTAGTGGATGATGTGGCGCCTGAAGCCTGAAGCCTGAGCCTGGCCTAGTGGATGATGTGGCGCCTGAAGCCTGAAGCCTGAGCCTGGCCTAGTGGATGATGTGATGCCTGAAGGCTGGAGCCAGACCTGGCCTAGTGGATGATGTGGCTAGGTAGATTGGCTTTGCTCTGCTGCTTCTCAGCTCTTCTAAATCTGTTTTCTTCCTCTTACCTCACAAGTGTTGTGTTGACTTGAACAGTCAAGGAGTAGTCTTCATAGGACGAGATCTTAGAGAAGATGTGAGGAAGGAGCAGGTTCACAAATGTAATGGTGATGGGAGGAAGATACTGTAGGAGCAGTCTGGCCAACCAGGAGCTGTTTCCACTCTGGAAAAAAAAAAAAGCTCACAGTTATTCTTTAACAAATAAAAAGCATTCAGCCAAGTCCTCGGGAGCCAGTCGTTACCGTTGTGAGGGACGTCGTGGAGAACCAGATGAGGCCAAAAGCTCCAGCCAGCAGAGATAAAACCAGCAGGTTGAGGATGAATCTGAGCAGGTAGAGACTCACCTTCTGTCCAAGTGTCCTCTGAGCTTTACGCAAGGAGAAGCTCTGCTCCTCCAGGAACAGCTGGAGGTTTCAGAGCAAGTTTTACAACAGTTGAAACCGGACACAGAGCCTCATCTGCCTGCTCACCTTGAGGTCGTTTCTTATGAAGCTGTGCTTCAGAGCAGCAGCTGAAGCATCCTGGATGTTGAAGTCCCACCCACAGAAGATCTTAAAGCTCACGTTCACGCTGGAACGCTTCCTGAGCATCCAGGTGTGCTTGTAGCCGACCATTGTCCTGTGTCAGGTGAGCAAATGTAAGAGAAACCACAGAGAGCGGTACTCCATATGATCAGGCCTACGAGTCGTCAACCTGCGAACCACCATGATGAGACTGAGGAGGAAGACGGAGAGGATGCCAGCCACGTACAGCAGAGGGGTGTTCAGGCAGGCCAGTCTCAAAGAGCCTTGTGTGTAGAAGCCCCAGAACACAGGAGAACGGTGCAGAAATCCCTGTAAGAAACCAGAACGGTCACACACACCACTCGTATGGAAAACTTTCATCTCTTTTAAACGGACAAACTCGTACCGTTCCAAGGAAGACGTCCAAAATGGAGTCCGTTTCATTAAACATCAAACTTTCTGTAAAATATCCAGCAATGTTTATTTTGGAGCTTCAGAACCATTCAGACAAACTCGACTCCTGTTGAAGTCACTTTTCTGCATCTTACTCACTGATGTTTTGGCCGTAACCCAGAGCAGGTCCCAGGATGAACCCCCCGATGAGAGCGCAGTGCAGCAGGTTTAAGTAAACCAGATATCTGAGGAAAACAAAATAGGACTTCACTCCCACTCCAAACCTCCCTGCAGAAGACGGACCAAGGTCAGAAAGTCAGGGAGCTGTCAGCACAGCTTACAACAGGTGCACAAGTCTAAGTTACCTTGGAGTTTGTGGAGTGTGTGTCGCCACGGCAACAGGCTGGCCACCACCTCTCCCATCTGATTCCAAACCCTTTTCCCGTTGATGCTCTGGCTCCGCCTCCAGGACTCCCAGAAACCGATGTTGCTGATCTGCATCTTCCTCCTTTCTCTGGTGTGTAACAGGTAACAGGTGTGTTATTCACTCAGGACAGGTCCGTTTATGGAGCCTCCCACGTGCTGCATAACACCCAACACCATTTTAATCACCCACTTGTGTTGGAAAATAATTAGTTGAAACCTGAGGAAGTAGAACAGACAAGAAAAGAGGAGAGGAACTGATGGAGCAAGAAGGAGGAGGCTTGAGGAGGAAAAGCAGGAAGAATCTGCTGCAGCCTCAGAGGACACACTAGAAGCTGCATGTGGGGTTTGAAGTGTGGACCGCTGCGTTTGTTAAAAGATTTGTGACACAATAAAGACGATCGCTGTCAAAAGGTTTGGTTGCTTATCCTGTTTGAAATCATTTTCATGTAAGTGATTTAAGCTCGTTGGACATGCCGACCTCCCTCGCTAGCTTCTACCATCACCTGCTGTGTTCAAGGAAACTTCCATCAGAGTCGCTTCCTGGTCTCAGCCTGTCGCAAAAATCGAATCCTGGATATTCAGAGAAAGTTTATGGAACCGTTGTGTTTCCTAAAGCTGCTGTAAACCCTCCCCAGAGCATCAGACAATGCAAATTAGCATTTTCTTTGATACCTTTTAAATGTCATTTATGTTGATTATGAACAGTTTGGGGCCAAAAACCGACCCTTGAGGAACACCACAGTTACATCCCGGTAAGCTGATTTATATTCACCCATTAAACGGTTGTCTGTTTCTTTATGTGACCAAATATCCAGGCAGATGCTCTAATTCAGAAACAGGAAAAAGAAAATCTTCAGATAGCATGAACCTTTGCATGAAGACATTTCTGACCTGGTTCCTCTCTTCCCCTGCATGCACATGGCTAGGTTTCTGAGTGACTGCAGAGTCTTCTTGTCTCTGGGTTCTTTGGGCAGGAGCCCGTGGTTAAAGTCCTCCACCGACCCAGGAGCACCCTCGCAGGCCTCAGGGGCGTCCACAGCACCATGTCTGCTGGGCAGCAGGTCAGATATCTCTGTCTGGTAGATCTCGTGGTCTGACTCTGAGGACAGGGTGGAACGAGTGCTCTCCTCTGCAATGACAGTTAGACGTCATACAGTGTTTTGCTTTAACAGAAGACAAAGAGGGTGTTTTGTTCTAAAGAACAAGCTACTTGTCTCTTGGAAAAGAACACGGTACTGTGTTAAACAGTTAATTATTATTAATGGAACGGTCTGTTTAGATGAGTACAAGGTGGAGATGTTTGACCATGATGCTGTGTGCCATGGCAGAGGAATGATCACTCATCATGAGCACAAACGTCTCGCTACTCTGAAGTACGGAGGAGGAATGTTGATGATTTTGCTGCATGAATGTCTCTGTCAACCAACACTTTTTAAACATAAACACACAAAACAGTTTTCTGAATTATGTCAGACCGACATAATCGAACTCAGCTGAAAGCAACACAACCCTCGTGCACTTGTGCACACCAAAAATGACATCCTGTGGACAAAAAGGCTCGAGATCTACAAACATTTGCAGAAAATACAAGTTGTTGTTTTACTATCAAACGAAAAATATGTTTAAAAAGTCGTTTACCTGATAAGAGTCTCACAAATGTAGGATTTTTCTGGTCCTCCATCCCCCGTGCTTCCTCTGGTTGACGCTTTAGAACCAACACACCTCACTCACTCCTGAAAGTTCAAGCTACGGACAGTAAGATGCTACTTCCGCGACGAGCACCCTACCCATCCTTTCACTGCCTGACTGGAGGCATCGTGTGGAAGTGAAAAGGGCCAATCAGCCTTCTGTCAGTATGTAGCAGGTGGAGCAGTTGCCTCATCGGTCCAGACTGAGACAAAATGTGACTTACAGGAAGTCACATGACAGGATGCAGAAGCTAGAGTTGGTTAGGTTGGGGACAACATTGCTAGATGACAACACGCTCACATGGAGTGGGTCAGGAAGATGATTAGTTTTGATTCATGTTTTGTTTAGATGTACACACTTGCATCTGTAAAATTGTGAAATCCAAAAAAGATCGGATTTCACACTAATTATTCAGTAGCAGTTTGATGTCAGTGTTTTCTCAGGAATTCATTTCCTTTGGGTCTAAAACTGGAGCTAATGCTGTCATGATGGGCGTTGGTTTTCTGAGCCACATGCAGAATCAGCCCAGGACCCAGGGGAGGAGGTCGAACACGTTTATCACAATTTACCTAATAGAACAGTAAAGAGCTGCTGATCTGATTCCCTGCAGTGTTTCTGGCTTTGAGACGCATCTAAGGCGGGGGGTTGTGGAGATCAGGTGAGTGGCTCAGGTGAGAGACTGGCCGCAGGTAGGCGGGTGCAGGTGGGCTGCTGACAGAAGGACGTGAAGGCAGACGGAGTTTCCAGAAGTTATGGAGGAATCAGATGAGCGGTGAGAATAAAACTGGGAGGTGCAGGAAAACAAGTTAATAGGCAAACTTCCAAAATACTTGACCAAGATCACAAAGGTTTCTGTTGCTGGAATCCACCAAAGGAGTGTAACCATCCAGCAGGGTGACGTCGTCCTGCTGCTCCCTTCATCCCAGGAAACACTCCAGGGTTGGGCAGGTTTGGCGTTCCAAATGGAGACTATTGCACAAGTAGTCACTAATGGGCTTGTCGGGAGGCAAGAGCGTCTACCCAGGAAAGGTTTCACCATTTCACCAAGATAATGTAGCAAGAAAGCTTTTTGCACCCACTCAGTCCACCGCAAAGACGTCTGAGGCTTCCAGTCCACATCTTTTACAGAGAAAATGAAAGCGCCACATCATCTTAGGCCGTTTCATCACTGTTGGTTGCAGTTCTGAAGCTTTTAACTAGTGCATTTAAGCATGCTAATGTATGCTAGCAGAGGAGCTTTAATTCCACGTCCTGCCTTCAACTCTTCAGAGTCACTGTGTGAAACTAAACTAGTGCAGAGTTACAGCAGTTGCAGTTATCAGCTTTGTTAACCGTTTTTCTGAAGAAACATTCACATTAAAATGAGCAAAGATTCGTCCGTTAATACACAAAAAGGACTTAAGGAGTGAAAACCCTTCAGCTAATGTGTCCTTCATGCCGTTCAAGAGTGTTTCAACACCTTTTGCAGCTTTAAAATGTTCCTCTGTGGAAAAAATGTGTTTTGGTGTTCTAACCCAAACCAACACGTTGTGTCATGAGGTTACGCTGATGGGGCTTAGAACGCCCACTGCTTCTTGTTTTATATAGCTCAGTTTACAGTATTTATGGGTGTTATAACAGGTTTCCGGCTCTGTCTCCACGTGTGGGTGACAGAGCCTCGTTGCTGTCCATTGTGTTTTAGTATTTGTTCTTCTTAGGGAGCTTAAATGGAGCTAAGTTGAGGTCAAGGTTATCAAAGTTGTGGCCTGGGGCCGTTTGCGGCCATCAGAGTCATTATTCTAGAAAATCTCCAGCAGCCCGTTGAGGCAGATCAACATTCTTTTTGACATTTTATGTTCATATTTTTCCCAAAAGGTTTTTGAGAAAAGCACAAAAATAAAATTTCCGTAAAATAATTGTTGTATTTTTTTAATACAAATATTACACTTTGGACGCCCACACGGACTTTTTTTTGGCAACGCTCGTCTTGAACAGTTTGGAGACCCCTGGCTTAGATTATAGTACCTTTAGGTTTACAGTGACCAGCCTATGTACATTTTAGTACACGGGGACATATACACTGCAGTGAGAAAGTAGTACAAACTGTACCTAAGAGGGGGAGTAATACTTCTTTTGTTCCCTTATTTTTAACTGTGCAATCTATCTCCTAAAACATATCAAACTTCTTAAAACTGAACATTTTTAGTTACTTCCTTTTCAACAGTTGTCAGTTTTTCCCGTTTTTACAAAGACATGAGTGAAAGGGTCAGGTGGACATGTAGTGATCATACTTGGTGATTAAACTCCGCCCTCGTGGTCTCGCGTCGTTCATGACATCGTTTTCCACGCCCTGGGCCAGGGTCGGTTTCCAGCATGTTTACCCTACTTCAACTCACCTGATTTCAATCAGCTGGTGACTAACAGCTTCTGCAGCGCCGTATGAGCTGCTGCAGGTGATTCAACCACTGATTCTAGTGTGTCGGAGCAGAGGAACCACTGAAACGTGCTGGATACTGGCCCTGCCCATGGCCCTGATGACCAAAGCCCGAGTTCACGAACACGACCCAAACAAAAGAACAAAAAAAGTTTAGCAGCGAATCAGACCGAACCAAGTGGGTAGAATCTGCGGGGGTCACGTTTACATTACGTTATTGTGAGTTAAAGATGTCGCCAGTTGGTGGGATGAGAAAAACTAAAATAGCATCTCAGAATAAAATAAATGTATTTGAAATCCGAATAAAAGTGTAAGGTTTAGGTTGTTTGAGTTTAAAGAGTAAACCGGGAAGTGGCTCCTCCCGCTGCTCTGCTGCATGCGCGTGCAGCTTTCTGCCGCCGCTGCTGAGAACTGGTCCGACAAGTCACCAGACAGGTAAGAGAACAGCTGTTCCCAATAAAATTGTTGTTTCATTAGTTTTATCAGACCACATCCTCGTTGATGAAGATGCAGAACCTGCTCGTCAGCTCTTGACACAAACACAAGACGCGTTTCCGTCGCCGCTCGCTGACCGTTAACAGTTAAGCTAGCCGAAGTCTGACCACAGTTTAACTTAACGGGCACAGGTGGCATCAGTGTGTTGCTTTGATGTGTGCTCGGAAATCAGAGTGTTGCAGAGAGTCTTCTCGAGCTAACGGCAGTCTTTTCTTCCTGGCAGGGAGGTGTAGAAATAAGAAATATATTTTTAAACATGTTTATTGAATCCAATCAGAAGCTTTTTATCGTTTTTCTGTCTTTCATTATGAGAATAGTGTAGTCGTGTGTTTTCTAGTCATATAGTCAGTAGTCATAGTTGTGTGCACAGACTCTTCTGCCCAGTCATTATTCTGGTCTGAAACCCTCTTCAGAGGATTGAGTCGTTTTGCTGTGTTCACCAAACCCTTGTACCACCCAAACGTGTGCGCACGGATTTCCACGAGCTGCCTTTGTGATTTACACTATTTACCTCATCTCTGCCACCATGGCTCTTATCTCTCACAGCTTCCCTGGGTTTCATTTGAGTGATTAGTTTTACGGTCCTGGAGGCAACGTTCCTGTGTGAGGTTTCCATCTGACTGTGTTCTGCTGAGCTGCTCATTGTTTCCAGCAGTTCCTCCCTGAGCTAGTCAGCTGTTTGGTCCCATAACACCCTTCCCAAGGTACACAGCCTCGTCCAAAGCTTAGTATCTCAGTAACTTTGCGTGCCAACGTGTTCGCGTGTAAAGACATGAAACTAACCACTTGTTTTTCCAAACTATGTATGTTTCACTAGATGTTCTCGTTAACAAGTTGGGACTTGCCTGAAGTTGCTTTTTAATTTGAGATATTTGAAATATTTTAGTCGGTGAGCACCACTGCTTTCAAACAGAGGCTTTCAAAAACAACCTCGTGTTTAGGAAGTTAATTTAGTTGTTGCATGTAAGCAGGAAGTAGATCTGATATTTGATGCCTCTTTTTCAGTCTTGGATGTTTACAAATAGAACATTTGTTATCTCCATACCATACTATACCATACCAACTTTATTTATAAAGCACATTTAAAAACAGCATGGCAGCCGACCAAAGTGCTGTACAGAATAGAAAGTAAAAACACAATATAAAACAGTACACGGTCAACAATAAAATACACAACAAGGCAGATGATCACAGTCAATAAAAAGACACATAGTAAAATAATAAAAGTCAACGATTTAAAAATGCCTGGTTGTAAAAGTGAGCCTTAAGTAGCGACTTGAACCGGAGGAGGGATGGTGCCTGCCTCACTGAAAGAGGAAGAGCATTCCAGAGTGTCGGAGCAGCATAGACAAAAGCACGCTGCCCCCGCGCTTTGCATTTCATTGTTGGAACGCGAAGCAGCAGGCAATCAGCAGATCTCAACACCCAGTTTGGCACATAACGAGTCACAAGATCAGACAGGTAATCCGGAGCCAGACCATTCAGGGCCTTAAAAACAAAAATCAGGATTTTAAACTTGACTCTGAAGTTTACGGGTAGCCAGTGGAGCTGCGCCAGTACAGGTGTGATATGGTCTCTTCTAGGGGTGTTTGTTAAAAACCTGGCTGCCGTGTTTTGTACGACCTGAAGCCTGTTAAGAGTGGAGGCAGGTAAACCAATTAAAATGGAATTTGCATAATCCAGTTGGGAGAAGATAAAAGCATGAATTACGGATTCTCCTAAGTAGTTTAATCAGTGTTTCATTTTTGATGGCGTCCTGGCTCTAGCAGCTTTTCTCTGCTTTTATAGCACCACTGTCTGTGAAAGTTTGTCTTGCATTACTTGGTTCATTATTTCAACACAGCAAAATACCGTATTTACCCGAATATAGGACGACCCCTATTATAAGACGACCCCCCTTTCCAAGAGATTAATTTTAAGAAAAAGGCAAAATTCACTTTTTAAAGAAAATATTTAATATTTGAAAAATTTTGGTAAATACAGTAATACCGTAATTACAGACTACTTTAATATTTACCTATTAATGCAATCACAAAAATCTGTTATGAAGCTTTTGGGGTTCTGTCAGGAAATCAATCAAATGTTATTTATATAGCACTTAATCAAACAAATAAAATCCAACTCAAAGTGCTTTACACAAATGGTACTGAACAAAAAAAAATCCCCACTGTAGTCAAACTGTAAGAACTTCTCTTAACATGTCAAATCAAGTTATTTCAAAAGTCTGCATGAGGCATTTACTCACAGATGTCCTCTGCTTCGCTCTGCTCAGAGTCACTGTCACTCTCACGCTGCGGTCCCGCCTCCTCCCACAGAATGTCATCCTCACTGCCATCCAATGCATTGGATATGCAGCACTTTTTAAAGCCGTTGATGATGCTCTCTGCTGTTACTGCATCCCATGCCTGGAGGATCCATTCACAAAGCTGATGTACAGTCGGTTTTTGAATTTTTCCAGACGGTGTGAGAGCGTGATCACCGGACAGGAGCCACTCTGTGTACCTCCTGCGCAGGTTGTCCTTGAAAGGCTTGTTAACCACCACATCCAGCACCTGCAGCTGGCTTGTCATCCCGCCCGGTATGATAACCAGGTCGCCGTTCATCTTCCTCACCTGAGTTTTGACAGCGTCAGTCAGGTGTCCACGGAACGCATCCATAATTAGCATGTTTCTCTTTTTTCTGAGCGCGCCGCGTCGCGTTCCCCACACCACTTTCAGCCAATCGACCACAAGTTCGCTCTCCATCCAGCCTTTCTCCTGGGCTCTCACAATAATGCCAGCTGGCATTGGCTCTTTCGGCACAGTTTTGCGTTTTAAAATCACATACGGGGCCAACTTAGTCCCGTCTGCCAGGCACGCCAACATGACGGTGATCCGATTCTTCTCATTTCCAGTTGACTTCACAATAACAGACTTCTCACCTTTTTTGTGCACAGTCACAGATGTAGGCATGTCAAAAAACACCGGTGTTTGGTCGGCATTCCCGATCTGATCCAGTGTGTAGGAGTGTTTTTTCCTCAAGCCAATCACATAGCGCTGAAAAGACTGCAGCTTCTCTGCGAAGTCTGATGGCAGGTGCTGGGCAAGGCTGGTTCTGCATCGCAGCGCGAGGCCGCTCCGGCGCATCATCCTTATGCACCAGCCGGTGCTGGCTTTAAACTCTGTGGTCGGTATGTTTAACTCCTTGGCAATGTTCAAGGCTTTGAGCTGGATGATTGCTCTGGTAATGGGCAGACCTTCATTACGTTTCTCAGTAACAAACTCACACACCCGCCTGTCAATTTCTTGGAAGCGGCCGCGTTGTGGACCACGAAAAGCTTTTCTCTTTCTGTTAGCATTTTTCAGACTTTCTGGATGCGCCATCTTCGGACGTTACACTCCGTAACGCCATATTTTCTGGCTGCCTGGCAGTTGTTAGTTGCTTCTGCTGCGTTGACAACCATCATTTTGAAGTTTGCGTCGTAACTCTGCCGCAGCTGTTGGTTAACTTGCCTAGTTTTAGATCCGCTTAACTCCAGATTCCTCCCCGCCATTTTTCTTCTTTAGTTCAATGACCTCACCACGACCTCTGCTTAGTCGGCGATTATAAGACGACCCCCCCTTTTGCATAATTGTTAATTAAAAAAAAAACCTCGTCCTATATTCAGGTAATTACGGTAGTTGTTTTATCTTTTTTTGCTGACGTTTTGACCACCACTGCGGTCCTCCTCAGAGCTCGCCGCTGTTGGCGGTGTCACTTCCTTCTCTGTTTATCCACGAGCAGCAGAGGGCGGTGTCACCCTCTGTTGCCCGTGCTCTCCTTGCCGATGATGACTAGGGCAGAACAAGGATCATAAACGCCATATAACAAAAATACAGAAGATGGATTAATTAAGCTATAGAAATAAGGCGCCGTGGACTAGGGTTGTCACGATACTAAAATTACAAACTCGATTCGATACTGGAAAAAAAACTCGATACTCGATTTCGATACTATTTAAAAACACCAATTTATTGAACAAGTTTATTCAAAAAATAACATTCCTCAATTTATATTGCAAAAATTAAATGTTAAGAATTAAGTGTGTAAAGTGCTTAAACCTTTCAAGTATCAGCATTTTTTAAAACGTGCATACAAAAACTGGCGAAAGTTAACACTTTAAATCATGAATTGTCTCACTATATATACACTACTTGCAGAGTGATGTTTTGCTGCTTAAACTCTGTTTAAGGTGCATTTTTGTCATAAGATGTAATGCCATATGTTTTGTTCTGTACTTTTGAAAAACTCTGTTGGTCAGTAAAGGGAGAAAACAAATTTCTCCACAGTAGGACAAAGGTACATCTACCGATAATCTTAATAAAAACAGATTGGCGCACGGCAGTGACGTCATTAAAAGCGCCGGTTAGATTAGCCGCAGCTAGTCTGTTCACGCCTAGAAATCCCAGACTTGCTCCAAATGAACAGGGGAATCATGTTAATGATTCCTAACAAAACCTTTCGACATTGAGATGTTTTGGTCCAGATAATGTCTTATTTCGAGGCTGCACCATGGGTGCCCTTCCGCACCCGTTATATGGATATACACTGATGGCGATTCGCCGATGGATCTAAATACCCCGGGGGATCCAAGTAGCACCAAAGTTGTCAGCATGAGTAAACAAATGTACTGCATGCTAGAAATTAAGTCCGGGTTGCAATAAACGGGAGTTTTCCTTTAAGCACATACCGGTAAGCGTGAATATACAACTACGTGTCAGACTTGGTATGCTAATTAAGTTGGGCTGTGAAGCACCTCCCAAATTTGCTGTTTTTGTTTATTTATTTGGCAGACAAAACTTGGATCGGAGACAACTCGCGTGGGAAATTGCAATGTAGCCATGCGGCGTCTTCTTCTGTTTGTCTGGGAGGCGGAGGCTGCTTTACGGCATCTGGCTGTCGTGCATGTCTGTGTACTTGAAGAAGGCTGTGTATAATAGTCCATAATATCGATACCACAGGGATGGAATATCTTATTTAGATACCACTTTTAGCATTGATTTATATCTAGGTATCGATTTTTTTGACAACTAGTTGATTCCAAAAGAGGGGAGCCTGATAACTAAAAGATCTGCCTCCCATCCTATTTTTAGGTATTCTGGGAACCACCAGTAAACCTGCAGTCTGAGAGTCGTCTGTTTTTCCACCCATATAATTATTTATTGGGTAAAATAGTATGTGGATGAGGAATATGTATGGACGACTTAGACCTTTGGTGCTGCGTTTCCCCTGTTCTAGACAAAACTGCTTTATAGCACACTTCCTACACAAAGGCAACTCAATGAGCAGACAAAACGAGCACAAACATGAACGATAGAATTACATTTACTAAACTAGAAGATTAACTTAATATCAGTAAAGCACTGAGAAGAGAACTAAATGTGGTCAGCCACAAATTACTAAGTTGATGAAATTAAAAAAATGCTTTTTGAAGGTGTTAGGAGACTAAAAAAGGCAGTGAAACTGATACAATGAACTACAGAAAACATCGATGTGGACGGCTACGTTCACACTGCAGGCTAAAGCGCATCAAATCAGCTTTTCCCTCACATGGATGCTTTGATAGGCCACTAGAATATTTCAGCTCAGCCAGTAGCACACTGCGAGATTTTACCCCCTTGAGGCAGAAAATATCAAACCGGTCAGATATCCGCCTCAGCATCTTGTGAGGCAGAAACCTCTGTGAAAATCAGGCGCCGACAGCGAGGAGTCTGCTGAGCAAACGGTCATTCGAGGCCATTAGCTCAGCAGTTAGCTCTCATGTGCAGCAGGCTTATGGGCTCGACACACGGGAGGCGACAAACGACCGCGATCAGCGAAATTTGTCGCTGTCGCTTTTATTACCTGTCACACGGGAGGCGATCTGAGGCAGCGGCCAGCGGCAAAGCCGTCTACGCCTTCTGTTCCATGGCGAAATCGAAACTTCCGTTGTTTTGTTTGGCTGTGTCAGGTTATTTAAGCTGTTCGGAGTTAATAAAGCGGTAGATATGATGTTTCACAAGGTGCTGCTAGAGTTATGTGAAATCTTACTTCTGATTTTACTATAAAACATAATAATAGTCAACTTCTCCTCCATGTTTGCTCGGAGATGTGCGGAGCATTATGTCCGCTCATTGGTCAGTGAATGAAACCTCCGTTGATTGGTGGTCGTCCGAGCGACAGCGATGAAAAGTTGAAAATGTTTCAACTTTCTGGGATCGCGTCGCTGGGTCGTCCGTGCACGACACGTGCACGAGTGCAAACTTTCACACGCACGTTTTTCGCGTTTCGCTTGGTAGGAGAGAAACCCGCGATTATCGCTTTGTCGCGCATGTCTCATTGAAAATGAATGGAGGAGAGGCGATGTCGCCTCCCGTGTGTCGAGCCCATTAAAATGATTAATCAGCGTCTTTGATGGAAATTTACAGCAAACTGAAATGAAAACTGACTTGATGTTTCTACACATTTATAGAAAAACCACGTTGTTCTCATCCTGCACATGGCACACTTGGATGGTGAAGTTTCACAGTAAGTGATTCTGGTTCTCCCATAAATATTCATGCGTCTGATGTCACCGACCTCTGACTGCTGTCAACAGCACAATGTAGCCCTCATAAACCAAGCTTTAGACTAAACGCTGTGCTCTAGTCCCTCACGCCGAGTCGGCCTCTTGAGTCGACCACTGGCCAGTTTAGAGCTGGCTCCTTTTAAAAGCAAAGGAATTCATTCCTAATTAGGAACACATTTGCTTACCTTTTGGTTTCTAATTCAATGTAAATGTGAGGATGTTTGTTTCCTGGATGCACAAGTGGTAACTGTAAAGGATGAGCAGTGACATGACTTCCCCCACCTTCAGGTAAAGGAATCAACTCCACGATGGGAGTGAAGGGCAGGCCTGATCAGAGGAACGAGTGATTGCTCTGGAAAGACAGAGGCTGGACGGGTTGAGCAAACTAGAGGAGAATGGCTCGAAATGTGAACTTTGACCTGAACCTGATTCAGATGGAGGCTGGAATTGAGTAAGTCATAAACCTCTTTCTTGTTTGTTTGTTCTTGCTCAGTCATGCCATTGAAGGCTGTGGGAGGATCAGACAGGAACATAATGGACTCTGTCCCAGGCCCTTCTTCTGCACCATGTGACCTGCTCCTAATCTCTGGTTCGACGTCCAGTCAGGGAAAAAATTCTGTTTTGTTGAGACCATGGGTGAATGTGTGTTTGTGTTAGCATCCTGTCATGTCTGCAAGGGAACTCAATTAGCTTCCTCTTCTTTCTAGGACTCATGGATCTGTTCTTTATGGATCCATTCTTTGTGCCGTTATTTGTTTTTTATTCTGTTCCTGCATTAGGAGCCCAACAGACGAGGAAGGGGTTCATGACGCGTTCAGCCAGCTGATTGCAGAACAGAGTCTGAATGAAGACCCAAGTCTTTTCATAGAGTTGCGGGAAGAGGACGAGGACGACTTGGGTACTCCTTTCAGATTCAGATACTTTAATAAAAACCAAATGATCATCCTAATATTTCTGATTTAAAACCAGACAATGTGGCAAATCTGTCCAATGCACGGCATCGTTTGGGGGAAGAGGGGATGAATCACGACGACGACGGTGGCTGTTACCTGGGACGTGGTCAACAACCAACTGATTCCCTTATCAAGGAACGCTGGTCCTCAGACACCTTGAAGGTCCTTTCCTCCATGCCTAGCCGCACCATTGGTGAGATTTTTGTCAGGACAGTTGGGTTTCTTTAGCTTTTATGTGCGTCACAAATGTTTTGATGTCGCTGGACATTTAGTTCCTCTCTGGAATCTAGAACAAACTGCCCTGACAGGGGAAGTTTAAACGGTTTAACAGCAAACGTTTACAGCGTGTGAGACTTGGTGAAGGACGTGTCTCGCACTAGAGACAATTTTCACACTCGGCTGTTAAAACTCAAAAATGTTGCTGATTGTGCTTTTTAGAGTTCCATATAACCGGTAATGTGACACGGTTTATGTTCGTAGCTTAGCTCGGTGCATCATGAACGCTTAAAACTGCAAAACAAGCTAGCTTTTTAGACAGTCACAGAACTCTCACCCCTCACGTCAGATTTCATCCCTAGGCCACGCCCCCATACCATAACCCCCATTGCCAGAGGAAATGATGTAGCGTTAAACACCAGTCTCCATTTTCTAGGTCCAAACATCTTCTGTTGTCCGTGACTTCAGATGGTGATTTTCTTCTTGGACTAGTTTGTCCTAAAGCGGTAGCAGCCGGCTGTTTCCCCTCCTCTGATGTTACTGAGCGGAGAACCTCTCACACCGGTGGTGTTCTGCTGCTGATTAGTGAGTGTGTGATGAGTGGAGGACCTGGCGAGGTGCGGCGGTTCGGTGAGGCCAACAACCGGATGGTCCGATGGTTGTTTTTGGTATGAAACGTGTTGTTGGTGCAGGTTTTTAGACGAATGTGAGAGAACCTCTTTATTGTTGCTATTATTTTTCTTTTCATCTGGACAATGTGAGCTTTAAGCTTTTTTTTTATCATTTGCATTTGTGTTTTGTTGTAATTTTCTTTTATTGTTGGAGTTGTGTCTTTTTATGGTTTGGTTACTATGTCCAGCACTTGGTCACACCGTGTGTGTGTGACGTGCTTTATGAGTAAAGCTTCATTGGTGGATATATTTGTTGCTATACTAGAATGTTGTGGGGAGGCATCCACAAAGGTAGTTGAGCTAATTTGTTCTCCATCACTGGTCGTTTAGAAAACGTTGCGTTGAAACCGAGTTTCACGAGGAAACTGTTTCCTTCTTCCTGTCTGGTGAGTCAGGTGGTTCACAAGCTGGTGAACATGACTTGACACATTTGCTACATGCTTTTAACTTATAAGTTTTACAGTTTATGCTGGCTTACACCTCCTTTCCACCGGAGCCGTCAGCAGCACGTTACTGCAGCAGCACGTCATCGCTGCTGATAGGAACCGCTGTGGTCAACAGAACCTTTTCCACCGGAGCCGTCAGCAGCGCTAGTCGGCCGCGTCTCAGGAGCAGCATGTCGCGACCCTTACCCGCCGGTTCTATTTTCTACACACTACGCCTCTGAAACGGGTCAAGTTCGACATTTTTGGGGAAGGAAAGACAGGAAATCGGACGCGGAAATTGAGCGAAGCTTCCTGAGATTTTCAGAATAAAGAACGTACTGCCTTCCGGTTGCTTTACTTAAAAAAAAAAGTTACTAACTGTGCGGCCCCGTGAGAAGTTATCACCTAGCTAGCGGTCTCCTTTGTTTTTCAGGTCCGTATTGGCGATTATAAAATGGACAGAACATAAAACACAAACCTTTTGGAGCCATGTTGTAGTTTTCTCCTGCTTGTTGTTGTGTTTACTGACGAAGTCACTCGTGTGACTTTGTGCTCTGTCGGTGACAGCTGCTCCCCTGCTGCTTCGCGTCTCTGGTGGGAAGGGCCAAGCAGCAGCTTACGCGAGCAAGATGTGCTGCTGACGGCTCCGGTAGAAAGGAGGGGTTAGATTGCCTCTAGAAGAGCTGAGGGTTTCACTGCTCAGTCTGTTGCCTCCAGAGGTGTGGACTCGAGTCACATGACTTGGACTTGAGTCAGACTTGAGTCATTATTTTAATGACTTCTGACTTGACTTGATACAATCTATAAAAACTTGACTCTGACTTGAACGCCAATGACTTGCGACTTGAATCGACTTGCATCTGTTGACTTGATGATGACTTGAGCATATTTGATATTTTAGACCTGGACAAAAACCATAAATCGTTCTTGGTTGTGGGTGTGATTTACGGCTAAAGGCAGCAGCACTTTCTGCTTGTTTGAGCGAATAAATGAAGTTTTATTTCTGGGATTTATTTATCATCATTGTTATTAAATTAAAGTTGGAAAGATGACTCGATTATGACTTGAAAATTCAAAGTTAAGGACTTGGACTTGGTTGTTTTTGACTTGGACTTGACTCGAGACTTGACTAAAAAAACTTCTGACTTACAAAGCCGTGACTTGGTCACACCTCTGGTTGCCACAAGGATGGATCTACTGTCAGTGCCCCCTTTGTTTACCTTTTTACGAGTTCTGAGCTGGACCTCCTTTGTCTTCGGACCTGTGTCCGTTTTCCATCGTTTTGGACACGTTCCTCAGAGATTCTGGTCCATAACGGCATCACAGAGCTGTTGCATGCTTGCTTGTTGGAGTCCACTGAACTCACGTTCGTGTTCTAGAAACCGGTTGGAGATGATCTGAACTCGTGACACGGTGCATTATCCTGCTGGAGGCAGCCATCAGAAGATGGGTCTACTGTGTTTGGCAACAAGCCTCAGGTCAGCTGTGGTCTTCAAGTTATGCTCTGTTGGTACTGGTCTCAAAGAAAAGGTCCCTGCATGGTTACACAACCAGCAACCCCACATGTGCCCGTTTCAGGAAGTGGAACTGAGCTGGAGGACAAAGTAGCTTCAGACGGCAGGGTCAGGTGTCTTACTTGCTGATATTTGGACATGTGGCCTCTGATTGGATAACAGCAACACGACTACCACTGGCATCGTTAGGGTTAAAAACATCTCAAAGCTTCAGAGGATTTTTACGTTGTTGTTTTGACAGTTTAACTTGGTGTTGATTAACAAAATAAAATTTATTTTATCAACGTAAAGAGGGATGACTCCATCTGTTTTCTATCAGAAGCTAATTCAGGAGGTAGGTGTAGGAGACTATTTTCATGTTCAACCTGCATGAGACACTCGGGGCGACCCGTTAGAACCAGAGATGACCTGTTATTTCAGCATTCCACACCTTTGAAAGTTGCTGACGGTAATGATGAGCTAGTTTTGTTGTACTGGTTCAGATGGTCTCTGAACAGCACGGTCCTGTTTTATCACCAGGTCGCAGCAGGGGAGCCATTATTTCTCAGTACTACAACAAAACAATGAAGCTCCGGAGAGACCGGCAGAGCAGACCAGCTGTCCGAGACTTCTCCCGCTCGGCCAGACCCAGCATCCGATGCCATGGCATGGAGGCAGACACCCCAGACTCGTGGGACATGGAAGGTGAGGGAAATGTCTTCTCTGTTTGGACTGTTCAGACAATAGAAGAAACAACAGGATAATTGACTGTTCTGCACTGTAAAAACTAACATGGGGTGTGTTGTAGAAACAAAGAGAGAACGCCTGGTGAACAACCTGCAGAACCTGTCGGTGGGTGACAGGGAGAGGATGATCAGAGGGATGCCGCTGAGTTTAAAAGAGAAAGGTGACCTGAGGTAGGAAAAGGCGTTTGTTGTCGGTTCTTTAATTATGAATATTTGTTTTGTTATTTTTGAAACCGTGTTGAATTACAGAATTAAATTTGTGTTTCTCTCCAAAGGAAGTTAGCGTTACAAAAAGATAAACACACACATTCCAGCAGCAAGCTTCACTGTTGCAGTCAGCAGAAATATTACATCATCATAGTAAGTCACTGAATTCATCACAAACTTCTTTTTCCAATGCTTTCATCCGGGATGTGAACTTCAGATGTCCACACACATTCTTGGTCACTCTGAGTTTCAGATGCATGCCTAACGTGAAGAAAGTCTTCAACCTCATCACTTGCAATAGCTGCAGAAAGGAAGTAGACGTAGCATTCACTGCCCCGCCCCGCCCACCTTGGCTTCCAGCCACAGACGGCTGTCGTCGGTTTAGCGTCCAAGAAACAGCAGAGAAGGTTTGGCTTGTAGAAGCTAACCATTAGCATTAGCAACTCCACCACATGGCAGAACTCCTCCAGGCTTGTGTTATTTGTGGAGATAAAGCATCAACAGCGTTAGCGGTGGAGTCACGTTGCTGTTAGCCAATCAGAGGCTGTTGGCCTTTTGTTCACATTAATGTGTAAGATATTAACACACACACACACACACACACACACACACACCTCCTCTGAGTGACCACCTAACCTTTTTTTCCACAGACCGATGAGGCATGGATTGGTACTAGAGACCACTGCAGCAGAAGTGACCTTGAAGCGTTCATGTAGCAGAATTCTTTATCTTCAGCATCTTTGTGAAAGGAGCTAAAGGCTGATGAAGCAGAATTAGGATTGTAGTAAAAATATGAAGTCATGTAATGGAGTAAACGTCCAGCGCCTGTAGAGCTGTGTTTGTTGTCTTTAGCAGAGAAGAAGGGCATTGGGCCGGGCCTTTGCTCGGGCTGCTGTTACCAGTTACCAGCAGGTGTTGTCTCTGCTACCCAAGCATGGACAACGTCTGACTCATAAACTACAAGTTGTGCATGAAAATGTTTTGTTTTTAATTGGTTCAGAGATTTGATCATTTCCGGCTGCATTTGTGTTTGTGCAGGCCCTGAGGCACAGCTGGTACAGCTGCTTGTCCTTCCTGCACTCTCTCCATCTGTGGCAAATGCCGCTGAAGAGAGTGAGCAGCCGTTTTGGTACTGGAGTCCTCTCCTACTTCTTGTTCCTCAAGACTCTCTTCCTTTTTAACATCTTCCTGGTGCTGATTACGGGTGTGTTCTTGGTGATACCCCAGGCGTTGCACCCCCCCACACCACCTGCCAATTGGAGCTCCTTCTCTGGACTGGAGCTCCTCACCGGGGCGGTAAGCTAACATGTTTTTGCAACTTCCCTCCCACATTCCATTTGTCCAGTGGGGAAAACATCTCAAAGCTTAAAGGGGCATTATGGAAGTTTGACAGCCAAAACATGTATAGAAATAATAAATGTCTTCTTCATACATTCTCCTGCAATGCCCTGGTCCTATAGAATGAGCCCTGGCATTTTTACTGTGATTGCCTGTTTCTCTGTAAAATCACAGAAAAAGAGAGATGCTCAGGTCGAGCAGGCTGCTTCATGCGCATTCACGCTCAGGCATCGCCCGTAGCATTTGCTATCCTTAGCTTTAGCAGCAGAGCGAGAGGTAGTGCCAACTCAGCGACTTTGTTGCTGTTCCTAACGCCTAGTGATGAACCTAGCTACATTTCTGAGGACCCTTAGCTACTTTCTTCTAGATATTTCCTGCAAATTAGCAACAAAATAGCCTTTTTCACTCCAAACCGTTCTTTGAACGTTGTTTCAGCTGTCATCAAGGATATAACAGCTACAGATACGACAGACGTAACTGGCGCTTTAGCTCATCTAGAAAGACGACGGACTTCCGTGCGGAAGATCCGGGTTTGAATCTAGATGTGAACAAAATTTATTTAGAGTAATTTTTTACATTAATGGTATATTTTTTACAGTAAGATGCCCAAATTTTTATTTGAGACTCGCCGAACGGAATTCAATTCGCAGATAAAAAAGATGTGGGTTCAACTTTCAATTTGGAACAATTTTTCAAGCAAGGGAAGGGAATGATCTGAGCATGCAGGAGGACTGACCCATCATAAACCTTTGTCGGCTGTGCTTAAGAGAAAGGTACAGAACCAAATTATTTAATTATTTAGCTGCGTGTTCTCCTGTCCTCTGTCCTCCAGGCCCTACACACACACACACACACACACACACACGGAGCTGACTGTCTCAGCTGTTATTTTCGTTAAGGAGTGTGCACGTACAGCATGCGCACCTCGTGCACGAGCCTACTATTGAAGCTGCCTTTACGCTTTTTGCCTGAGGGGGCAATCGCGAGCATACAAATTCAAAACTCCGTAAAGTCCCTTTAAAGAGCAAGTCACCCCCAAATGAATTTTTCTTTCTGATAAACTATATAAATGTGTGTCTAATCGTGCTGCAGACACGTGTAGTCAATAGTTTTACACTTTAGTGCATTTTAGTTAAAATTCAAATTTTCTGCCTAAAACTGTCAGTGTTGTGCCGTTGTCAGGTAAAAACTCTGCACTGCATTTGAATTTAAATCTGCCATCGCTATTGGCTAAGAGGTACCCTAGAACATTAGCTGGTACCATATGATGTCACAATGTTGTTGTGAGCCTGTGTGTGTGTGTATTTGTTAGCGGCTCCGCCCTCTCGGTCTGCTAGGCAACAGCATTTGTTGCATTTTTCAAACAGGAAGTGGGAGTTGAGTAAGACTCTGGTAGGGGGATTTTTGTAGGTTATTTTGACTGTTTTAAAGTTGTAACCTAAAGATGAAGTAAAATGATCTTGTATGTGTAGTAAAGAGAGATGACACGGTCTTCTATCGTCTGCTACTTCCAGTGCTCTTCGAGCCTAAATCACATGTATTCTTGTGAAAGATCACCTTTTTATATTCTGAGGTTTTCAAACCCAGATTTTCTCCTCAGGGTTATTTTTCTGACTCACTGATGTACTATGGGTACTACAGTAACTACACGCTCCATAGGAACGGCAGCAGCTCCAGCCGTCTGGACCTTTCTTACAACATGCCACTGGCGTACTTCTTCACCATAGGAATGGCCTTCTTCATCACTTGTATGATCCTGGTGTACAGGTAGCTTTCTTTTGCCCTGACGCTGAAATTCTGCAAGCAGAACTAAAACCAGAAATCTGACATGAAAGCCATGTTTGTTCGTTCTTCCAACAGCATGTCAAAGTCGTTTGGTCAGAGCTTCATGATCGACAAGTCTCACAGCATCTTGGCCATTAAAGCTTTTTCTTCCTGGGACTTCAAGGTCATCAAGGAGAGCTCCGTTAAACTCATGTCTGAGAACATCTGCACGCAGCTCAAGGTGCTCACAAACAGCGGGTTGACTAAACACTTCCTCTCTGTTTCCTCCTGCTGGACGAGAATGTGTTGATTCAGGTCCCTCCTCTTCTCTCTGATGACGTGCGTCTAACCACACCCCCCCACAGGAGCTGTTAGCAGAGGTGAACCAAAACAACGTTTCAAGCACGGCGTTACAGAAGTGTGGGAGGTTGATGGTTCACGGCCTGGCATGGACGATCTGCACCGCTGGCACTGCAGGCTGCGCGATGAGCATTTACTTGTTTTCTGATTACATGCACAACGTGAGTGGGAGCCTGTGTTTCTGCTACGTTCAGCTTTAATGCCTGTTTCTCTGTGTGGGTTCATAAACCAGGACACATTTCTCCTTCGCTGCTTTTATCTGTTTCCACTCTTGTTGTGTTCCTCTCTAAAACCAGCAAAGCAGAGCTGGAACCGGAGCCCAGGGCCGCCTGCAGAAGGAGGCCAGCCTTTTGGCGCTGCCTGTGCTCGTCTCCCTCATCAACCTGCTGCTTCCCGGCCTCTTCAACCTGGCGTCCTGGTTTGAGAACTATCACTCTCCGTCTGTGCGCACATATGTGTCCATCAGCCGGTACGAGCAGTGGCTGTTGGTGATGGATGAGCTTAAAGCCGGGGAATCTTTCTGAGCCTGTTGGTTTTTGTTCTGTAGGAACTTGTTGTCCAAAGTGAGCGTGCTCTGTGTCCTGTGTTACCATTGGTTAGGTCGAATTGCTACGGACTCTATGGATCACATTAAGGTAACTGTTGTTTTTTCAGGTCACGGGGGGGGATACATTTTAAGGCTTTGACTGATACACATGGAGTGAAGCGGTGCCTTGTCTCGGTACCATAGAGTGTAGTACTGGTCCTTCATGAACAAGAACTTACGAGACAGTGATTTCCCAAGATGGACAGCAGCACATACGCATGAGCGCTATGTCGCCAGGCGCTGCAGGCCAGCTGTAAACTGCAAGCAGCATGGCGGAGAGAGAGCCTCTAAAGTTTGGGTCCGCCTCACTAAATGTGATGGGTGACTGGGTGGTGATGACATCATCAACAACATTCTAAGTGAGGCATCATCACCTTAATCTGCTCCAGCAGGTAAAGAAAACGTTAGCTTGATATTTTAGCTTCCGTTGCTATCAGCTAATGGTGCGTTCGCTTTCTCCTCGTAACTTGGAAATTCTGACTGATGAGGAAAAACAACAGCAGAAGACATGAAGGTGCACAGTAAATGTAGTTCACAGCAAGATGTTAGCTTCAGTTTAGTTTGCAGTTTATAAAACTACAAGGACCCACCACCACCACCCCACCCCACCCCTCCACCCATCACACAGCTGGTCCAGAGGGGAAAGGAGAGGATTAGGAGTACCTGGAGCTGGTTTTAGTTTGTGTTTCCTGGTTAAAGGTTCTCTTAGAACAGTTATGTACAACACTACCATGGTAAATACTAACAGTTGCATGTTATTTTTCACAATATTTATCACATATGGTTAGATGTTGAGAAAAAAAGTATTTCATTTTAAAAGATGAATGAATGAATTGTTAAACACTCAAAAGTACAAAAACAGGATACGCAGGGTATCCGCGGGTCCTTAAAAAGTCTTAAATCTGCTTTTCCAAATTTAAGCCCTTAAAAATCCTTAAAAATGACAAATAATCCTTAAATACAGTTTCCAAAGGTTTTATATTACCAAAGACCCAATAAACAAGATTCTTCTAATTCTATAAAATTTTCGTGAATGTTCAGCAAGTTCTGTGTATGATGTTGGCGTAAGCGCAACTGTACACATTCAGTTGGTTGTGAAAGGGGGCTATTTTTAGATGAGCACGCTAGTGGGAGTTTGCGCCATGGGGAAGTGCAACATTAATGGTAACTGGATGGCTAATCCCACGTTCGTGACGTGGTTAGCACTGGTTCCAGGCAATAGCTGGAAATTATAGCTTAAATTTAATTTTAAAAACTAGCTTGAATTTGGTCCAAGTGGCCTTAAAAATGTCATAAAAAGTCTTAAATGTGGCTCCCTTAAACCTGCAGATACCCTGGATACGGTTAACTACCGGTGTCGGTTCCTAGGTACCAGGAATTGGTACCAAAGGGAGTCGGATGTGAAGGGTAGCATCCCTGCCTCCTGTAATGAGTTCCTACTTTCTGTTCTGTTATCAGTGCTGGGAGAGTTACGTCGGCCAGGAGCTCTATCGCTTCCTCATCATCGACTTCATCTTCACTCTGCTGGACACCTTGTGTGGGGAGTTGCTTTGGAGGTGGGTTGTTCATTCTCAGGGACTTCATCAACCTGTTTTCAAAGTGAGTCGAGGCCTGGGTGGAGACGTGTTTCATCCACACTTCCTGTTAGGAAAACGCAAATTCATAATTCTTATGGGAATTCACTAAGTTTCAGCATGTCGGCATTAAACAGCTGCTAGATCCGTGTTTAGATTAGATGCACAGCAAGGACTGCTGGTCGTTCCCAAACACAGACTGGAATCTCGAGGGGTCGTGCTTTCTCGGTGCTGGGGCCGAGGCTCTGGAATGAGCTACCTACATGTGTCGAACAGGCCACCACGCTCGGCAATTTTAAGAGCCGTCTGAAAACACACTTATTCTTTGGCTTTTACTCGAGGAGCCTCGTTAATGATGGCTTTGCACTTTTTGCTGCCCCACCTCGATTTTATCTACATGTTTTTGTTGTTTTTTAAATGGTTTTATGTTTTTATTTCTTTATGTTCATTTCTGTTGTGCAGCGCTTTGTTTGGTCCTTGGGCCACGTGAAGGCGCTATATAAATAAAGTTTAGTAGTAGATGTTCACCTGTTCCCTCCCCACCTCACACACCATCACCTCTTTTTTCTTTATTCTTTCCTTTCCTCATATTTCTCTGCTTCTGGAAATTTACAGCCGCCTGTCACGATCACGCAACTTTCTTACATTGCATCAACACACACACACACACACACACACACACACACACACACACACACACACACACACACACACACACACAGGTCCTTCTCAAAAAATTTGGATATTGTGATGAAGTTCATTATTGTCACAGAACTGAAGTAGTTCAAGCCTTTTATTGTTTCTAATATTGATGATTTTGGCATACAGCTCATGAAAACCCAAATCCCCCCCTCCCCCCCCCCCCCCTGTCTCCCCCTTTCTATCACAACTCTGTCTCCATAGGCGTTTGAAACAACTGTAGATATTTCTACTAAAGTTTGGGTATTGGGAGTGTCATCATAGCAGCAGTAGAACGCTCCACCTGTGAGAATAAAACTGTAGGGCTCGTCTTTCATTCAGACATCAGCAGCCGGACAGGACTCGGTAAAAAACAACAAATAAGTGTGAACTGGTTGATCATACACTGACTCGTGGATCTGGAGCTGTTCTGTGAGGTCATAGTGATTTCTAGCATTAACACTGTTGCAGTCACAGAAAAACAACAATATTCGTTAGCTTGTTTTCCTGAATACTTGGTTAAAGTAGTGAAACTATGGATGGAAAACCCAACTGAAGTGGTTGGGTTTTGTCTGCCATTTGTTTCTTCTTGTGGCCCAACTCTACAGCAGAAAACCTTCTAGCTTTGCTTCTTTTTGTTTGCAGGTTTTTTTCTGACAAAGTTCTGAAGAAGAGGAGAAGACCAGGGTTTGACATCGCCAAGAACGTCCTGGATCTCATCTACGGACAGACACTAGCCTGGTACAGATTGTGTTTCAGATAAAAGTTTTCATTTAGTCGTGCTGAGTAAAATCAGACTGGTGATGAGAACCTTTTGCTTCCAGGTTGGGCGTTCTCTTCACTCCGCTCCTTCCTGCAATGCAGATTCTCAAACTGTTGCTGCTCTTTTACATTAAAATGGTACAGAAGTATGAACGGTTTACTGAGCGAGTGTCGGTGACCGCTGACACCAGCCTGTGTGTTGTCCACAGAGCAGCGTGATGATGAATTGTCAGGCTCCCAGGAGACCGTACAGAGTCACCCAGATGACCACCATCTTCATCTCCCTCCTCTGCTTCCCCTCCTTCATCGGCGCTGCAGTGTGTGTCACCTACACCATGTGGAGGTTTGTTCAGCCTAACTTTGTTGTAGACGATTGTCCTTTTATCGCATGTTAAGAAGTCTGCTCGGTTTGGGTATTCATGCTTTCATCATAGAGCTCATTAGTCTAGACGGAACAAACACACATTCATAAAAAAAATGTGTGCAAAGAAAAACCAAATGAAGTTTATTGATCATGTTTTTCTGTCCCCAGTACAAAACCATCCGTCTCATGTGGGCCGTTCCGCGGACTCAACAAGATGATCCAAGCAGGAAAAATCTGGATGAAACAACTGGAAGAAGAAAATCCCAACCTGTCCGTCCTGGCCAGGGCGTACGCCTACCTGGTGGAAAACCCTCTCTTCCTGTTTATGGGAGCAGGCATCTTTCTGTGAGAGCACACACACACACATGCATGCATACACACACACACGCACGCACACATGCATACACGCACGCACGCACACACACACACACATACATACACATACACACACACACACGCACACATTACTTATATTACTTGCACTGTTTTTCAGGATCGTGATCTACTTCCACAGTGAAGTTGTTGATGGTGAAAGGAAGATCATCAATATTCTGCAGGAGCAGATAGAAAATGTGAGACATCTTTATGCACAGCCCTGTCAAGCTGCTGTAGCAAATGTACACAAAGAGCTAGCTTTTAAACACAAGCCATCGTCGTCCCTAGGCCACTCCCCCGGTAACAGAACTCACGATGCCAGAGGAAACGAGATGGCGCTAAACACCAGTCGCTGTTTTCTAGGTCCAAACACATTTTCTGTGTGGGACTCTGGTAGATTGTCCTAAAGCTGAAGTGGTAGCAGCCAGCTGTTTCTCCTCCTCTGATGTTACTGAGCGGAGAACCTCACAGCCCTGCTGTTCTGTAGATTTGCTATCGCAGCTTTAAGTGTGCTGAGTCAATGTTTCTTGCATTTTTATTAACCTGATAAATCTGCTCTTGTTTTTATCTGTTCAGGAGGGAGAAGATAAAAAGTTCTTAATCACTGAGCTTCAGTCTGTTCACGAGCAGAAACGAATCTCTAGAAAGAGAGTCGCCCATCAGGTCAGTCTCTGATGTGTTTAGGAGACCTGAAGCCACAGGGCCCAGGCCAGGATGTTTCATTGTCTTTCATTCCAGTTTATTTCTACAGCACCAAGTCAAGACCCGAGTCTCAAGTCTCTTCACACAGTAAACAATACAGGTCAGGTCATTAACCCAGCAGGTTGCATCAAGTCACTGACTAGTGTCAGTCTTTACAGCAATCCTCATACTAAGCTAGCATGCAGCGATAGTGGAGAGGAAAACTCCCTTTTAACAGGAAGAAACCTCCAGAGGATCCTGGCTCAGCAGAAAGCTGGCTAGAGTGACTCTAGAACGCTCCTGGGATCCAAAACAGCCTCTAGAGCCAAACGTAGTCGTTAATTCACCCGAAGGAGTCAACCAGAAGGTGCTAGTCTTCTACCTTCATGAGTTGTTTGCTGGAAGCCTCAGAAGCGCAGAAAAGCCTCAGAAAAGAGTGAAACTGGTGACGTATTTCTGTGAGCCACCGTGTAAACCAGGCCGTGGCTGTTGGGTTTGCAGAAGCTCTCAGAAACGTCACAGAGCCGTCTCGTTTGTCTCCAACCTTCTCTAAACTGTGGTTCATCTTCAACAAACAGGAAGAAGAAGAAGAAAATATTTCTATAGCGCCTCTCAAGATAAAAATCACGAGGCGCTTCACAAAAACAAAAAATGTAAAAACATAAAAAATAATTTAGAAAATGGTTCAAAATATATTTAAAATGAGCAAAAAATAAACAATTGTGATAAAAAAAATGTAAAAGAGAGAGAGAGTGAACAGGAAAGAGGGAAATCAGTGGATCCTGAGGAAGGTGGAATAGGTGGGGAGAGCAGAATAAAGAGAGAGTGGTGAAGAAGGTCATACAAAAGCCAGCTTGAACAAGTGAGTCTTCAGCTGCTTTTTAAAGGAGACCACTGAGTCCACTGATCTCAGGCTCAGGGGAAGAGCGTTCAAGAGTCTGGGGGCCACAGCAGCACATGATCTGTCACCTTTGACCTTTAGCCTGGTGCTGCACAACCAGTAGGCTTTGATCACTGGACCTCAGGGACCTGCTGGGGGTGTAGGGACTAAGAAGATCACCAATGTAAGATGGTGCTTGTCCATGTAAGGCCCTGTAGACCAGAACCAGGATCTTGAAATGAACGCTGAAGTTGACTGGCAGCCAGTGAAGCTGGAGGAGAAGCGGGGTGATGTGGGTGTGTTTGGAGGACTTGGTCAGAAGCCGAGCACAGGCATTCTGAACCACCTGTAGACGGTTCAGGGAGGTTCTGCTCAGATAAAAGCAACACATGCCCCTGGCCTTTAATAAAACTCATTTTCAACATGTTGCAGATGCAATCTAGGGCGGTCACAGCCCAGTGAGGGGCTGCTGACAGGACAGATTGGGTCCTTTAAATTTAGACCAAGGCCTGCGTTAGTCATCCACTCGTTTGTCTGACCTGTGCTCTGGTTTCTCCTCCCGTAGAACTCTGGGTGTTACAGCGGCGAGCTTCGCCACGACAAACCGCTGGAAAAACCCACGTCTGTCTGGTAGAAAATGTTTTGCCGAACTCAAGTAAGGAAATGGAGAGGTGAGGACAGTTTGGTGGCTTCTGGAAGCTACTGAAGAAGCACTTTTGTTGCAGCTGAACCAACAGTTTCCTGTTGCAGACACCTTCTCAGTGTGGGAGTCGTAGGGAAACCTTTGTAAATGTTTCCTGTATCGCTGTACTTTTCTGTCACCTGTGTTTATTACTGCGTATGCAGAGTGTGGAGACTGTTGTACAAACTTTATTTTTAGACTTCTTTTTAGAAACGACACAAAAACCTCTACAGGTTTATTTTTACTAACATGCAGGTAAAAAGTGATAAACTGTAGGATGATAATAAAATAAATAAAACAAGCTAATCATAATTTTTGATTGTAAATATGTTCCTTTAAATTATTTCCTATAAGAAGCAGCAGCACCATAGAGGGGCCACCATATTCCTACATGGTCCGTGAACACTGGGAAGACCCACAGCCAACTGGGATGTTTTCACTCCCAGTAAACCCACTGAAGGCTGCTGCAGGCTACAGTCACCAGGATGTCACCACTTTATAGCCGGCTGGACCCACTCCTCTGCGTTGGAACGTCTGTTCGTAATGTTTTGATGGTTTTAACAGCTCAAACATCCTGTTTGTTTCACCGAGTTTTCCCGCAGCTCAGCTTCCGTTACTGAGCATGCCCAGAAGTTTCTTGGGGTCCATCCCCTGCTGCTGAGCCATCTTCTTCACGTCGAAGCCCAGGTGCTTCAGGAACTGCATCACGCCCATCTCTTGTCCCGTCAGCTGGTCTCTGATGGTCGGGCAGGTCGGGTTGCAGTGAGGCCACGGGCAGCCGTCCATCAGATGTACAGGGCAACCTCTCATGGGAGGGGGCTTGTGCTTCAGGTGGCTGTGGTTTCCATGGCTACTGTTGATGTGCAGCTTGTTTTGGAGGCTGCGGTCCCAGCAGTGGAGCGCTCTGGGCAGAGAGGTGCCTTTCACCTGGATGTCCATCCAGTATCTGCGGCACACCAAATATGTACTTCAGTTTTCAGCAAGAACACTTAAACTCATTTAACCCTTTAACACCAGTCTGTTTGTGTTGGCTCAGATTTGATATAGTTCCTATAATGACTGAATTCACTGTAAAACTTTATTTGAAGCTTCTCAGGCAGCAGCCATTTTTCAGTTTTTGGGGAGTTTTGTCTGCATTTGATGCTACAAAGGTGATTGATAGGCTACACGTGCATGAAAAGCATGTTGGGAAAGACGACCAATTCATAAGTGGACATATTATTCCCTTCTGAGGAAAGACATGGCGGTCCCTCGCCTGGGCGCGGGTCTCCAGGACCCCCCTCTGGAGCCAGGCCTGGAGTTGGGGCACAGTGGTGAGCGCCTGTAGCCCCTCCCATGAGCCCACCACTCTTGGGAGGGGCCAAAGGGGTCAGGTGCATTGTGTGGTAGCCGAAGGTCTGGTCCTGGGCTACAGAAGCTCTCGGTACGTGGAAGGTCACCTCCGGTGGAGAAAGCTGGAGATGGTGGGTTAGCAGTGCCAGCTAGATAAAGTCTGACTCACCTCAATGCCCAGCTCTGGAACCACTTCCCTTAAGAGGGATTGGACTTTCTACCACTCTGGAGTTGCTCCCACAGAGGGGCGGAGCTGTCAGCTGACCACTACCTGGTGGTGAGTTGGCTTCGATGGCGGGGAGGACGCTGGCAGGCCTAAACGTATTGTGAGGGTCTGCTGGCAGAGTCTCCTGTCTGAAGGAGCTTCAACAGAATTTTGAACACATCCTGAGGGAAGCGGGGACGTTGAGTCCGAGTGGGCCGTGTTCTGTGCTTCTAATGTCCAGGTAGCTAACCGGAGCTGCAGGTGCAGGGTTGTCTGTGCCAGTTGTGGTGGCAACCCCCTAAGCTGGTAGACACCTGCGGTTAGGGATGCTGTAGAGCAGAAGAACGAGTCCTATCAGGTCTTCTTGGCCTGTGGGACTCCAGAGGCAGCTGTTGGTGGGGGTTAAAGTTAAAGTCCCATTAGTTGTCACACACACTGTGTGCGAAATTTGTTCTCCGCATTTGACCCATCCCCTGGGGGAGCAGTGAGCTGCAGACACAGCCGCGTTTGGGAACCATTTGGTGGTTTAACCCCCCAATCCAACCCCTTAATGCTGAGTGTCAAGCAGGGAGGCATTGGGTCCCATTTTTTCAAAGTCTTTGGTATGACCCGACCAGGAATCGAACCCTGATATCCCAGTCTCAGGGCGGACACTCTACCACTAGACCACTGAGCTGGTTGGAGTTAGGGTTAGGTGGCCGAAGGCTAAAACACGGGAGTGGGAGGAGTTCGGTGAGACCATGGAGCAAGATTTCCATATGGCTTTAAGGAGATTCTGGTCCACCATCCAGCATCTCTGGAGGGGAAAGCAGTTGTTCTACCCACACCATTTACAGTGTGGACGGTGTGCTGCTGACCTCGACTCGGGACGTAGTGGATCAGTGGGCGGAACACTAGAAAGACCCCATCTAGGGACTTTGGCTTGGACTCTCCCATCGGTGGGACGGTGGTCTAAAAACCCCTCAGTGACAAGGACCCAGGGGTGGATGGGATCCCCCCGGAGTTCCTCAAGGCTCTGGATGTTGTAGGAGCTTTAGAACTCTACTTTTATTTATGAACCTTTATTTACTTACGTTCTTGTTATGAGTTCATGTGACAGACAAGCTGGAGCAAACATGGCCCTGTGGATCAGAGCAAAGCAGTGTGTTAGAAAACCATCATTCACTGTGTGTGTGTGTGTGTGTGTGTGTGTGTGTGTGTGTGTGTGTGTGTGTGTGTGTGTGTGTGTGTGTGTGTGTGTGTGTGTGTGTGTGTGTGTGTGTGTGTGTGTGTGTGTGTGTGTGTGTGTCTGTCTTACTGGACGTCTTCCAGCGTGCTCCTCAGCTCCTGACCCAGGTTCTGGATGTATCTCCACTGTCCCTCGTGGATGGGGTGTCCTGTCAGCAGGACGTTGTCCACGGTCAGCTGGGCCTCGTCAAACAGCCACTGCACCACAAACACCGGACCTGCAGGGTGGAGGACACCACCCACAGCTCAGACCTCTAATGAAACCATGCTTTATGGCGTCAGCCTCGTGGAGTATCTGGCGGTGGGGTTGTGTCTCACTTTTTAACGTTGAGTAGATTTTATATCCAAAGAAGCAGTTCCACTCCTCTCCCAGATGAGCCTGTCTGCAGCTCTCCGGCACCACGCTGCCCCAGTACCTACACAAACACCAGCTGTCAGGAGTCTGCCCTCCGTTACCACGACTGCGGTCTAACAGCGTGTTCGTCTAACCTGATGCCTCTCTTTATGGCCTCTGTGGGAGCACAGCTGATGGTGTTCAGGCAGTCGGTGGATTTGTACTGTTTGTTGTCCAGGAACCATCCGGAGTCCACCAGACCCCGGACCTGCACCCCTCTGTGTCCCTCAGACTCCAGCTGCTCTGCAACTTGGTCCACATTCAGCAGGACGCCGGTACCTCCCGCACTGTAGATGGACAGGAGGAGGTCAGAAGCAGAATCTGACTCCTGAAACGGGTTTAAGACGCTTCAGCCCAACCCACCTGCTGCCTGCCAAAAGCAGAACCTTGGCGTTTTGCAGCCCTTCAGTCAGCAGCTCATTCACCACCTCCCTGATGATCTGAGAGCCCATAAAGGCGTAATCACCTGCAGACAAATGTGAGGAATGTGTATGTGATGGTCATTTATTATTGTCTCCCATCTTTTAAACTAACGGATCACATCTGCTGTTCTTCTGTCTGAATGATGCGTTTTAAAACTCCTGAGATCCCTAGAGTCAGAACCAAACATGCCGTCCAGGTGCTGCTTTTCCCTTTGGCTGTAATGTCTTTTAGATTTTCTTCATTAGTTTATTTTTGGGCCAGAATCTGAATTTTTATGTCTCAGGAAACGTATGAATTGGAAATTGCCGGTATTTGGTGTCTTCTAGGCGCTTTACAGCACACTGATGATGAGCTACAAAATAAAAATCACCAGGCGTTTCACAAAGACAGAAACATTTTTAAATGTAAAGATTTTATTTTTAAAATGACTAAAAAATAATAAAAATTGTGATTGAAAAATGTAAGAAAATGGAGAAAAGGAAATCAGTGGAACCTGGGAAAGGCAGAGGGTGATGAAGGTCCCACCAAACCTGAACAGGTGAGTTTAAAGGAGACCACTGAGTCCACTGATCTCAGGCTCAGGGGGAGAGAGGTTCAGAGTCTGGGGACCACAGCAGCAGATGATCTGTCACCTTTGACCTTTAGCCTGGTGCTGCACAACCAGTAGGCTTTGGTCACAGGACCTCAGGGACCTGCTGGGGGTGTAGGGACTAAGAAGATCACCAATGTAAGATGGTGCTTGTCCATGTAAGGCCCTATAGACCAGAACCAGGATCTTGAAATGAACCCTGAAGTTGACTGGCAGCCAGTGAAGCTGGAGGAGAAGCGGGGTGATGTGGGTGTGTTTGGAGGACTTGGTCAGAAGCCGAGCACAGGCGTTCTGAACCACCTGTAGACGGTTCAGGGAGGTTCTGCTCAGACACGTGAAAAGAGAGTTACAGTAGTCTAAGCGTGAGGAGATGAAGGTGTGGAGAACTGTCTCAAGTTCAGAGCGGGACAGAATGGGACTCAGCCTAGCAACGTTCCTGAGATGGAAGAAGGAAGAGCGAACAAGAGAACTGACTTGAGAATCCAGGGTGAGAGCTGGGTTCAAAGGTCACACCAAGATTCCTGACGGAAGGAAGACCAAGAGAGTCTCTGACTTTGGGAACCAGCTTGTCTGGGGCACAGATGAGGATCTCAGTCTTGTCTTCATTCAGCTGTAGAAAGCTCCCAGCCATCCAGGTTTTGATAGAGTCTTAGCAGGTGTGTAACAGCTGCAGCTTAGACATCTCATGAGGCTTAAAGGAGATGTACAGTTGGATGTCATCTGCATAAAGATGGTAGGTGATTCCTTTGAAGGAGCTCAGGATGTGCTGAAGAGGGAGCAGATAGAGAAGGAAGAGCAGAGGCCCCAGCACAGAACCTTGTGGGACACCCTGGGTAAGGGAGGTGGTGGAGGACCTAAACTTGGAGACGGCCACAGAAAAGGAGCCCTCAGAGAGATAAGAGGAGGACCACTCCAGAGCAGTTCCTCATAGGACTACCCAGTCTCTCAGCCTCTCCAGTAGCAGGTGATGGTCAACAGTGTCAAAGGCTGCAGTCAGGTCCAGCAGGACCAGAACAGAACAGTCCCCTGCATCACTGAGTCAGAAGCCTTTTTTAGAAAACAGTGCTGCCAATTTGCCACAGTGCCGTGGCGGCATCAGAGAACTTTAGGTTGTAAGTGCACAGACAGTGACGGTAATGTTGCGCAGTCGCATCCTTTTTACAATAGATGAGGTGATTGCAGTTTAAAGAGGGTATGAGGGCAGTCTTTGTGCTTCTGCAGACTTCTGTTCATCTTAGACATAACTTACATTTTAATGCGATCGAAGCCACGCTCTAAGTTTTTAACTAGCAGCTCCTAAAGGCATCTGTCCTTCACAGTCCCTGTGCAGTCTCTGGTGATCTGAGCTCCAGCTCTAACGGAGAAAAGCTCTAGGAGCGCTGCATTGCTCCAGTTAGTCGTCTCAGCTGATTCTGATTACAAAAGTAGAACTGAAGGCACGTGTTTACTTTCCTTTTTAATATATCTCCCTTCTGGAGCTCGGCAGTAACTCCCCACATGATCATGTCACCTTCTGTTGCGCCAAGGCTTGAATGCAGTCACAAGTCCAGCTTTGTGGTAATACTAGCAAGTGTGGCGGCACAAGGCCCTCACCACCATGCCTCCACGGCACATTCATAAGACTCACCATGGTGGCAGTATTACGCTGATTTGCTGGCGTGTGTCCTCTAAAGGGGTCAGAAGGTCATTAGAGACCCTAAGAAGAGCTGTTTCAGTAGAATGAGCTCTACGAAAACCTGACTGGAAGCTATCATAGATGTTATGTTGATCAAGAGCAGCTGTGAGTTGTTTAGCCACAACCTTTTCCAAGATCTTGGAGATGAACGGAAGTTTAGAGATGGGTCTGAAGCTGCTATGGAGAGAGGGGTCAAGACTCGGTTTTTTAAGAAGCTGGTGGAGTACAGCGTTCTTAAAGTAAGCAGGAACCTGACCAGAAACCAGAGAAGCATTAATTATAGAGAACACGCTGGGACCGATGGACTGAAAAGCACTTTTAAACAAAGATGAGGGTAAGATGTGGAGGGGGCATGCAGAGGCAAAGAAACAGGAGCAAAGCTATCAAGGATGATAGGTCTGGTTGGAGTCGGGAGAGGCAGCGATGAGGCTGAAGGAGAGATGCTAGATCTGACCTTATGCTGGTGAAAGTTAGTCATCCAGGTCACCGTAATCCAAAGATGAAGGCAACTGGACTTCTTGGTTTGTTGAAGACGTTTCGTTTCTCATCCGAGGAGCTTTGCCAATTCTAACTGGGATATGGGAGAATGAAGCTCATAAGCTGACAAAGCTCCTCGGATGAGAAACGAAACGTCTTCCACAAACCAAGAAGTCCAGTCGCCTTCATCTGAACCCTTTGGATTAGATTAACCTTAATGACTTTGTCCACAAAGAAAGTTTTCACAGTCTGCCGCAGAGTGGAGCCTCGGCTGCCCTGGGGCGCACTGGCAGAGGCGCCACCGGTCCCTCCGACCACCACAAGGCGAGTTAAGTGTCTTGCCCATGAACACAACAGCAGTATTCTCTGTGGGAGCTGGAATCGACCCGCAACCTTCCGATTACTGAACAACCCTCTCCCACTGCTGGCTTTAACAATTCTCTGGATTCATTTAGCTCATGTGGATATTTTGACTAAGCATTTCTGTGTTTTCCATCTGAACTGTCAGTGATGGACGAGAAGAGAAGATCTTACTCTGGTTGGTTTTGGGGCTGGCTCCGCTCCACACGTCGCTGGAGCAGTACGGGACAAACCTGGGTTTTGGGTGAAGAACATATCGTGTGTAAACCAGACATGCTTTTCAGAATGTTTTTGTTTTCCATATTTGTGCTAAAGTGTGAACAATCACTTGCAAAAAAAAGTTTTAACTTTAGAAAATGTGAAAATGAGAAGAAAAGGCCAAATGAACAGCAGACAGAAGTCCTTACACCATGTTGGCGTTCCACCAGTACGGGTTTTCCTCCGGCTGTGGAGACAGAATTCCTGTTCCTGCGAGAACAGAGAGGAAAACGTGAATGAACTGTTGTGACTGGAATGTCAAAAGTCTTTTATTAATGTTTGTGTTTCAGTAAAAGAGCAGAGAGGTGGGAGGTGTGCACCAGCTCTGTGAAGGAGACAAACCTCTTCTGGTCTGTGGCCACTTGGTGGAGCTCATCAGGCTCCTCATGGTCTCGTGTCTGCTGTCACAGGTCTGTTTGTTGAAGCAGTACCATCCACCTGCAGCACACGCGCGCGTTAACCACCTTCAGGGCTGCGGTGAGAGCTGTGTCAGGCTGTTCTTACCTTCCAGGAACATCAGCCACCTTCTGCTGCCTTTCGACTCTTTGATGTAGAAGCTGCAGGAGGAACAGGAGCAGGCCTGAATTTGTGTTCGTTTATGCTTAGAAAACATCTGGATGATGAACTTAAAGCCTCTGAAATCAGGTTTTTCACATAAAGGTGAGGATGACAGTAATGTCCTGCAGCACAAATCCAGATTAAAGTGAGTGGCACTCATTCTCCAGCAGCATTTGCTCACCACAGGCCTTAAATAGCAGGATTGTTGTTGTTTCTCCTCCTTCTGAGGACATAAAACTTCATGCGCTGCTCTCATTAAAAGCCTCTCTGTCGGGAGCGCGCATGACCCCGCTCCTGCGCTTTCTTTGATCTGTTCCTTTGATCCATTTTGGTCACATCCGGACTGATGCGGGTCAGGGAACCTAAACCACCGCAGATTGGATGTTTGGTGCAGCAGAGCGCAGCTGCTTTCTCCGCCCTCATAGCTCAGATTCTTCACATGCAAAAGATCAACGGGAGAGTTTCAGGAGCGCACTTACCCTGCAGGTGACCCGTCGTTGCAAGTCGCAGATACATTCTTCAGTAAGTGCAGCTTCATGTCCTGCTCCAGCTTTTGCGCAGAGCACGGATATAGCGACTGCGCTAAGTTCTTTATCTGCACCATGAAGTTGTCCATGTTGCTCTCCACGGCTGTGAAGTCCAACGGGAAGCTCTCCGGTCCCTCCGCGCGCTCCCTGTACGCAGGAGCCTGCTGCTCCTGCTGGGGCTGCACCCTCTGCGTCCGACCACCGCGCGCTCTCCTCGCGTCCGCCGGTGAGCTCATGTGGATGAAGAGCAGCAGCAAGCAGGAGCGCACCGCGCACAGTCCGGCTGGGCTCTTCGCCAATCCGCGGCTCTGCATTTCTAAACGTTACAAGACACCAAGCGCGTGCGAGTCTGAAAACTAAACATGTCCAAAAGAAAACGGAAAGTCCTTTAAAAGCACGGAAACCGACTCTTTACTTGTGGTGGGCTGAACGAGCCGACAATGTGAGTCTCCATAGCGACATGTGGTTTGGGATTCAGGCTAAATGCACGCGCAGGTCCGGCTCAGCGTGCGCGTTTCCACGCCAACAGGGAGAAAAGAGTGGAAACTCTTGGAGCGGAGCGGAGCGTCATTCCCTCCTGGCTCCTGGGATGAACGGAGGATTTATTTGAAGTCCCCCCGGGCCAGCCTCCTCCTCCCCCTCCCCCGCTCTCTCCAGCCGGCCAATCGTCGTCGTCCTCAGCGGATGCGCCTCGCGGGGCGTCGGTCTCACACCCAGCGCGCGTACGCCCCGGCACGCCCACTCACTCCTATTCGGTCCCTTTGATGTCCTACCATCATGTGACCGCACAGCCTTTGAAGTGTTGATTGAGCGCGCGCGAGCGTGCACGCGCATGTGTGAGGCTGAAGAAGGAAACCTGGATGTTGTTAAACCGTGGACTGTTGGATTTGTGTCCAATCAGCAGCGAGCCAGAGCCCCGGACCCTGAAGAGACGTTGGTCTTGGTTCTGGTTCTGGGAGTTCTTCTATCTGATCCACATCAGACACGATAGAACCTATTAAACTCCACAGTGTTCATCCAGATTCCAGGTCTCCAGATGAAAATGTTTTATAATCTCACTGGGACGTAGCCTGAATAAGAAGCTGCCATGTTGCAGGTGGTGTAGCAGCTTTTCCACAGCTCCGAAGGTCACCTTCAGGGTCAGCTGATCGCTCTGGAGATCAGCATGTTTGCCATTTAGGCACTGGACAGGGACCAAGCCTCCCTTTCTGTGACTGTGCCTAGAGCAGCTGTGTGAATGTGTGGGTGCATGTGTGAAAGACTTGTGTTGTAAAGCACCTTGGGGGGTTCTAGGACTCTAAGGCATTATTTACCGTTTAAAAACTCAAGACTCATGATTTTTCAACTGGCATTTAATATCCTCATTATAATTGTGTGCTGCATGGTGCAGTTGGTAGTGCTGCTGCCTCACAGCAAGAAGGTTGCAGGTTCAAATCCAGGCTTTGCCCTTATGGAATATGTTCTTGTGCATGTGTGGATTTAAACATGCACTTTAGGTTCGCTGTCCATAAGGATGAGCTTCTCTGTGTCCCTGTCCAAGATGTCGCTCCTGCCTCTGGCCCAGTTCGTGTGTGTGTGTGTGTGTGTGCGTGCTCTGTCTTCTCCATCCCCAGTGAGTCGTGGTGGACGGCTGCTTATACTGAGCCAGGATTCTCTGGAGGTTTCTTCCTGTTAAAAGGGAGTTTTCCTCTCCACTGTCGCTGCATGCTTGCTTAGTATGAGGATTGCTGTAAAACACGGTTGCCCAATCCTGGTCCTGGAGGGCCGGTATCCAGCAGGTTTTGTGGTTTCTCTCCACCAACACACTTGATTCAGTGGGTGAATCACCTGCAGCAGCCCACCAAGCTCTGCAGAAGCCTGCTAATCACCAGCTGACTGAAATCAGGTGTGCTGAAGCAGTTTAAACTAAAACCTGCTGGATACCGGCCCTCCATGACCAGGATTGGACACCCCTGCTGTAAAGGCTCTGACACAAGTCAGTGACTTGATGCAACCTGCTGGGTTCCTTATATAGGAACCTTTTTGCTGATTGGCTTAATGAACTGACCTGTGTTGGAATGTTCACTGACCCTAACCCTTGAGATGACGCTGGTCCTGATTTTTATAAATAAACCGGACTGAGTTAAACTGAGTGCTGCAGGCGGACCCAGCTACCCGTGAGTCCGGTTCTGACAGGAAACACTATTAGTGGTTGTGATGTTACTAAGATTAGATTTGTGAAAAACCCCATTAGCATGATCACATCTCTGTAAAAGGGGCATAACTCTGTATGAGTATAAAAAATGTGTAACTATCACCTTTAACGTGTGTGGGGGAAGGAGTTGGGGGTCCTGAGAAGGAACCACTTATCCATATCTCCTTTCATCAGATGTTTTTGATGAGCCGTCATCCGGCAGAAACAGGTCGGCCCCGACCTCAGCGTTAGTCTCTCAGTCAAACTCGTCTCGTGGATCTGAACATCCCTGAAACCTCACTGGTTTTAAGTGCTTGGTAAAGAAGGCTGAAATTTCCTGAGCTCGGATCCTGGGGCTGAGCAGGGCAACTAAACACGTCCACCATCCAGAACTTCTACTTTGTGTCTGACGGAGGAGAATCCCAGATGTTATTTTAAGGTTTGTCTAGTTTTTAAGCTCCATCCTGCTGAGTGAGGAAGCAGACTGGTTGCTTGTTTATTTGTTTACTCAGATGGTGTCTGTTTCCTTTACCAGAGGTCCTCTGAAGTCCCGTCCTCACGCCTCTCCATCTGTTTGTGCCCTGCTTTGTGTTGTCTGTCCAGTCTGACTCCAGCTTTGATCCAGTTCTGGTCCATGCTGAGAGAGAAAAACATCTGATTCTTCTGTGTTTGTTCAGGTCATCTGTCAAACTGCACATGGTACATACATGAAGGGACCATATGGGGAACAGATTGGCTGTGTTGTGGTCAGTTCACTGACAGGATCCATCTTCTTCTCCCCAGAAGGGCACTGCAAATACTTCAGGCCACTTTGTGTTCTGTCATTATGCTTCAGAACTTCCTGTAGAAAAATTCTCTTCATGTTCTTTTTAGATCAGTCTGTGGAGGATGGATGTGTTGCAGATGACCAGACTCAAAAAGCTACATTTCAGCATATGAGACATACAATGTTGTCTTTTGGGAAACATGTTTTAAAATAAGCCTCCTTAAATATATTTTATAGAGTTTTAGCGTGGAAAATGTACGACCCAAGGGCTGAATTAGCAGAAAAGAGAAAATTTAAACAAATATTTCCAACAAAAGGCCTTAGTCCTGTTGTTTTAGGTCGCAGAAAGAGAAGTTTTATTGCTTTGTTTCGTTAGTGGCGCGCAGGTCACGTGGAGGTGAACGTGAATAATAGTTGGTGTGTTTTTACAAGAATGGCAAAAATACAGTTGCTAACACGGACCGTAGCTCTGGGTCTCATTCCTCTCACTTTCTCTCACTTCCTCTCTTCAAACACTTAGTGCTTGAAAAATGCTACAAATGCTGTTGCCTGGCAGACCAAGAGGACGGAGCCGATAACACATACACAAGCTAATCAGATATTAAAGAGCAAGTCACCCCCTACCAGATTTTTACTCAACTCCCACTTCCTGTTTGAAAAATGCAAAAAATGCTTTTGCCTAGCAGACCGAGAGGGCGAAGCCGCTAACAAATACACACACACACACAGGCTCACAACGACATTGTGACATCATATGGTACCAGCTAACGTTCTAGGGTACCTCTTAGCCAATAGCGATGGCAGATTTAAATTCAAATGCAGTGCAGAGATTTATACCTGACAACGGCACAACACTGACAGTTTTAGGCAGAAAATTAAAATTTTAAATGCACTATAGTTCAAAACTATTGACTACACGTGTCTGCAGCACAATTAGACACGTATTTATACTCAACAAAAATATGAACGCAATACATTTGTTTCTGATTTTTCATGAGATGGACTTAAAGATTTAAAATTCATTCCAGACACACAATATTACCATTTCTCTCAAACATTGTTCACAAATCAGTCTAAATGTGTGATAGTGAGCACTTCTGCTTTGCTGTGATAATCCATCCCACCTCACAGGTGTGCCACATCAAGATGCTGATCCGACATCATGAGTAGTGCACAGGTGTACCTAATACTGCCCACAATAAAAGGCCACCCTGGAATGTGCAGTTTTGTCTCACAGCAAAATGCCACAGATGCCACAAGCATTGAGGGGGCGTGCAGTTGGCATACTGACAGCAGGTATGTCAACCAGATCTGTTGCTCGTGCATTGAATGTTCATTTCTCCACCATAAGCCATCTCCAAAGGCGTTTCAGAGAATATGGCAGTACATCCAACCGGCCTCACAACCGCAGACGACGTGTAACCACACCAGCCCAGGACCTCCACATCCAGCAGGTTCACCTCCAAGATTGTCTGAGACCAGCCACTTAGACAGCTGCTGAAACAATTGGTTTGCATAACCAAACAATTTCTGCACACACACTCAGAAACAGTCTCAGGGAAGCTCAACTGCATGCTCGTCGTCCTCATCAGGGTCTTGACCTGACTCCAGCTCGTCGCCGTAATAGACTTGAGTAGGCAAATGCCCACATTCGATGGTGTCTGGCATGTTGGACAGGTGTTCTCTTCACGGATGAATCTTGGTTTACATTGTTCAGGGCAGATGGCAGACAGCGTGTGTGGCATTGTGTGGGTGAGCGCTTTGCTGATGTCAATGTTGTGGATCGAGTGTCCCATGGTGGTGGTGGGGTTATGGTATGGGCAGGCATCTGTTATGGACGAAGAACACAGGTGCATTTTATTGATGGCATTTTGAATGCACAGAGATACCGTGATGAGATCCTGAGGCCCATTGTTGTGCCGTACATCCATGAACATCACCTCATGTTTCAGCAAGACAATGCACGGCCCCATGTTGCAAGGATCTGTACACAATTCTTGGAAGCTGAAAATGTCCCAGTTCTTGCATGGCCAGCATACTCAGTGGACATGTCACCCATTGAGCATGTTTGGGATGTGCTTGACTGGCGTATACGACAGCGTGTACCAGTTCCCACTAATATCCAACAACTTGGTACAGCCATTGAAGAAGAGTGGACCAACATTCCACAGGCCACAATTGACAATCTGATAAACTCTATGCGAAGAAGATGTGTTGCACTGCATGAGGCAAATGGTGGTCACACCAGATACTAACCGGTTCTAAGTCCCCAGACCCCCAATATAGCAAAAAAACTGCACACTCCAGGGTGGCCTTTTATTGTGGGCAGCATAAGGTACATCTGTGCTCTACTCATGATGTCAGATCAGCATCTTGATGTGGCACACCTGTGAGGTGGGATGGATTATCTCAGCAAAGCAGAAGTGCTCACTATCACACATTTAGACTGTCACAGCTGCCAGCCTTGAGTGAGGAGCAGGAGCCAGGATCACCCAGGTCTAGTGATCAGCCGGACACTGCCCCTCCTCCTCCTCTCTTCCAGGCTGCTGAGGAGCACAGCTGAGCTGAATCCTTCTGATGACCCACACCTGGATAAAAAGGCTGTGCCTTCAGCAGTCTGGGAGATAGCAGTGCAGGGGTTCTGCTGTCCTCCAGGTCTTGTTTGGTTTAACCCCGTCGTTGTGATGAGTTTTAACTTATAGTTTTAACTCTGAGTGATCCACATGGATCTTTTGTGCATGTCACCTAGTGTTGCCTGTGTTTTAAGGTTAACTTTGTTTGTTGCAATTTTATTGACTTTGTTTTTAAAACACCTTCTGTTCCGGTAAAACTTTTAACATAAGTTTTAACCAGGTGTTTTATGTCAATGAATTGTTTTAGGACTTTTATCAACTTTGTGGATTTAGAAACACCTTCTGTTTTGGTGAAACTTTTAATAAGTTTTAACCAGGTGTTTTTAATGTTGGTAACTGCTCTTTTGACGTTAACCTTTTTGAGTATGTTTGTTTAGCATTATCTTAATAATGCTTGCCATCTGTTTGCTTGTGTTTTAATACCTTTATGCACAAATGAACCCATTTTAAACTCCTCCACCGGTTCTTATGTTCTCCCCATCCTTCACACTTTTAACATCTCATGTCGGGGACGTAACATAAATGGGGGCTCGTCCGGGATATTTAATAAAAACAGACCGTGAAGGAATGTACAAATCCCCTGGTGGCGGTCATTTTAATGGTGTTTTATTTGTTTTAAAGGTTTTAAGCAGATGAAGTCGTGGATCACTGGCCGGTGCATCTGGAGGCCATTGGATCCAGAGATGACCCCCCACAGGCAGGCTCAGGTGTTGCACCTAGCGGGTTAGCGTTGGTGGTTTACTCCACCATCTCGGGAGCACCCCAGGAAGGGCAGTGGCTAACCCCCTCCCTTTGCTGGTCAGAATGTGCAACAGCACATGTGCTTAATCTGCCCGCCTGCGATGTGCATGAAGACTAGGGATTTTAGATAGCCTGTTTTATTGTTTTATCGGGGGTCTCTCTTGTTTTTATGTGATCCTAGCTGTTAAAGAAAAAGTTTTAAAAGTTACTATTGTGTCCTTTACTAACTTTTATCCTTTTTCTTTTGTTTATGTGTGGGGGTGTCACGGCTGCCAGCCTGAAGAGGGGAAAAAGCAGCCAGGATCACCCAGCTCTGGTGATTGACTGGACACCGCCCCTCCTCCTCCTCTCTTCCAGGCTGCTGAGGAGCACAGCTGAGCTGAATCCTCCTGATGAGCCACACCTAGGATAAAAAGGCTGTGCCTTCAGCAGTCTGGGAGGCAGCAGTGCAGGGGTTCTGCTGTCCTCCAGGTTTCGTCTGGTTTAACCCCTTTTTGTTCGTTCCTTTGTTTGTTTGGATGAGTTTTACTTAAAAGTTTAAACTCTTGGATGATCCATAAGGATCTTTTGTGTGCAGGTTGTTTTTAAGGTTAACTTTGTCTGTGGCTATTTTACTGACCTCGGTTTTAAACACCTTCCGTTGTGGTAAAGCTTTTAAAATAAGTTTTTACCAGGTGTTTTTAGTCGGTACAATGTTTGTAGCCTTTTATCAACTTCAGGATTTTAAAACACCTTCGTTGCGGTAAAATTTTTAATTTAAGTTTTAACCAGGTGTTTTATAGTTGATGATTTGTTGAGATGTTAACATTTTAGAGATCTGTTTGCTGTGTTTTGATACCTTTCTGTACAAATAAACCCATCTTAAACTCCTCCACCAGTTCTTATGTTCTCCCCATCCTTCACACTTTTAACATCTCATGTCGGGGACGTAACATAGACTGATTTGTGAACAATGTTTGAGAGAAATGGTAATATTGTGTATCTGGAATGAATTTTAGATCTTTAAGTCCATCTCATGAAAAATCGGAGCAGAAACAAAGGTGTTGCATTTATATTTTTGTTGAGTGTATAAAGTTTATCAGAAAAAAAGTTGTTTTGGGGATGACTTGCTCTTTAATATGTACATGTGGCAGTTTTAAACTGAATATTTAGCTAATTAAGGCTGTAGGACAGAAGCCTTAGAAATTCCTAAAATAAATTAAGTTTCATCTACATTAAGGAAGAACTCAGGCTGCTTACTGATCCATAGTGATCTGACTCATAAGACTTCATCAAAGGCACTGAAAGCATAGAGATTTTACTGTGGCTGGGTTCAAATTAGTAGATTTCTACATTCATTTCAACTTTAAACATCCATTTAAATTTTAACAGATTTTCCCTAAAACGTTCAAATGCAATGTTGTAGTTTGGTTTCCAATAAATGTGATGAAAAGTGACTTTAAAATGTTTGAACTCCGTTTGATATGAGAATTCAAATAAAAGCAGATTATGATAATGACCCACCGCTTTCAGAGTCGGGGGACTCCAAAGCGCTTTACCCTACACTCAGATTAGGCCGCCGAGGAACGTCGGCCCGTTACTTGTAACTAATATTTCAGGAAAATACTTTTCCTGTGAAACGTCTCAAACCCAGGCTGCCAGTTGGTTAATAAAGTTTGTTCAAACAAACAATGTGACGTCACTACAAACAATGGCAGCCAGCGGTTCAGCTGTAACGGTTCTGACTCCAAATGGAAGAAGACAAGCGGTCAAAGTGTCTCCCAACACCCCGTTGTTGCAGGTGACTTTAGTTTCACACACGTTTCTGTTTCTGTGAGTGCAGCTGTTCCCTTTTCCCTCCAAACAAAGGCGCAAACAGTTTTACAGCTAGCATGTGTGGCTAGCCCTGGTTAGCCAGTGACGGATCAGTTTTGGGTTTGGAGCGGAGCCTTGTTGTTGTTGTTTGTGACGCCGCCTCTGTTGATGTCTTCAGGTTCTGGAGGATGTCTGCCAAAAGCACGGGTTTGACCCCGGTGATTACGGGTTAAAGTGAGTTGTTAACGTTTGCTTTTCATGCTATAATAGAGCTAACGTGATATCGGCACAAAACGGAAAAACCAACGAAAAAGCTTTTGACTGAAGCTGGAAATGAAGCTGAAGAAGCAGAGATCTGTTTGCATCTAAAGGTGTTTTATATTCAGAGCTCTGCTTCAAACTAGAAGTTAATAAATGCAGCAAATGCAAGCTTTTTGTACCTTAAATGTTTCCATACCCACCTGATGACTCGGATGCTTCAGGCTTTTAGGTCCTTGTGACTAAACGCGGCTTAATTCTTACTTATGAACGTTTCTATGTGGGTGCCTCTTAAAAACACAACGTCTGGCTGGACTATATCTTAGTCCAGCCACTTTGTGTTAAATAGTTTGTGCTTAGCAGCTACATTGCTCATGTATTTCTGTCTTCTTCCGGGTTTTACTTAAAGGGTGGTCACTTAAGATTAAGAGAAAGCAGTTCCAGGTGTCAAGGGTGAAGATTAGACGTCTTGGAGCTCCACAAAGGAATCGATGAACAATAACCTTCACTAGAACCAACTTGTATTCAGTTCTGCTGCATATTTTCCTTAATCAAACATTTTTTTCTGAAACAAGCTGCTCTTAACTGTTTCAGAGAAAAATGTATTCCGTTTTATTTTTGAGTTGACTGTTAATCTCTGTTGTGTCGATGTTGTCAGCTGTCTCTTCTCTGTTGTTACTGACAGGTTTCAGAGGACAGTTCTTGACCTCACGCTGCCATGGAGGTTCGCCAAACTTCCCAACAACGCCAAACTGGAAATGGTGATGAGTACGAAAAAGCAGGTCGGAGCGGACAACCAGGTTAGTTGATAAAAGTAGGGATGCCCTGATCACCAGAGACAGAAATAAGGTCTAAATTGTGGTTGTTGACAAGATGGAAGAGATTTATTCAGTAATAATGGTTAAAACTGTATGTTGGGGATGGTGTTATCCCTAATCCTAACTGCAGGCGTCAGCGGCCGGACCGGCAGCAGAGCGTCTCTGCTTCAAATAGAATCCATTAAAATCCGTGAGCGAGTCCAAACCGGCCACGGCGTAGAACATTTCAGGCGTGTCCCAGTAGCAGCTTGCCGTGCCGCTAAAGATGGGATTGGGTTCTGTTTCTGTCATGAGCCACTTTTGGGACACGTCGGTTTTCGCAGTCAACATCGGATCTGTCATTCAAACAGCACATTCAGCCAATCACAAGCAAGATCAGCTCCAAAAACTTATGTCGCTCAATTACCTGCTTAGATTTTGTGTAAAACAGCATATTGTCACTCAGCTTCTGTTTCCACTGATTATGCTGATGTAATCCCTCTTCACTTTTATTATTATTTAGAACAGCTTTGGTTGTTTTGTATTGCGTTGTCCATTTCGATCATCTGTCCTGGCTCTTATCAAGCCTCCCACAGGCCGAACTGTCACTGCAAGAATGATCCATCTGCTTTGCTAAATCCTCCTCCAAACATGAAAATCAACCAGATTATATGTGTTGTTTCTTGCCACACAGTATGATAAATGATAAATGACCTGCACTTGTATAGCGCCTCTCAGAGTAAGGACTCCAAAGTGCTTTACACTACAGCGTACCATTCATCCATTCACACACTGATGGTGATGAGCTACGATGTCGCTACAGCTGCCCTGGGGCGCACTGACAGAGGTGAGGCTGCCAAGCACTGGCGCCACCGGTCCCTCCGACCACCATCAGCAGGCAAGGTGGGTTAAGTGTCTTGCCCAAGGACACAACAGCAGAATTCTCTGTCCAGAGCTGGGATCAAACCTGCAACCTTCCGATTACTGGACAACCCGCTCTACCTGTTGAGCTGTACTGATGCAATGCAAGAAACAAACACTGACGTCTTCTGTAGATTGGTTCTGTGTGTTGATTCACAATCATCTTATTTTTTTATTTAACACGGAGCAGTAATTAGTTGTTTTTTACCTTCGGCTGTCATGTTTCAGCCCGAACTCCCGCCTCCGTTAGAGCTGCCAGCCGCTCGTTACGTTCACTAGAATAAATACAATAAAGTTTATCTCACCAAATAGAATATTTACTAAGAAATCTTAATGTCACCATAGAAATACTACTGTGTGTGTGTGCCTGTGTGTGTGCACGTGTGTGTGTGTGTATGCGCACGTGCCTGTGTGTATGTGCGTGTGTGTGTGTGTGTGTGTGTGTGTGTCTGCTCTGTCTTCTCCATCCCCAGTGTGTCGTGGTGGATGGCTGCTTATACTGAGCCAGGATCCTCTGAAGGTTTCTTCCTGTTAAAAGGGAGTTTTCCTCTCCACTGTCGCTGCATGCTTGTTTAGTATGAGGATTGCTGTAAAGACTCTGACACTAGTCAGTGACTCGATGTGACCCGCTGGTTTCCTTATATAGGAAACTTGCTACTGATTGACTTAATGACCTGACCTGTACTAGTTACTGTGTGAAGGACCTTGAGACGACTCTGGTCCTGATTTATAAAAATAAACTGAATCGAAAAATTGAATTGAACTCCTCATTATTATCATTTATCGACTTATGAATCTCTTCCAGCTATTCTCTATTTTGTTGCTCTCATTGGCGGCATCACTCTACCTCCCTTGTGTATTTGATGACTTATTCAATAAGCCAGACTAGGAGTAGTTACACAGGGCGTCGCCATCTTGGATTAAACTTCCATGAATTTTGTGAATCTCTGTCCAACATCAAACGTGATCTCCTTTTTCTTCAACAGGCAGATTGGTGCTGCGTCTGCAGCGATGCGGGCGTTGTACCGGCCTGTCGTGGTGAAGAGAGAGAGAGCTGAGCCAGAAGGCAAAGCTCTCATAGCTTTAATAACTCTGAGCTGAAGGGGTCAGGGTTCTGAAAGCTCAGACTGATGGAGAATGGCACCAAGGTTCATGGTGGACAAGACTCGATACATGTGTATGCTTTAAATCTGCCGATCGTCTATCTTTACAATTTCTCAAGACAGCTTGAAAGGAGTTAAGTTGTAAGTATTTCACAGGAGGGAAAATATCCAGATATGTATCATTTGTCCGAGTTCAGCTAAAATATATCAATATACATTTTGGTCCATAGCATCCAGCCCTAGTTGGTGCTATTGGGATGTCATTTAGCTTAAAAATGGTCTGTTTCAGTGAAGCTCCGCCCACGTCCGCTCCAACAACACGCACCTACAACAGCGTCTTAGCGAGTCTCCTGTGGTGTTGGCCTCGGCAGTCCAGTGGTTCACGTGTCTGCCTGTCATCTCATTTTGTCGTGAGGTGGTGAAGGTTCTCAGTCATCCAGGTCCAAAAGGGTTCAGATGAAGGCAGCTGGACTTCCTTGGTTTCTTGAAGACGTTTCTCTTCTCATCTGAGTCGCTCCGTCAGTTCTGACTGGAATATGGGAGAGGGAAGAACCCCTGATGAGTCTTTAGCCTCTAGTGAGAGGGAGTTGTGTTGATCAGATGCAGATGGGAGGGGCGGGGCTTAGATTTCACCTTTCCAGCACCTATAATGCAGCTTTGAGCCTTGTTCCTAAGCAGCTTCAGTCTAGTCAACACGCCTCCCTCTCATGAGGGTCCAGTTGCCTTCATGTGAACGCTTTTAGCATGAGCTGATGGACTCACACTGACTACATAAACAACGTAAAACACACTAGTCCTTCTTTTTGAAACAGTTTACCAATAAAGGGTTGAAAACGTCAGACTGGCGAGTGAAGCTGAAACATAAGTAGAAAAGTTGCTGCTGAGACCGGGAGGAGCCGGTAAAACAGCATGCTAGTCACTCTAACAACGTGTCCTGAGCTGGTCGGTACGTGTCTTCCTGGACTGGACTCATGGTTTTTACGGCGAGTTTTGTCGCCGGTGCAGAAGTGATTAGTCAGAACCTCCACTCTGGTACCGGTGGAGGTCTAAAGCAGCCATCTGTGGCCTGAAGGTCACGTTCTCACCTGCAGAGTGAAGTCAGCCGCTCTGTGTCCACGACTAGGAGAAAGTGAGAGTTAGTGACCTACTTCCAGGGGAGCCGGGTTCCTGATCAGAGACGAGCATCAGGGGGAGGAGCAGGGCCTGGTGACGCACTCAGTTTTCATCCAGGCTTCTGCAGACTTTCAAAATAAAACTCAACATTTGCAGCTGAGACAGGAAAACGCATGAATGCAGCCAAAATGGGGTTGGGGTATTATTTATGAAGAATTAACAATATCACACGGTGAAAGCTCCGGAATGTGGATTTTGATGATTTCCCTTTAAACTGACTAGAAATACGCCCGACATGGAAGCCGTTACCACCATAGGTGCTAGCTGATCTGAGTGAGTTTTAATCACCGCTGAAGAAAACTCTCACTCTTAGTTGTATCTGAGCTGTATTTTCCTATGACATCATCACGCCGTAATCCAAGCAGTAAACTCGCGGCTGGGCTTCATCTGCTGCTCTGTTCATTTGATGGATGGTTTACTGTTGATGCCTCACACACACCCACACACACATCATCAGACCTGTGTGTGCGTCGATGACCAACACACTCGTTTCATCTCCCCCGGTGTGCCGACGCGCAGCGCGCTCCGTTCTGGATCACACGTTGTTGAGTAAACATAAACAAGTGTTGGTGTGACTCAGAGCAGCAGACTCCAACGGGTGTTCCTCATTTCCAGACTGATGTAGGCCCACATGTGCAGCTTCATGGGTTTGATGAGCAGAGTTGATTTCTACAGAGAGCCGAGAGGCTCTAGGAGCCACCTGGGAGAGGAAGGTGAGTTTCCTGTTCAGCGATCAGGGAAGCCTTCGCCCTACGGAGTGAAATCCATCAGGTTTAGGCTTTCACGTGAAAAACGTTCTTCTTCTCTTTTTTTACGACTCTGATAGAAACGCTGGCATCTACTGAGCGTGCTTTCTGGTGTCGGAGCAAAACTCTGTGATGTTTGATCAGTTTTACTTTGAAGTTTCTTATTAATGAGCAGATGATGATCATTTCTGACTGCTATTTACTTCCTGGTGCTGTTGGTTTAATAGCGGTGTTTGTGGTTTCTAACACGGCTGTAAACTTGTGCTTTCTTCAGGTGCGGGTTGCGCTCCAGATGGAGGACGGCTCTCGGCTCCAGGGTTCCTTCTCCTCTGGACAGAGTCTGTGGGAGCTGGTCACACATTTCCCTCAGATCAGGTGTGTTTGTGGATGTAGTTCAGGTTGTAGCAGCAGGCAAGGTGGGTAAAGGGTCTTGCCCAATGACACAACAGCATCATTCTTTGGTCAGAGCTAGGATCGAACCTGCAACCTTCTGATTATTGAACCTGCTCTACAGGACAGCAGGAGCTCAGGAGGTAGAGCAGGCGGTCCACTGATCTCAGGCTCAGGGGGAGAGAGGTCCAGAGTCTGGAGACCACAGCAGCAGATGATCTGTCACCTTTGACCTTTAGCCTGGTGCTGTACAACCAGTAGGCTTTGGTCACTGGACCTCAGGGACCTGCTGGGGGTGTAGGGACTAAGAAGATCACCAATGTAAGATGGTGCTTGTCCATGTAAGGCCCTATAGACCAGAACCAGGATCTTGAAATGAACCCTGAAGTTGACTGGCAGCCAGTGAAGCTGGAGGAGAAGCGGGGTGATGTGGGTGTGTTTGGAGGACTTGGTCAGAAGCCGAGCACAGGCGTTCTGAACCACCTGTAGACGGTTCAGGGAGGTTCTGCTCAGACACGTGAAAAGAGAGTTACAGTAGTCTAAGCGTGAGGAGATGAAGGTGTGGAGAACTGTCTCAAGTTCAGAGCGGGACAGAATGGGACTCAGCTTAGCAATGTTCCTGAGATGGAAGAAGGAAGAGCCAACAAGAGAACTGACATGAGAATCCCGGGTGAGAGCTGGGTCAAAGGTCACGCCAAGATTCCTGACAGAAGGTTTGGTGTGAGAAGCAAGCTGACCAAGAGAGTCTCTGACTTTGGGAACCAGCTTGTCTGGGGCACAGATGAGGATCTCAGTCTTATCTTCATTCAGCTGTAGAAAGCTCCCAGCCATCCAGGTTTTGATAGAGTCTAAGCAGGTGTGTAACAGCTGCAGCTTAGACATCTCATGGGGCTTAAAGGAGATGTACAGTTGTAGCAATTCAGCTGGAGAAAGTTCCCAGCATCAGTATCTCAGGAGGGAGAGCAGATGGTCAGTGATCAGAGGGTTAAGGGATCAATCCCAGCTCTCACCAGGGTACTCTGCTGTTGTGTCCTTGGGCAAGACACTTCACTTGAACTTCCTGTGGTGGTCATGGGGATCGATAGCACAAAAATGGCCGCCCCAGGGTGTCTGTGGCTATGTAGTAGCTTACCATCCCCAGCAGTGTGTGAATAATGGATGGTGCCTAGAAAAAGCACTTTATAAATGAAATCCTTTATTATTGTTATTAAAATCTAGATTAGTGATTTCATCTTTAAATATGATTCTGATCCTTTCTTTCCTTTGAAAATCCAGTTTCACAGCAGGAGGAAATATTTCCTTCTTCACCTCTAAGTGAAAGAATATCAAAAGTTTTTATCAGAATTAGAGGCAAGTACCGTACCGTGTTTATTTCTAGAGCTGACCGAGTGGACGGATCTGAGTTCAGAGCGTCTGATTTAGAGGATTCCTGGGTGGTTTTAAACACACCAGGTGTGTTTCACTGGCATTACCTGAACTTAACTAAATGTCTGGTTATTCTGTGAAAACAACTTGTGGTGGTCCCAGTGCTGTAGCTTCTGATGGTGTCTCTGGGCTTGCCAGCTTCACTGGTTCTGCAGTTTATGAATCTGCTCTGTTGTCAGAGAATAAACAGCAGAAAGCTGTGAAGCTCGCTGTAAACGGGATGGTTTTGGCCCAGGAAACAGGATTCTTTACTTTCGGCTAAGCAGACGCGCTTGCTGATGAGGTCAGGAGCATCATCATGACACACACACACACACACACACACACACACACACACACGCACGCACGCACGCACGCACGCACGCACACACACACACACACACACACACACACACACACACACACACACACACACACACACACACACACACACACACACACACACACACACACACACACACACACACACACACACACACACACACACACACACGTGTGTGTACATATTATATACATATACACACACACAAATATATACATATATATACACACACACACAGGTATACACACATATATAGTATATATGTGTGTGTATGTGTATAAATTATATACATATACACACACACACACACACAAATATATACATATACACACAAACACACACACACACACACACACAAATATATACATACCAGTATACACACACACGTACACACATATATAGTATATATGTGTGTGTATGTGTATATATTATATACATATACACACACACACACACAAATATATACATACACACACATACACACAAACACACATATATACACACACATATATACATATACGCACACACACACACACACACAGCTGTTGCTCAGTAGTTCCAGCTGTGCTGCTCCAGGTGCTCTAACCAGCCTTCATCCCATCCCTATGAAATGACATCACTGCATATCCTGATCCCTTTCCATGGAAGTTATACTTCCATGCGAGGAGAGCTGGTGCCAAACCGGTGTTTGGGGGCGGTCAGATGGGTAAGCTTTGATTTTCAGAAATGAGAGGAACAATTGTAAAATATTTATGGTTCAATTAGTTTCTGCACAACATGGAGCCCACATGGTTTACACATGCAGACAGTGTGCTGCATGAAGGGAGGCTGCGGTGTGGGACCACGCACCAGAGTCCTGTTAGGAAGAGAGTTTTTATGGGTTAAAGTGAGTTTAGCTTACATTTTCTGTTTTCTTCTGCTTCTCCCCACCTCTCCTCAGCCAGCCGGAGCTGTCTGAAGCAGGAGCCACTCCTGTGTGTGTTTACATGAGAGATGAGGTATGCAGCCTCGCTTTTACTCTCCCTTTCTGTTGAGATGAAAGTCAGTTTTACTACAGCACAGCTGTGTGTGTGTGTGTGTGTGTAGGTGAGCGGGGCAGAAGCCTTAAAGAAGACCACGCTGAAGTCCCTGGGTCTGACAGGAGGAAGCGCCATTTTCAGGTTTGTGTTCATGTGACGTTTCTCTGATGTTGGTTTGTGAGTCAGTGTCACTTTGTATGTTTTAGGTTTCTTCTGAAAAAAGATAAAACAGCAGGTGAGGAGGATGACACCGCTGCTGTGCCACTCACCCTTGTTGCCAAGGAAACCACAGCCAGCTCATCACCTCCATCCGATGCTGCTCCATTATTCTCAGAGCCTAAACTAGAACCGATGCCTGCTGAGAACTCGGTTCCTGATCAGCCAATGGAAACTTCGCCTGTGCCAACTCCTGCCATGGCTACAAGCAAGACCCCTGTTCATCAGGAAGCAGTTCAACCCAAAGCCCCTCCCACGGGAAGTGAAATACCGTTTGAGGATGGAGAGAAAGCAGGGCCTTCAGGGCTGGACTCTCACCCATCATCTTCCTCCCCTGCTTCTCCTTCAGCTCCCTTCATTCCTTTCTCTGGAGGTGGTCAGCGACTGGGGGACCCAGAGGAAGGAGCCATTGCTCGCTCACTATCTTCATCATCGTCTTCACCTCTGTCTGCTCTTACAGTAGAATCACCGAAAGCCAAAAAAGCTAAATCCAGCCACAGTTCCAGCACTAAGGTGAGCTTCAGCACCACAAAACCTACAGAATATGAATCCACCTCTCCTCGTCCAGCAGTTTTAACTCTTATTTATAATGAAATGTAGTTACATTTATAAAAGCTGGGTAGGGTTAATCGATATCACCATATATTATCTACTTCTGTTTATTTACATTCCCACATACCAGAGGAAGAGGACAAGTAGCTGTAAAAAGTACTGAACATTTAATGTTCAAAAATTATTTAAAAAAAAACCTTTCAAGTAGTTTTTATGTTATGATTCAAACAAAGCAACACAAAAATCCTCATAAAACGCATAAAGATGAAGATATTTGAATAAAATACAAGCTAAATGTGATGAAACACCATGTAATAAACTATGTATTAATAGTTTGAACTGGAATATATTACATTTCTTCCTGATGTATTTAATCACTTTTATCATAGAAGTTAAGTGTTGCTTCACTAGTCAACAAGTAAGTACTTTTTATTTATTTGTTTTTTGGTGACTTGTACCATTTTGTTTGTTTTAATGTAGGTTTTGTGTTAGATTTAGTAAACAAGTAAAAATTACTTGTATAAAGGGGTAGGGATATATAAGTTTCCACTTCAGCCTACTCCTTTTCAAACACAGAAGAAGGGATGACATGTATTTTTTCTGTTTGTGGTATTTAAAAAAAATTATGTATGTTTTCTTTGTTTGAAATAAACTAAACTAATAATTTATAAAGCACTCATCACAGACAGAAAAGCTGCAGATGAAATTATAATTAGCTGCATTTTTTGTCAGAGCTATTGAATAAGGTTGGAGGTATATTCTTTCTCTCTACCCCTGGTTGAGCGACACTCTGACCAGCAGGTCTGGGGTTATTAGGGGTCAGACCCGCGGTGCGGGAGGCAGATGGGGAGAACGCAGCTCAAAACCCACATTTTTAATTAGAGAAACAGCTGCAGATGGGAATTTGTTCAAACTTATTCCTAAAGTTTGGAAACCTGTGTGTTTATTGTGTGTTAAAAAGCCAAACAGCATTTAAGGTAATTAGTGTTAACGAGCCATTAAAGCAGAGTCGACTTTACTGTCGCCAGAATCTTTACTGGGATGTTTCTCTGCTCAACACCAGGCCCTGAAACACAAACTAGGTCCCTATAACTAGCGTTACCTCGTCTTCAGTAATCCTGAATCCTGCTGCAGTATGGAGCTAGGATTGGAACAATATTCAGCGTAACTTGTACCAAGTTTTGTAACTTCGAACATGTTTCATCACATGTAACTTTGGATTCGTAACTTGTAACTTTAGTTTTCTAACTTGTAATTCTCAATTTGTACTTGTATTTCTTGTTTTGTAACAGGAAAATGTTCGTTTTGTACATGTATTTTTAATCTTGTAAAATCAAACTTTTATTTTGTACATTTACTACTCATTTTGTAACATCAAACATTCATTCAGAAACATGAAACTTTCGTTTTGTAACTAGCAGACTTCCAAATTGAAAAAATCAAGGTACAAGTTTGAAATCAAAACTCTCAAAAACACACATTTCATTCTACAGGTACAAACCTCAAATCTACAGTTACAGATCTTTTTGTCTCGATTCTAGCGTCAGTGGGAGGAACTTGGGTGGAACCAATGAGAGCACGAGTCTTAGCTGCCAATCACGTTTCTCGAATTCCTGTCCAATCATTGGGAGAGGAGGGCAGGGTTCTGTCAGAGCTGTAGAAAGAGAGAGTTACGACACTCTTTGAACTCGCCGACTCGCGGTCACGTGGTTCATAGAGCTCTGTTCCAAACATCCCACAGCGCCGTAAGTCAGTTTGAACGGCGTATGGTGGGACATATCACTAAAATTTAATATAATCACATTTCACCTGGCGATTTGTGGTAATTATTGAGTAATATTATATATTATATTATATATTATGTCCTAACTCCTTCACAAAGTAGCCTATTTATATTTTTCCAAGCATTTGTAGGAAGACAAACACCTGTGACTGTTCTACATTACAGGAACATGACAGTCCTAACTAGGGCTGCAACAACGAATCGATAAATTCGATGAAAATCGATTACTAAAAGCGTTGGCAACGATTTGCGTCATCGATTCGTTGTGTCGCACAACTCTTCCAAAGCCCCCCCGCCCGCCCGCCGTTGCGCACAGACCGGAGCAAGTCAGATCAGCGCGAGGGAGAGCCGGCAGGTGTTTGGAAGAGGAACATGGCAGAAGCCGCGAGACCCAAAAAAGTAAAAACTTCTAAAGTTTGGGAGCATTTTCAGTTAAATCAGGCGAAGACATTCGTTACCTGCAACGTTTGTAGGTCAGACTTAGCATGGCACGGGAGTACTACAGTGATGATGCAGCATCTTAAACGCACGCATGTCAGAATCATCAGCGAGGAAGGAGAGAGCTCTGTGTCCGGGTAAGTTAAAAACTTTTCAAAAGTGATTCACCCAAGCCCCAGATTATTACACACGCTAGGCATGCCCTAAGCTCGTAAAAAAAGTCTATAAAATCGTAAGGGCAATGCTATTGGATGGGCGGTGGGGGCTCGCGCTGCTGCGAACTGGTTCCGCCGTCACATTCCCGCAGAAAGTGGTTGATCACACCGGGGCCAGACTACTAGCATGTGGTTTTACAACCACAATGTCCTCTGAAGCGAAAACGCTTTTAAAAGGGAGGGAAGAGTCCTAACTGTTGCTGCAGGCGTGTTGTGTGAGAGTGCAGTTATATACTGGTTAATATATTTTTGGGTTCAGTTGCTTTCATGTGGCCTAATGTAAGTCTATTTGGGATCATTGGAATGATCCTCAGCATTTCTTGATGTGACTTTATGGCAGTTGCCCAGGGCATCATCACAAGGAGAATGGCATTCATTTACTTTTGTTTTATTTGGTATTTTTTCAGTCATTTTTGGAAATAGTGATTAATTTTGATTAATTCACAGCCTATGTTTAATTACATTTAAAAATTAGTTGTTTGACATCCCCAATTATAATAAATGTCTACAGATGAGATCAAACAAAACAGATGAGAATTGCCCTTAAAGAGCAAGTCACCTAGCCTGGCAAGCCAGACTAAATAAATGTATTATTTAGTCTGGCCACGCTCCACTGACGGCTCTCGGTTGTGGGGCGGGTTCTACCGTTGTCTTTCAAATGATCTCCGCATTCCACTGGACAATGAATGTGACATACTCTTGTTTCACTCTGTTGCATCATCCCACCCACCAGGCAAATAGAGTGCCCTGATTGGCCCACAAAGCAGATAAAGCTCTGTGATTTGTTCACTAAGCAGATAGAGCACTATGATTGGCCCACCATTATGGACCAATCACAGCTCTCTATGTGTTTGAAACCCCTCTAGAGAGCTGTGATTGGCTAGCCAGAGTCCTGGTAGGAGCTGCTGTGGTTCCAATGGAGCATGCCTAGACCATTCTTTGCAAAGCAAGAATTTGGTCTAGTTCACTAGGCTACAAGTCACCCCCAAATAAACTTTTTTGCTGATAAACTAAATAAATGAGTGTCTAATCGTGCTGCAGACACGTGTCGTCAATAATTTGGCACTTCAGTGCATCTTAGTTAAAATTTAAATATTCTGCCTAAAACTGGCATTGTTGTGCCGTTGTCAGGTAAAAACTCTGCACTGTATTTTAATTTAAATCTGCCACCGCTATTGGCTAAGAAGTATGCTATGATGTAAACTGGTACATTATGATGTCACAATGCTGTTGTGAGCCTGAGTGTGTGTGTGTATTTGTTAGCGGCTCCGCCCTCTCGGTCTGCCAGGCAACAGCATTTGTTCCATTTTTCAAACATGAAGTGGGAGTGGAATTAGACTCTGGTAGGGGTTGACTTGCTCTTCAAGCTGTTAAACTTGGACCAAGCATTTTAGATCACAGATAGGTGTAGCTTAGGGTCTCTGTCTATACACCTTATAAGACAATTTAGGTGATGGCATGTTGTTTTTCTGCTATTGAACTGTTTTCTAATAATGTTGTGTTTAATAAAGTGAAGGAAGGAGAGAAATAACGTTTCCCTAGCAGTTTTTAAAAATTTCCCCATGTAATCCGATTAATCGATTAATCGTATCGAGACCCCATCCGATTCATCGATTATCCAAGTAATCGTTTGTTGCAGCCCTAGTCCTAACACACTGTAGAACACATTTAGACCACATACATTACAGGAATTCGAGAAACGTGATTGGTAGCTAAGACTCGTGCTCTCATTGGTTCCACCCAAGTTCCTCCCACTGACGCTAGAATTGAGACAAAAAGATCCGTAACTGTAGATTTGAGGTTTGTACCTGTAGAATGAAATGTGTGTTTTGAGAGCTTTGATTTCAAACTTGTACCTTGATTTTTTCAATTTGGAAGTCTGCTAGTTACAAAACGAAAGTTTCATGTTTCTGAATGAATGTTTGATGTTACAAAATGTGTAGTAAATGTACAAAATGAAAATTTCCTGTTACAAAACAAGAAATACAAGTACAAATTGAGAATTATAAGTTAGAAAACTAAAGTTACAAGTTACGAATCCAAAGTTACATGTGATGAAACATGTTCGAATTTACAAAACTTGGTACAAGTTACGCTGAATATTGTCCTAATCCTAGCTCCATACTGCAGCAGCCTCTCCAGAGCGGACGCAGCTTGACAAAATTCATGCAGTTCATGCATGTCGCGGTTGGCCTAAAAAGATAATTGATAGAATGACATCAGAACCTTATTTGAATATTCATTAAGCATAACACATCCCAACACAATGTTTGTTTTTACCAGGGCACAGCAAGTGCTGTCATCATTTGGTTAATTTTCCGCGTGCTCCTTGTAATGCGCTCTCATGGACCACTAGGGGTATGCGTACCCCTGGTTGGGAATCACAGGTCTAGATGACCAGCAAGTTCGACTCCTGAAACGTCTGTCAGATGGAGGCATGGTACACAGCCGGATGGCTGTGGTCCTAGATGAGGCTGGCCTCACCTGGCCTTGCTACTGGACGCACAGACGGCGTGTAACGTAATGGACGCATTTTACTCGCAAGCTCCTTTTCCAATGGGAGCATTACAGTGTAACATGTCGTTACTCTTACATTACACTTCGCAGACATTATGCTCCTCTTATGTAACGCGTCACACACATTACGATACTTGTACGTTATTCTTCTCAGACATTACGTTCCTCTTATGTAACGCGTCAGACATTACGTTACTTTTACGTTACACTTTGCAGACATTATACTACTCTAATGTAACGCATCACAGACATTACGCTACTCTTATGTAACGCATCACACACATTACGATACTTGTACGTTATGCTTCTCAGACATAACGTTCCTCTTATGTAACGCGTCAGACATTACGCTATTCTTATGTAACGCGTCACAGACATTACGCCACTCTTATGTAACGCGTCACAGACATTACGTTACTCTTACGTTATGTTTCGCAGACATTATGCTACTCTTATGTAACGCGTCACACACATTACGATACTTGTACGTTATGCTTCGCAGACATTACGTTCCTCTTATGTAATGCATCACAGACATTACGTTCCTCTTATGTAACGCATCACAGACATTATGCTACTCTTATGTAACGCGTCACAGACATTACGTTACTCTTACTTTACACTTCACAGATATTATACTACTCTTATGTAACGCGTTGCAGACATTACGATACTCGTACGTTATGAAGAAGAAAGTTTCATTTCTATAGCGCCTCTCAAGATAAAAATCACAAGGCGCTTCTGCCTTGCTTCGCAGACATTATGCTACTCTTATGTAATACGTCACAGACATTACGTTCGTCTTATGTAACGCGTCGCAGACATTACGATACTCGTACGTTATGCTTTGCAGACATTATGCTACTCTTATGTAATACATCAGACATTACGTTCGTCTTATGTAATGCGTCGCAAGACATTACGATACTCATACGTTATGTTTCGCAGACATTGCGTTCCTCTTACGCAACGCGTCACAGACATTGTGATACTTGTAGGTTATGCTTCGCAGACATTATGCTACTCTTATGTAACGCGTCGCAGACATTACACTACTCTTATGTAAAGCGTCACAGACATTACGATACTCTTACATTACACTTCAAAGACATTATACTACTTTTATGTAACCCGTCGCAGACATTATGATACTCGTACGTTATTTCTTCGCAGACATTACGTTCATCTTACGTAACGCGTCGCAGACATTACGATACTCGTACGTTATGCTTCGCAGACATTATGCTACTCTTATGTAATATGTCAGACATTACGTTCGTCTTATGTAACGCGTCGCAGACATTACGATACTCGTACGTTATGTTTCGCAGACATTATGTTCCTCTTACGTAACGCATCGCAGACATTGTGATACTTGTAGGTTATGTTTCGCAGACATTAGGCTACCCTTATGTAATGCGTCACAGACATTGTGATACTTACACGTTATGCTTCGCAGACATTACGTTCCTCTTACATTACACTTCGCAGACATTATACTACTCTTATGTAATGCGTTGCAGACATTATGATACTTTTGCATGACACTTTGCAGACATTACGCTACTCTTATGTAACGCGTCAGCGACATTACGATACTCGTATGTTATGCTTCGCAGACATTATGCTACTCTTATGTAATGCGTCGCAGACATTACAATGCTTTTACATTATGCTTTGCAGACATTATGCTACTCTTATGTAACGCGTCGCAGACATTACGTTACTCTTACGTTACACTTCGCAGACATTATACTACTCTTATGTAACGCGTCACAGACATTACAATTTTCTTACATTACACTTTGCAGACATTATGCTACTCTTATGTAACGCCGTCGCAGACATTACGTTACTCTTACATCACACTTCGCAGACATTACGCAACTCTTATGTAACGCGTCGCAGACATTGTGATACTTGTACGTTATGCTTCACAGACATTATGTTACTCGTACGTTATGGTTCACAGACATTATTCTACTCTTATGTAACGCGTCGCAGACATTACGCTACTCTTATGTAACGCGTCCTCCTTGGCCAAATTAATCAATGATGTGTCTTTTTTTTCAGTTTATAGGAGCTGCTATCATACAAGATAAGGAAATGGACCACATGGAGGAATATTTGGAGGTAAACTTGTTCAGATCTCCTCAGAAACTGCTGTGTTTGTTAGCTTCTCTTGATCAGAAACATGTCAATAATCACCGCTTTCCATAACTGTGGTGTTTGAGTGTAGCACATTAACGTAGACACACTTTCTGTCTACAGCCAATTGAGAGGGAGCCTCTGATCTATCACCTGGACTCCTCGTCCCGTCACACCGAGGTCAACCAAGATCTGCCTGACGAGTTCTTTGAAGTGACGGTGGATGACGTGCGAAAGCGCTTTGCCCAGCTGAAGAGCGAGAGGTGGCTGGATTGAAGTTTGTTTTAAAAGTCGTCGTGTGGTTCTTCTCAGTTTGAATCTGATTCTTTCTCAGCTTCGCGTGCCGTCCTGCTGTGTTTAGTGAATATTTAACCTTTAATTGTTGAATACCAAAGCGGTGATGGGAGTACGCCAGGCATCACTGCTGGTTCTTTATTTATTATTAGTTTGAAGCTTTCATCTAATTATGTGTGCTTCTTTAAAGCAGATGCATGTAAGATTGCTCTGTGTGTTTGTATTCATGCTTTTTATGAAACACCACACACACTACAAAGGCTTCCACAGGCTGCACACTGGGAACAATTAGCTGGACTGTTTTGTGCAGATCTTCTAGTCTTTGACTGAACTCTGTCAGGTTGGGACCTCATCACGCTCAGCCTTTAATCTCTGTCAACATTAACTTAGCAGGCTGCCTCTTAGCGACGCTGCTACCATGTCAATGACTGCAATTACTGAGGCTGGAATGAAGCCGACCACAGCAATCTGTCTGCCTCTGACAAGCGCAACACGAATACATGGCCACACACGAGCGAGGCAGGAGATCCAGCGCCGCTCATCCTCTCACAAACAAACAAACGACATTTGAACCTGTTTGTTTGTCTCTCGTTTCTTTAGGAAGTCATTAGAGGAGACGCCACTCATGACTAAATCCATGAGAGAGACTCGGATGAAAGAGAAGATCGAGCGATATCCGAAAGTGAGTTCTGTTTTCAGACACAATCACATTCCTTTCATCTAAACCACTCCGCTCTATAAATAACCTCTGCTTCTCCAGGTGGTCCTGAGGGTCCAGTTTCCTGACAGACATGTTCTGCAGGGCTTCTTCAGGCCTCTTGAGACAGGTGTGTGTTTGTGTGTTCATTTCACCTGGCTAGCCACAGGTATGGCTGCAATGTGGAACATTCTCGTGGCTCTTCACCACATTCATGACTGCAGCGGAGTGACGGAGACCGAGAGAAGCAGACGAGTCTATAATTCCAGGGATTAGAGGCATCAGAACAACAAATTAGAGGGGAATTCCTTCTGAAACGTGATCTACAGTCGGCACGGCGAGCGTCGGAGGCTTGGTGTGGTTTGTAATGCTCCAGCTGATTTTCTCTGTCTTCTGCCCAGTTGGTGTGGTGAAACAGTTTGTGAGGAGTCACCTGGAGGATCCTAGAGTCAGTTTTTACCTGTGTAAGTGTTCTGTCTTGCTGAAGTTCCTGCCATCCATCGCATTACAAGTCTCAAACACCAGTGCTCCTATCAGATTCACTTTAATGTTGCCACTTTTTCCACTATGCTTCATATTTAATTTTATTATTCTTCATTCAACCAACAAATCCACTTCTAAAGGAAGTAAACGTTGATCAAACGATGACCGAAACATGGATTAAAATGAAGATTAACTTTCAGGTTTAACCTTTTGTCATTAGGTCAAGTAAGGATCGTCTTCTGAGTATTTATTTCTTTTTACAGTCATCACCCCCCCTAAAGTGATCCTAAATGATCCTGCAGCAACGCTCCTACAGGTGAGTCTCTGGGGACTCAGGTGATCATTATTATTTCAGAATGCAAGAAAACCATCAGGTGTGTGTGTGTATGTGTGTTTGTTTGTTTGTTTCTTTGTTTGTGTGTGTGTGTGTGTGTGTGTGTGTGTGTCTTGTACATACTACATACTGAGGACTGTTTTCCCTACAAAATGAGGATATTTTTCTGGTCGTCGCTTTTTTAAAAGCTTACCAGCTGGTTTTAGAGATCTGGTGTGTATTAAGTTTAACTTAGGGTGAGGCAGAGTGGAGTCACTAAAATGAATGGAAGTCAATGGAGGTCCACACAAACATATAAATACAAGTGTGTGTGTGTGTGTGTGTGTGTGTGTGTGTGTGTGTGTGTGTGTGTGTGTGTGTGTGTGTGTGTGTGTGTGTGTGTGTGTGTGTGTGTGTGTGTGTGTGTGTGTGTGTGTGTGTGTGTGTGTGTGAGAGAGAGAGAGAGAGAGAGAGAGAGAGAGAGAGTGAAAAAGAGAGAAGATCAAAGCGATGCCTGTATTAACCCCATGTGCCAGTCTGGGAAAAATCAAGCCCAGCTGGGGTCAAGGACAGTGGAGCCGGCAGGGGGAGGGTGTGCTTTGAAGAGGAGACACACGCACGCACACACACACGCATGCACACACACACACACACACATGTATTTTTGTCATAGTGAGGACCATCCATTGACTTCTGTTCATTTTTGTGACTCCACCATGCCTAACCCGTACCCTAACCTTAAAGTGACGGAGTATTTTCCCTGGCGATAAGGGAGGTAGATGTCTAAATCGTTGCAAGCAAGCAGAAATTTTTTGTCGGAGTAAGACCTTACCAAGGGATGCCCATTAGGGTCAAAAAGCCCCGGGGAGTGCAAACTTCAGCAAAATAACGAGCACATCGGACACTTTCATCAGTGGTAACAGGTGAAGAGATGAATGTGTAAAACAACAACAGGTTGTAATCGTTTGTTACAAATCAGTAAATACACTTGGTCCTCATGGGCTCCCGTAGAACAGACCCACTCCCATGTATTTTAGACCTGATTTTTATGGTTATATGTCACAAAACTGCCAATATTTTTCAACAACTGGGCATCATTTCATTCTTTTTCAGCACATTTTGAATCCAGAAATGATTTAGTAAAAACTACATATTGTCTCTTTAACTAAAACTTCATTCACACTAGACCTCTAAAACATACTAAAGAAGTGAGGACCAAAAACATGTCCTCGCTTTGAAGTACACACACGCGCGCACACACACACACACACACACACACACACACACAGCCAGTGAAACTTAGTAATAAAACTGTTTCTTTAAGGTTTTATAGTTGTTGTGTTTTTTAAGAACAAAGGAACGTGTTTGTCATCATCCTCCTTTGAATCTGGACCTGAAAAGTGGGGTTGGGGTTTGTGTCATGATGATGATGATGATGAAGAGATTGAGTCCTCAGAGGATAACAACCCTGGAGACCATAACAGCACACGTTCAAACGTCTGCGTCGGTGTTCGTTTCGGTCCAATCAGACGTTCTGATGAATGTTTCTCATCTTTCTTTGTTCTTCATCGTCCCGTCTTCTTTTACCTCTCCCTCTCCTTCTCCCCATCTTTTTGAGCGTCCTTCGCCTGCAGCACCCAGATGATGTCTCTGTCCTGTGCCTCCCCCTCCTCTCACCCCCGTGTCTCCATCCATCAGAGACCTGAAAGCGTTAACGTGCACAAAAACAAAATCCATAATCCCGCAGTGTCACTTCAAACACTCACAAACTGTCTGGCACTATTTTGTTGTCTATACCTCAAATTTTAACATGGAACACACGAGGAACCTTTCATCTTCTCTCTCCTGTCATGTCACGCATACATGGCTGCATATGTCTTTCTTTTAGGCGCACACAAACACACTAACTTTAATCACTTTGTGTCATGTCAGGAAAGGAATGTTTCCCAATCCAGAAGTCTTTGATACCAGCGTCCCCTCCCTCACCCGTCTGCCCCTCCATCTTCCACCAGGATCTGTTCAGCCTCTTTCTCTTTTTACTTGTGTGTTTCTACACACACTCTTTCTCCCTCTCTCACACACACACGCACACACACTCTGGTCTCATCAGCTCGTCTTATCCGGAGTTCTGCAGCCAGAGGGAACAGGATTGCTGGCATTCCCGATGTTCCACTGTAGCACGTTGTTTCCTGCTCACAGAGCTACGTTGATAGCAATTAGGCTGCTGCGTCCCCATTTAGCATCCAGCTACACAAAAGGACAGAGTGAGGATGGCGAGCGTGAGACAAGTTGTGGTGTAAACTCATCTGACCCCAGCAACAACCGGCCTGTTTGTGCTGCAGATTGTTCTAAAACGACTTGACGCAGAAGAGCTTCCTGCTTCTCCTTCCTACTGGTTGAAAGTGGAATTACAACTGTCATAAACAACCCTGCTGTTGCTAACGCTAACATGAGCCAACTTATACTAAATAAACCACAAAGTAAATACGTCCACATATATTATTACCTACAAGTCCAGTAGCAACAAAGCCAGGTCACCATCAGTTTGTGATGTCGTAGCCTCCTTTAGCTCCCTAAAACTAGGCTGCGCCAATCTTCGTTCTGGTTTCAGCTCTTTGCTTCACCTCCACAGACATTACTTTCTCACTTTTACTTCCAGGTTCCACCATGATGCCAACTAAAAAAAACTAAATCCTTCCTCTCATCGTGCTGTAGCGTGGCCGAGGTCATGTATTTCGATGTCAACCTGACACCAGGAGGTGTTGATTATAAATATATCTTAACTTGTCCAGTGGCCTTGTTTTTAAGCTGTAAACTAAAGAATCATTTCACGAGACAAATATACGATAGCTTTTATTAAACGGTGTTGGATAAAAGTCTTGTAGATAAGGCCACTGGACAAGTTAAGTGATATTCATAATCGACACCTCCTGGTGTCAGCTTGACACACCCTGTGTCATTGCAGAAAGGTACCTTTTATTGAAATGTTTACGTTTATTTATTTGGCAGACAATTTTATCCAAAGCGACTTACAATTTATAACCTGTAGGCCATGTTGTGATCTGTGGGGGAAACCGGAGTACCCGGAGGAAACCCACGCATGCATGAGGAGAACACGCAACTCCATGCAGAAAGGCTGTAGCCGAGTTTCGAACCTGCAACCTTCGTGCTGCGAGGCAGCAGTGCTAACAACTGCGCCACCATGCAGTGGCGCAGTTGTTAGCACATGCAGAAATACATGGCCTCGGCCACGCTGCAGTGCTTTTGATTGATGGTCGGTGAACTAAAAAAGCTAGCCTTTATATGAGCTACCAGCTCAGTAAACAGCTATTGGCATAAAGCAGATGGAGACCTCCAACTAGTGTTCTCACCCAAACCACTAAACTGTTAAGTACAGTTTCTGGTCAGCAGAGGGCAGCAGAGTGCTGTCCCATGTGAAGCTGCTCAGGCCACTAGCCCAACAATCACTGAAATCCACTTTCAAAGCAATAGCTTAAGTGGTCGAATCTCTTTAGTGTTGCTTTAAATCACTAATAGCCAGCATTTCTAGATCGATATTTCAATATCTTTGTGATTTTTATGCCAGCATTGTGGTGGCTCATCAGTAGGGGGCCATTAGGTCGGTCAGCGCAGTAACGTTGGAGTTACCGTGAGTCTAAGGCTTCTCCCCTTCCGGCTCATGGGTCCCTGAACAGCACTATAAAGCTACTTTCTAATCTTTCACTCTGAATTACACAAACAGGTGCCGATCATAAAATGACAATATCAGGACAAAGTTGATTTACTTCAGTAATTCCATTCAGAATGTGAAACTTGTAAATTAGATTAATTCATTACAACATACTGACGTACACTACCGGTCAAAGGTTTTAGAACGCCTCAATTTTTCCACTTATTTATTGCAGTTTAAGTCATTCAAGTCCAATAAGTAGCTTGAAATGGTACAAAGTTAAGTGGTGAACTGCCAGAGGTTAAAAGAAAGGTAAGGTTACTCAAAACTGAAGAATATTGCACATTTCAGGATGATACAAAACAGCCTTTTTCAGGGAACACGGCTGTTCTGCAGCAATGGAGGTTGATCAAGCTTTGAAAGCTGGTGCTGCTAATTCCCACAGGTGTTCTGGATTACTTCCAATCCCCTCTGTCTGCATAAAAGCAGTGTTGGAACATACTGTGGTACCACACCCTCGTGAGCATCAGTTGAACAGTATTGTACTGCAGAAAGTGTGTTGCTACAAAAACAGAGAAAAAGGCAATTAACAATGGAAGAGATGCAGACCATCATAACACTTAAATGTAGGTCTTTCCTACAGAGAAACTACAAAGAAACTCAAGGTGTCGGTGAGTACAGTTTCCTTCACCATCACAAGGCACTCTGGGGCAAACTCTGACAGGAAGAGGTCTGGTAGACCCAACACCACGACTGCATCCGAGGACAAGTTTCTGAGAGTTAACAGCTGATAGGCGGCTCACAGGACAACAGCTTCGAGCACAGCTTAATAGTGGTCGTAGTGAGCAAGTCTCAGTTCCAACTGTGAAGAGAAGACTTGGAGCTGTAGGTTTGACAGGACGAGTTGCAGCAAGAAAGCCACAGCTAAGTCGTCAGAATAAGAGAAAGAGGCTTGCCTGGGCCATGAAACACCGCCATTGGACTCCTGAAGACTGGAAGGAGGTATGATGGACTGATGAATCCAAATTTTAAATCTTCAGTTCATCACGCAGGTTCCTTGTACACTGTCGAGTAGGTGAGAGGATGGTTCCACAGTGTGTGGCATCAACTGTCAAACATGGAGGAGGAAGTGTGATGGTCTGGGGCTGTTTTGCTGGATCCAGGGTCAGTGACTAATACAGAGGGTGAGGCATGCTGAACCAAAACGGCTACCACAGCATTCTCCAGCACCACGCAGTCCCCTCTGGTATGCACCTAGTTGGTCAGGGGTTCATTCTACAGCAAGATAATGGCCCAAAACACAAGTCCAAGCGACGCCAGAACTACCTCAGGTCTCCAGACTTAAACCCCATGGAGCTGGTTTGGGATGTACTGGACTGAAGAGTGAACGCAAAGCAACCTACAAGTGCCACACATTAATGGGAACTTCTGCAGCAGATATGGAAGAACTTTCTGAAGAACGATTGATTTCTGTTGTAGAAAGAATGCCACGAGTGTGTTCAGCTGTTATGTCTGCCAAAGGTGGCTACTGTGATGAGTCAAACGCTTAGAACACATTTTGGTCTATAAATGGATTCCATGATTTCTTTTTAACTCCAATTGCTTATTTGTACCATGCTTTCATTTCAGAATGCAATGTGACTTTAAACTGCATCGTTTCCAATAAAAAACTGGGAAAAATTGGGGCGTTCTAAAACTTCTGACTGGTAGTGTGTTTCAAATGTTTGTTTCTTTAATGTTGATGATTATAACTGACAACTACTGAAAATCCCTAATTCAGTATCTCAGAAAATCAGGATATCTACTAAGAGCAATGTTAGAAATGTTGGCCAGCTGAGAAGTATGAGCAGGTAAATGTGAAGGGTACCTTCAGCCTGGATTGCTGCAGCTATGCGGTGTGACATGGAGTCCATCAGTCTGTGGCGCTGTTGCTCTGATGGTGGCCTTCAGCTCTTCTGAACTGTCTGGTCTGGCGTGTTGCATCTTCTTCACAACACCCCACAGATTTTCTACGGGGTTAAAGGTGTAGTGTGTACATTTGAATAGTTAAATAACTTTAAAAATCCTTAAGTTTGACTCTTTGACCCAGTTTTAGGAGAAAATACAAATAGTCTTGCTTATTTAATTTTTCTCTTAAGCCCCTCCCCCCTACAGCTAAGCGAATCATTTCTGAGACCCCACCGCCTTGGCCAATAGCGCTGTTTTTCCACCAGGGGGAGCTTTCAGTCAACGAGTACGAGCCAGCGTGCCCAATGGTGTCACGCGCCTCAGTCAACTCGACACCGCAACAGACCAAGACGTACGGGTAGTTTCCGGGACTGCCTTAACGTCTAAAACAAATTTTAAAGTTGTTTTTTCTACCACATCTTGTCCTTCCTTCACCTCTGTTCATGTGCTTGGACACAGCTCCGTGAACAGCCAGCCTCTTTACCTTTAGTGTTTTCCGTCCTTGTGCAAGTGTCACGGGTCGTCGTTGGGACAAGTGTCTAGTCAGCAGTCATCCCCATGACTGCAGCCTGCAGAGCTAGACCCAGGCCATTTAAAGGCTCTGCAGGGTTAATCAGCTGACTGGAGTGCAACACCAGGGGTCTTCAGTATTGAAGCTTTTCACATTATTCTAATTATCTGAGATACTGAATTAGATATTTTCATTAGTTGGTCAGTTATAATCATCAACATTAAAGAAATAAACATTTGGAATACATCAGTCTGTGTGTGATGAATTAATCTAATGTGCAAGTTTCACTTTTTGAATAGAATTACTGACATAAATAAACTTTGTCATGAAGATGTTCTCATTTTAGGACCAGCACCTGTCCTTCATTTTAAATGTGAATTTTGACTCTGTCGCATAATCTGAGATTCATCAGGATGTAACAGTTGGTAAAGTATTGTGACTACCAATCAGTCGTGTCATCTATGACGTCACACCACAACCTCCTTATCTCCAGCGTAGCTGCTACTGGCCACATGACTGGATTTCTGGTGTTTTTCTCCACATTTGATGCTCCTCCTGTTGTCCTGGAAGGACGTGTGAAGCTCGCTAAACTAAACTTCTCTTCTCCGTGTCTGGTTTGATGATGTTACTTTACTGAGACAAATGTTTGGAGTCTCCTGTTGTGGACAATCAGCACTTTCTAAGCATCAAAACGTGTCTTTAAAGTTCACGGACGTCACATCTTACCCCATGGCACACCTCAAGACCAACTCCCCCCTGTGGGTTTCAGCTGTAGGTTTAGGGTCTCAAAGTAGATGGGCGTGGCTTAGGCTCCCTTTTTTAAAGCTGATACCGTCTGTGGATTTTCAGGAACGATGGGATATAAGAGGGAAAACAATAAGAAAACAAGTCGTTTTTACTGCAGAATTCCTGGGTTTTACCCTTCAAACAGCCCAGAAAAAGGTCCGACAAGCTGGAAGAAGAATCGTGCTTTCAGAGGCTTTGATTGAATTAACAGTAAAAGAGAAACAAACTTGTTTTCCTCCTGAGACCATCCGAGTTTCCATGTAGACGTAAAACCTAAGCAGAGCAGGTTTCTGCTCTTTTAAGGATTTCATGGCTGAGAATAGATGCTTTTCTGTGGAAATGAGCTTCCTCACATCAGGAGAAGCCTTAACGAATAATTCAGTTTTCCTGAATCCTTTTATTTTCTGTTTGACAAATCCTAATAAAATCCTGAAAGGATCCCAGAAATCCCATAAACACTCATTTCTCTGGTCAGTGAGCTGTTTTGGATGTGATGGTGTTGCTGCTTTTGTCATTTCTAGACTTTTTGTAGTTTTCTCGTGTAGAAGGAATGTTTTGTTTTTGTTCCTGCTCTGTTGGGCTGACAGACGCCCGTCGTCCATCCGGCCGCTCTGCCGCCTGTCTGTCTTCTCACCTCCTAATTGTCCGCTTGATGAAACATCTGCCCGTGACTGGTCCATTACAGCCATTAAGTCTCTGGTGGAGGAATGCGATGCTTCGGGGGCGAAAGTGTTTTCTCTAACCATTTGATTGGTGCTTATTTTGTGGTCTTCTTCAAAGAACCTGTGGTTACTGGTTCAAATCCCTGAGCAGTGAATCATCCCCAGAAACGCGCTGGATTGGTCTTCAGCTGCTGGTTTACGTGTAGCAAGATGTTTGTTTGTTGTTATTGTTTGTTTGGAGGCTCCTGTTTACCCCTCTCTGTCTGCAGGCCGACTTGTTTCCTGGTGCTCTGGTGTACTTCGGCTCCGACATCAAGACAGGTTCTTGTCCGTTTCTTTATTTTCTGTCTGATCTGACGTAAAAAGACGTGAATCTGTGGAAAGTAATAAAAACAACCGTAGTTTTTCTGCTCCACAGATTTTTACATCAAGAAGGAGCTGCTGGAAACGTCTGTGTCGGCCTCCCAGGCAAACCAGTCCATAAAAAGGTGTGTGTGCGTGCGTGCACGCGTGCGTGCGTGCCTGCCTGTGTGTTTATTTATGTACTTGTATCCCGCGGCAACCAGCCTATTTTCCTGTCACAAAGCTGTCATCAGTGGAATCCCTTTGAGGTTCTGCCTAACAGCAGGTGCCCCCCTGCGCCCTCATTTCCTCCACGCACACACACACACATTCTCAAACACACACACCATGCATCAGGCTCTAAAAATAGAGCCCATGCGTGACCCGTAACTGTTGGCCTTTTGCATCATTTGCAAGGTTGTTTTTCCACCTCAGCGTTAGGTTTTTACCTCCTAATCTGGACCTCCTTTTATCCACAAACATCCATCAGCAAAACACCAACTCTCCTCCTTCGTCACGGTTTTTATCTTTATGTGTTCTTTCTCATGTCTCCTTACATCAGCTGCATGCTCCATTCTCCAGAAGCTTCCTGCAGCTCTGCAGGTGTTGTAGAAGCGGCGCCTCTTCCTGACCCCAAAGGGTCCAAACAGGAAGACCCAGGCCCATCAGCACACCCGCAGGCTGCTAAACCGGTCAGATCAGACCCAGGCAAAGTGCCCAAGTGGCTCAAGCTGCCAGGTGAGGACAGAAAGTCCCATGTGGACACACTCACAACATTAACACAAATGAATTTAATATCTGCACTTTTGTTTAACAAACTAAACTCTAGAAAACTCATCTTTGTTGGTTTTTGCGCCGACCCTAGAGTCCAGCATCTGCAACATGAAGCCCTGATGTGCCGGTTTGTGAATGAGAACACGTTCTCAAGCTAAAGTAAAGCCGCTCATGTTTCCAGAGACAAACACCAACATACCACGAGTTAAAACAAAGGACTGGTGGAAAGCACAGGTCACCACTGTAGTTATGGTACAGAAATCCTTAGCCCTGCCCCCAGGTGGTAGAAACATGCTACTGCATGCAGAATGTACATAAACTTTTAGTTTCTTAGTTTTTTTTAGTTGTTTTCACAAACATTCAGTATGCTTATTTATTGACTTTTAACTTCTTTGAATCCATTTTTGCAATTTCAAATCAAACCACTTCTGGCCTTAAACCCTCCAGACGGAGCAACAGGATTAGTACCTTCATCAGAACCCTGCCCTATCCACTCCTACACATGTCTACTGCCCCCTGGTGGCACGGGCACATTTTATTCTTACTGTTAGTGTTGCAGAAGGACATAATAAATGTAGATTCATTGTTATTTCAATTTTCAGGCTTTACATGGAGTTTATTCTGATTTCATCTCATCAGTTCTAGCACCTCAGCAGCGTTCTGAAAGAACCATGGAAATGGAGCAAAAAGGCGTTGAGAATCAAATAAATAACTGAAAAAAGTCTGCACACTTTTTTCAGGATCGGTTCAAATTTGGACAACAGGAACAGAAAATTGTTTTTTAAAGTGGTATCTTGCCCCTTTTTGCCGTTTCATTTATGAGCAATAAAAAACAGCTCATTTGTGGTTTACAACATAACTTTTATTTATTTTTGGCAAGTGATATGACATGTCAAAATGGATGAAATCCCACCATCTCCAACTCAAACACTCTAAAACTGAACTACTTGTGTCATCCCAGCAAAACCATCCATACAGCACAATATCTCAATCCAAAATTACTTCCTATCTCTGGCTCCTTCAAAGGCAGTTCGAAATCTGGGTGTTGTGATTGATGAACACCTGAGCTTTAAAGATCATGTTGCCTCTGTTGCTCATTCATGCCGCTTTGCGCTGTATAACATACGAAAGATCAGACCATACCTAACACAACATGCCACCCAGCTCCTGGTGCAATCTACTGTCATCTCCCGCCTCGATTACTGCAATGCCCTTCTAACTGGTCTTCCAGCCTGTACTGTGAGACCTCTTCAAATGGTCCAGAACACAGCGGCGCGTCTGGTCTTCAATCAGCCAAAAAGAGCACACGTCACCCCTCTGTTCATTGAGCTCCACTGGCTACCGCTAGCAGCACGCATCAAATTCAAATTGCTAACACTAGCATACAAAGTCCGAGATGGTACGGCTCCCATCTACCTGAATCCTCTTGCAAAGGCTTACGTTTGGGCCCGGCCGCTCCGGTCATCACAGGATCGTCGGCTAGCAGTGCCTACACCACGCTCAGGACAATCCAGACTCTTCTCATGCATCGTTCCACATTTGTGGAATGACCTTCCAAGCACTACCAGAACAGGGGCTTCCTTTTCAATTTTCAAGAAACTCCTGAAGACTCTGCTCCTCAGAGAGCATCTTCTAAACTAGCACCTTCCCTGCACCCGTCCCCCCTCTCTGTTCACTCCTTGTTCCCTACTCTCCATTATTGATGTCAAGTTTTTGTTACTGTTGTTGTTAGCCTCAAGGGCAACATGCAGATTATCACTTGTAAGTCACTTTGGACGAAAGCGTCTGCTAAATACATAAACAAGTAAATGCAGGCAAATCCGAATTTCAGTCAGGTGAGAGTATTTGTGCCATTTGGTGAGAGTATTTGTACCATTTAGTGAGAGTATTTGTACCATTTAGTGAGAGTATTTGTGCCATTTGGTGAGAGTATTTGTACCATTTAGTGAGAGTATTTGTACCATCTAGTGAGAGTATTTGTGCCATTTGGTGAGAGTATTTGTACCATTTGGTGAGAGTACTTGTGCCATTTGGTGAGAGTATTTGTTCTATTTAGTGAGAGTATTTGTACTATTTAGTGAGAGTATTTGTGCCATTTAGTGAGAGTATTTGTGCCATTTGGTGAGAGTATGTGTACCATTTAGTGAGAGTATTTGTACCATTTGGTGAGAGTATTTGTGCAATTTGGTGAGAGTATTTGTACCATTTAGTGAGTATTGGTACCATTTAGTGAGAATATTTGTGCCATTTGGTGAGAGTATTTGTGCCATTTGGTGAGAGTATATGTGCCATTTGGTGGGAGTATGTTTACCATTTAGTGAAAGTATGTGTATCATTTAGTGAGTATTTGTACCATTTAGTGAAAGTATGTGTATCATTTAGTGAGTATTTGTAGCATTTAGTGAGAGTATTTGTGCAATTTGGTGAGAATATTTGTACTATTTAATGAGAGTATTTGTGCCATTTGGTGAGAGTATTTGTGCCATTTGGTGAGAGTATTTGTGCCATTTGGTGAGAGTATTTGTACCATTTAGTTAGAGTATTTGTGCCATTTGGTGAGAGTATGTGTACCATTTAGTAAAAGTATGTGTACCTTTTAGTGAAAGTATGTGTACCATTTAGTGAGTATTTGTACCATTTGGTGAGAGTATTTGTACCATTTAGTGAGAGTATTTGTGCAATTTAGTGAGAGTATTTGTGCAATTTGGTGAGAGTATGTGTACCATTTAGTTAGAATATTTGTGCCATTTGGTGAGAGTATTTGTACCATTTAGTGAGTATTTGTACCATTTAGTGAGAGTATTTGTGCCATTTGGTGAGAGTATGTGTACCATTTAGTGAGAGTATTTGTACCATTTGGTGAGAGTATTTGTGCAATTTGGTGAGAGTATTTGTACCATTTAGTGAGTATTGGTACCATTTAGTGAGAATTTTTGTGCCATTTGGTGAGAGTATTTGTGCCATTTGGTGAGAGTATATGTGCCATTTGGTGAGAGTATGTTTACCATTTAGTGAAAGTATGTGTATCATTTAGTGAGTATTTGTACCATTTAGTGAAAGTATGTGTATCATTTAGTGAGAGTATTTGTACCATTTGGTGAGAGTATTTGTGCAATTTGGTGAGAGTATTTGTACCATTTAGTGAGTATTGGTACCATTTAGTGAGAATTTTTGTGCCATTTGGTTAGAGTATTTGTGCCATTTGGTGAGAGTATATGTGCCATTTGGTGAGAGTATGTTTACCATTTAGTGAAAGTATGTGTATCATTTAGTGAGTATTTGTACCATTTAGTGAAAGTATGTGTATCATTTAGTGAGTATTTGTTCCATTTATTGAGATTATTTATGCAATTTGGTGAGAGTATTTGTACTATTTAATGAGAGTATTTGTGCCATTTGGTGAGAGTATTTGTGCCATTTGGTGAGAGTATTTGTGCCATTTGGTGAGAGTATTTGTACCATTTAGTTAGAGTATTTGTGCCATTTGGTGAGAGTATGTGTACCATTTAGTGAAAGTATGTGTACCATTTAGTGAAAGTATGTGTACCATTTAGTGAGTATTTGTACCATTTGGTGAGAGTATTTGTACCATTTAGTGAGAGTATTTGTGCCATTTGGTGAGAGTATCTGTACCATTTAGTGAAAGTATGTGTACCATTTAGTGAGTATTTGTAACATTTAGTGAGAGTATTTGTGCCATTTAGTGAGAGTATTTGTGCCATTTAGTGAGAGTATTTGTACCATTTGGTGAGAGTATTTGTGCCATTTAGTGAAAGTATGTGTATCATTTAGTGAGTATTTGTACCATTTAGTGAGAGTATTTGTGCAATTTGGTGAGAGTATTTGTACAATTTAGTGAGAGTATTTGTGCCATTTGGTGAGAGTATTTGTACCATTTAGTGAGAGTATTTGTGCACCATTTAGTGAAAGTATGTATACCATTTAGTGAAAGTATGTATACCATTTACTGAAAGTATGTATACCATTTAGTGAAAGTATGTGTACCATTTAGTGAGAGTATTTGTACCATTTAGTGAGAGTATTTGTGCCATTTGGTGAGAGTATTTGTGCCATTTGGTGAGAGTATGTGTATCATTTAGTGAGTATTTGTACCATTTAGTGAGAGTATTTGTGCCATTTGGTGAGAGTATTTGCACCATTTAGTGAGAGTATTTGTACCATTTGGTGAGAGTATTTGTACCATTTGGTGAGAGTATTTGTGCCGTTTGGTGAGAGTATTTGTGCCATTTGGTGAGAGTATTTGTGCCATTTGGTGAGAGTATTTGTACCATTTAGTTAGAGTATTTGTGCCATTTGGTGAGAGTATGTGTACCATTTAGTAAAAGTATGTGTACCATTTAGTGAGTATTTGTACCATTTGGTGAGAGTATTTGTGCAATTTGGTGAGAGTATTTGTACCATTTAGTGAGAGTATTTGTGCAATTTAGTGAGAGTATTTGTGCAATTTGGTGAGAGTATGTGTACCATTTAGTGAGAATATTTGTGCCATTTGGTGAGAGTATTTGTACCATTTAGTGAGAGTATTTGTACCATTTAGTGAGAGTATTTGTGCAATTTGGTGAGAGTATTTGTACCATTTAGTGAGAGTATTTGTGCCATTTGGTGAGAGTATCTGTACCATTTAGTGAAAGTATGTGTACCATTTAGTGAAAGTATGTGTACCATTTAGTGAGAGTATGTGTACCATTTAGTGAGAGTATTTGTACCATTTGGTGAGAGTATTTGTGCAATTTGGTGAGAGTATTTGTACCATTTAGTGAGTATTGGTACCATTTAGTGAGAATATTTGTGCCATTTGGTGAGAGTATTTGTGCCATTTGGTGAGAGTATATGTGCCATTTGGTGAGAGTATGTTTACCATTTAGTGAAAGTATGTGTATCATTTAGTGAGTATTTGTACCATTTAGTGAAAGTATGTGTATCATTTAGTGAGTATTTGTAGCATTTAGTGAGAGTATTTGTGCAATTTGGTGAGAATATTTGTACTATTTAATGAGAGTATTTGTGCCATTTGGTGAGAGTATTTGTGCCATTTGGTGAGAGTATTTGTACCATTTAGTTAGAGTATTTGTGCCATTTGGTGAGAGTATGTGTACCATTTAGTAAAAGTATGTGTACCATTTAGTGAAAGTATGTGTACCATTTAGTGAGTATTTGTACCATTTGGTGAGAGTATTTGTGCAATTTGGTGAGAGTATTTGTACCATTTAGTGAGAGTATTTGTGCAATTTAGTGAGAGTATTTGTGCAATTTGGTGAGAGTATGTGTACCATTTAGTGAGAAAATTTGTGCCATTTGGTGAGAGTATTTGTACCATTTAGTGAGTATTTGTACCATTTAGTGAGAGTATTCGTGCAGTTTGGTGAGAGTATTTGTGCCATTTGGTGAGAGTATGTGTACCATTTAGTGAGAGTATTTGTACCATTTGGTGAGAGTATTTGTGCAATTTGGTGAGAGTATTGGTGAAAGTATGTGTACCATTTAGTGAGAGTATTTGTACCATTTAGTGAGAGTATTTGTGCCATATGGTGAGAGTATGTGTACCATTTAGTGAAAGTATGTGTACCATTTAGTGAGAGTATTTGTACCATTTGGTGAGAGTATTTGTACCATATAGTGAAAGTGTGTGTACCATTTAGTGAGTATTTGTACCATTAAGTGAGAGTATTTGTGCCATTTAGTGAAAGTATGTGTACCATTTAGTGAGAGTATTTGTACCATTTGGTGAGAGTATTTGTACCATTTAGTGAAAGTATCTGTACCATTTAGTGAGAGTATTTGCACCATTTAGTGAGAGTATTTTTGCCATTTGGTGAGAGTATTTGTACCATTTAGTGAAAGTATGTGTACCATTTAGTGAGAGTATTTGTGCCATTTGGTGAGAGTATTTGTGCCATTTGGTGAGAGTATGTGTACCATTTAGTGAAAGTATGTGTATCATTTAGTGAGTATTTGTACCATTTAGTGAGAGTATTTGTGCAATTTGGTGAGAGTATTTGTACCATTTAGTGAGAGTATTTGTGCCATTTGGTGAGAGTATTTGCACCATTTAGTGAGAGTATTTGTGCCATTTTGTGAGAGTATGTGTACCATTTAGTGAGTATTTGTACCATTTAGTGAGAGTATTTGTACCATTTAGTGAGAGTATTTGTACCATTTAGTGAGAGTATTTGTGCCATTTAGTGAGAGTATTTGTGCCATTTAGTGAGAGTATTTGTGCCATTTGGTGAGAGTATTTGTACCATTTGGTGAAAGTATGTGTACCATTTAGTGAGTATTTTTACCATTTAGTGAGATGATTTGTACCATTTGGTGAAAGTATGTGTACTATTTAGTGAGAGTATTTGTACCATTTAGTGAGAGTATTTTTGCCATTTGGTGTCCGAGTCACAAATCTGTTTGTAGGTTTGTAGGTTTCGTCTGTTTTAGTAAAACATAACACTCCAGTAAAATGAACTCGTCTAATGTGAGCACCTTTCTAGTGTTTTTGAATGAAATGATCTGTTATCCTTACCACCTTAAATAATCCAGTTAACGTACTAAAGAGCATCAGCTCTGCAGAGGTCAGATGAGTTGTAGATGCACAGAGATCACTTCCTGTTTTTGGATTAAAAGAACCACAACATTCGTGTCAAACACAAAAACTCTCTGACCACATTTAATAGAATCTGTTGACTCAGACGACCAGGACTTAAGTAGGAACAGAAGGATCCTTTCGGAGCGATCGCCCCATCCGGTCCAAGTGACCACTACAGACACCAAGGGCCCAGAAGCGGAGCCTGCTGCTGGGACACATCAGTCAGTCCCAGTCCCTGTGGTGTGGGGTGGTGCTTCCGCTGGTCGCCAAGACGATGTTGCTCTGCTTTGGTCGAGCCTTTGTCTGTGTGTGTGTAGAAGAGAGAGAGCTGTGGCCTTTGAATCTGGATTATAGATGCCACATGTAGACGTCTGCAGAGACGCTCTCAGTAGTCGTCCTCCATCATAAAGACACGCCATCAGACTAGTCTTCCTTTAAAGCCCACATATTCCTAATTAAAACTTTATTCCCATCCTCGTGCATCCTGGTAATCAGCCCAGCTTTTACGGGATTTTATGTCTCTTCTAGTTTATTGTGAAAAGCAGATTCAGGTGTGTTTGTGATTTTTTTTACCCTTAAAGCTGATTTTTAAAATACAAACAGAAATAATGAAAGTAATAAAGTTATTTTTAATCTGAGATCATTTAATATTTGTTTAGTGTATCACTGCTGTTTCCTGTTTCTCCACTCAGGTAAGAAATGAGACGTGTGACCATCGGAGGACTCTGGTGCATTTAGAGGTTTGCCTCTCTGATCACGGTGGACTTGATTTATGGTGGAAGACGCCTGCATCCCAGTAGGTTTCCAAAATAGAGGAAAATGGTTGAATAAATGAATTTCCAAGAGGATTGTTGAAGATTCCAGTTTGTGTTTGGGAGAAGAGTGTGCTGTGAAGGATCAGAAGTTAAAGTGCTAGTTCTGTTTTAAAACTTGTGTTTAAATAAAATTTTCAAATGTAAAACTAAACCGATTCGTGTGACATTTCTTTGATCTCCCTGTTTGTTGTGGGATGGTCTCTATGAAGGGGTGGGGCTCAAAGTTAAGAAAGGGGCACATCTAGAGCAAGTTTTAAACAGATCACGATCCAACCAGTTAGAAAATCCACATAATGACAGACCTTGGGTTCAAACAACATAATATAAACTAGGAAAACACTTCATTTAGTGTCATTATTGAAAGTGATGTTGGTTCATAAATGACTGTTTTAATTGTTAAAGCCGACTTACATCTAGAGATGTTACAAACACATTTTTGCCCTGATCTGAGTCCAAGTTGTTTGATTTTTGATTATCTTCCAATACTAAGTCCTGTTCTGATAGCAGGTGGACATGCAATGCATCACAAAGAACATACACACACACATGCACACCATACACACACGTGCTAACATACATGCACACAACACATGCAAACAACACACACACATGCACACACACACACACACATGCACACCATACACACATGCACACACCACACACAGATGCACACACACAGGGACGTTTCATACCATTTCCAGAATATTGCACATACTATGGCCATAAGTTTGCTGATCCAGAATATTTCCCTCATTATTTCCAGTCTAATAATGTGAGGGATCAGACAAAGAGCAGTCCGATGACCCCTTATGATGAATAATATAAATGGAAACATTTTTCCCTCACCCAGACGCAGGTCTCTGGAGCCCCCTGGAGGTGGGGCAGGTTGGCGAGCGCCTGGTGGCTGGAAAGAGGAAACGTGGGTCCCCCTTCCCATGGGCTCACCACTCGTGGGAGGGACCAAAGGGATCGGTTGCAGTGTGTGACGGGTGGTAGTCGAGGGCGGGGACCTTGGCGGTCTGATCCTCTGCTACAGAAGCTGGCTCTTGGCATATGGAATGTCACCTCTCTGGTGGGGAAGGAGCCTGAGTTGGTGTGTGAGGTTGAGAGGTTCTGACTAGATATAGTTGGACTCACCTCAACGCATGGCTCTGGCTACAGAACCAGTTTCCTTGTGAGGGGTTGGACTTTCTACCACTCTGGAGTTGATCCCACTGAGAGGCGCCGAGCAGGGGTGGGCATACTAGTTGCCCCCCATCTTGGTTGGGGTTTACCCCAGTGAATGAGAGGGTAGCCTCCCTCCGCCTAAGTGTGGGAGGACGGGTTCTGACTGTGGTCTGTGCTTATGCACCAAACTACAGTTCAGACTACCCACCCTTTTTGGAGACCTTGGAGGGGGTGCTGGAAAGCGCTCCTTCCGGTGACTCCCTCGTTCTGCTGGGGGACTTTAACGCTCACGTGGGCAACAACAGTGAGACCTGGAGAGGTGTGGTTGGGAGGAACGGCCCCCTGATCTGAATTAGAGTGATGTTTTGTTATTGGACTTCTGTGCCAGTAGTGGATTGTCCATAATGAACACCATGTTCAGACATAAAGGTGTCCATATGTGCTCTGGGCACCAGGATACCTTAGGCCACAACTCGATGATTGACTTTGTTGTTGTTTCGTCTGACCTGCAGCCGCATGTCTTGGACTCTCGGGTAAAGAGAGGGGCGGAGCTGTCAACTGACCACTACCTGGTGGTGAGTTGGCCCTAATTGTGAGGGAGGATGCCGGTCAGACCAGGCAGGCCCAAAGGTTTCAATTCCCACCTTCGACAGAACTTCCAAAATGTTCCGGGGGAGGCAGGGGACATTGAGTCCAAATGGGCCCTGTTCCGTACTTCCATTGTTGAGGTGGCCGACCGGAGTTGTGGCCGCAGGATCGTCGGTGCTTGTCGTAGCGGCATACCCCCGAACCCGCTGGTGGACACTGTCAGGTCTTTTTGGCCTTTGGGACTCCAGGGACAGCTGATAGGTACCAGCAGTCCAAGCGGAATGCGGCTCGAGTGGTCACAGAGGCTCTGCAATATCGTATGGACAACAGGGGTAGTTTCACTGGATTGGCAGACCGAGGTGGTGGTCCCCTTATTTATAAAGGGGGACTGCAGGGTGTGTTCCAACTACAGGGGGATCACACTCCTGAGCCTTCCCAGTAAGGTCTATTCAGGGGTTCTGGAGAGGAGGGTCCACTGGATTGTCGAACCTCAGATTCAGGAGGACTGATGTGGTTTTCGTCCTGGCCGTGGAACCCTGGACCAGCTCTATACCCTTAGAGGGATCCTGGAGGGTGCGTGGGAATTTGCCCAACCAGTCTACATGTGTTTTGTGGATTCGGAGAAGGCACTAGACCGCGTCCCTCGGGGGGCCCTGTGGGTGGTACTCCGAAAGTGTGAGGTACCAGACCCTCTGATACGGGCTGTTAGGTCCCTGTGTGACCGGTGTCAGAGGTTAGTCCGCATTGCCGGCAGTAAGTTGGGCTCATTTGTAGTGAGAGTTGGACTCCACCAAGGCTGCCCTTTGTCACCGATTCTGTTCATAGCCTTTATGGACAGGATTTCTATGAGCAGCCAAAGTGTGGAGGGCATCTGTTTTGGTGGCTTGAGGATCAGGTCTCTGCTTTTTGCAGATGATGTGGTCCTGTTGGCTTCATCAGAACATGATCTACAGCTTTCGCTGGAGCGGTTCGCAGCCGAGTGTGAAGCAGTGGGATGAGAATCGGCTCCTCTAAATCTGAGACCATGGTCTTAAATCGGAAAAGGTTAGATTGCCTTCTCCAGGTCTGGGATGAGGTCCTGCCCCAAGTGGAGGAGTTTTAAGTATCTCGGGGTCTTGTTCACGAGTGAGAGAAAACTGGAGCATGAGATCGACAGGCGGATTGGCGCTGCATCTGCAGTGATTACTGGGATTACACTTATAGTCTGTGTTCTTCTTTTTCCTGTGAGACCGGTGGGGCGGCGCTCTAGCACCTCTGATGAGTACTACTTCTTGATAGCGCTGGGTACAGCCATCTTTAAATTTGGGATCTTGGGGTCCTCGCAAACCTACAAGCTCACAACTCAGAATTCCAAGTTTATTGCATAATTTTCAGCTAACTTATCTCAGAAAAACAACTTCTGAGGACAACTGGAACGCATCATCAGCCGTCCCCATGGCTGCGAATAGGGAGCCTAGGTCACGCCCACCTACTTCCGGACCACGGGTCCCCAGAAGAACGAACTAAATAAATGCAAGTCAATGGGGCTAAAACGTTATTTTCTAATTCCACTTTTTTTGTGCTATGGATTTCACATATGATGTCCGGTGATTTTTAAAGACACATTTTGATACCAAGAATGTGCTTGTTTTCGAACAGGGGAAACGCTATTTTAGGTTTTTGTGTGAAAATAAGTCCAGGACTACAAATGCGCTTCACAAAAGTGGCGTCATCGAATCAGACACGGAGAAAACTGAGGGAAAAGGGTTGTAAGTTCAGCAAACTTCCCACAGGAGGAAAGAACCACCATAAATCTGGTCATGTGGTGGGGGGAGGAGCTTATGTGGTGACATCACATATACGACGTGCCAACTTCTAGTTTGTAGTCATGCTAATTACGAACTTTTACAAGTTGATAAATCTCAAAGTACGTGACTGGCGTGGTCGAAACACCCATCATTACTTTTCATTTCAGTTGCGGTAGAACATGTATGAGATCCAGGGCGTAAGGCTAAGCGGATTAGAAAACAGCGTTTTTAGCCCTGTTGACGTGCATTTGTTTTTTCGTTCTTCTGGGGACCCGTGAGCCGACTGGAAAGGGAGGAGACTTAGGCTCCCTATTGGAGCGATAGCGGGGACAGTCATCACATGTTAGCATGATGCGGAAGAGCTAATCAATGATCTTGTGGGTGGGTCTAAGGGAAAATAGGCTTCAGCTTGAGGTGTCCGCCTCCGCATGGTCCTAGTGCCTGACCTGTATCCAAGCATGACAGTTTTGGATGGTAAAATCTGACAGAAGACTGGAAAAAGGGCACTTTGGACACTTTGGACAAAAGGGGCAGGTGCTCAAGCACCCTCCATCCCCTTCTGCACATGGCTGACCATCAGTGAGTGTCGGTGTGCCGTGTCTTCTGTGAGCTAATACCGCAGCACTGACAGTTGTAATTCGATGACGGCCGGCAACAAGCTCCAGAGTTGTTTAAAGGTGTTGCAGTAACCACATTGTACCACAGGGTGTCATTTTAACTTCGTTTCTACATGGGGCAGCAGTTGCTCGGGTGGTAGAGCGGGTTGCCCCATGATCGGAGGGTCATGGTTAGATTCCAGCTCCTGCCAGGGGTATTCTGCTGTTGTGTCCTTGGGCAAGACACTTCACCCAATTTGCCTGTGTTGGTGGTGGTCAGAGGGGCCGACGGCGCCAAATGGCAGCCTCGCCTCTGTCAGACCGCCCCAGGGTGGCTGTGGCTACAAAGTAGCTCACCATCACTGGCAGTGACGGTGTGTGAATGTGAGAGTGTGTGAAAGTGTCTCTGAGTGTCCTGAAAAGTGCTATATTCAATTAATTAATTAATTAATTAATTAATACACCTTTAGTGATCCCAAACCATCACCCCTCCACCACTGTGTGCCTAATGGGGCTTTATGGTAAACATCTCACTCAGTTATTAAATGGCCTGTATTTTTACATCACCTTCTTAGGATTCTACTACTTCACACACTGGTGGGGGTGAGCTACACTGCAGCCAAAGCTGCCCTGGGCCGCACTGACAAGGGCGTGGCCTACAGGTCCCTCTGACCAACACCAGCCTTGCCCAAGGACACAACAGCAGCATTCTCTGACCCGTATCAAACCTGTAACCCTCTGATTACTGGAAAACCCGCTCTACCTCCTGAGCTAATGCTGCCTCTGGATATCAATTTTATTTAACATTTTCATCTACAGCATTTAAAACATTCACATTCAGTTATGTTTTAATCGAACTAACTGAATCAGGCCTGTTGAGCCAGAAATGTGGTTATTTCTCTGATTAGGATTTAGATTCTGGAATTTGAATAAACATATAATGACACATCCAAATAAATAAACATCTAATACACTTATTAGGCTCTTCCCATTCATCTGATGTAGCTGTTCTGTGTTCCGACCAGCAGGTGGAGACAAAGACCTGAAACTGAACAAACAAAGCACACAGGTATGGGTGAAACCATAAAAACCAGAATATGCAGCAAAAGACGCGACACCCAAACAGAAGCAGCTGAAACTAAACAATTACACAAAAACATGGCACAACACAGGAGAGCCACCTCTCCAGGTCAAGACTCTGGAGTCCACCTACACCTGAAGGACAGGGGACACACTTTTCAGGGAGGACACATTCTGGACCGAGAAGACAGATGGTTTGAGAGCGCAGGGGCGTGTCCAGGGAGTGGCCTGGGGTAGCACATGCCACCCTTGGAATCTGATTGGCCACCACACTAATTTACCTTTAAATAGGCTTTTCATTGTCCACAAAAGGCTTGGGGGTAAAACAAAAAAAGCATAACCACTCGTTCCACCCATGCACAAAGTTGTGCCTCACCTGGGCCACCCTTTTTTAAAAGATCTGGACACGCCACTGTGAGAGAGGAGTAAAAGAAGCTATGTCAAACGTGAAAAATCCACTTTAAATAGGGGCGGGGCTTAGATTTAACCTTTCCAGCACCTATAATGCAGCTTCAGTCTAGGTCACACCTTCCTGCATCTAATCAACACAACCACTCCCTCACTAAAAGTAATTAGTTACCTAGCAAAGTAACTGAGACATTACTTTTATGTTGCATAACACAGTTACGTTCTTTTTAACCTGAATGATTCCTAGGATGAACATTTCAGACATTCAGTATGAATGTTCTCATGCATATCTGGAATGTTAATGTCTACAAGGAACAATAGGAGTATCAGGAATACACATCCAGTCTGTGATAAATGTTAAAAAGGCCACCGTAGGTTTTAGAGTTGCTATTCTGGATATCCTTAGTTATCATTTACATAGTAACACCATAGCTGCTGCTATCTTCATTCTGATCAATAAGAATACAATTAGTTCTAGGGTAAACTAAATAGCTGCTATATAAAAAGGAAAAATAGAGAGGGCTGATTGATGATTAAATGTCAAGACAGCTTGCCTTAGTTACTCTCTCATTGCCTGCATGGTTTTACTCATCTCACCCTTCTGAAGTGTTGTTGGGTTTTCTCTCCTCTTTTACAGATTTGTTCCCACCGACATTCACAGATCCATCACATTCATGTAAAACTTGTCCCGGCATTTTGCTGTGGAGGGTCTGCTCTGTGTGCTCTCAGAGGCTTAAGGACACATTTTCCTTTTGTTTTAAATGAAAAACGCATTTTAGTGTTTTTTTATTTATCCCTTTTTTATTACATTTTAATGTTGAACACTTTTCATCTTTTTCTGCCATCATTAGTTATTTTGGTCTTTTAATCTGTAATATTTAAAAATTAAAGACAAAATAATCCTAATGTGAGTCTACCATATAATTGAAACATGCCTGCATGCCTCGGCTCCCCACCCTACGAACATGACCCCCCCATGGTGACGACCCCGCCTTACATACCTTCCATTCTGGTCTGAGGGGACTGCAGGGACACACACACACACACACACACACACACACACACACACACACACACACACACACACACACACACACACACACACACACACACACACACACACACACACATTTTCACCTCGCAGCTCAGGCAGGGAGAAAGTGTGTGAGGAGGTGTGTGTCACAGAGAAAGTGAGACGATTCCTGAGGAGACCCTGGTCCCGGAACACGGAGGTGAACATGTGGAACGTTTAGTTCCTTAAAGACTTGAAACGTTTCCAGGATGAGGGGGAATTCTACGCCCAGCGGTGAGTCCTATTTCCAGTTCCAATGCTCTGATTCCTGCCAGGTTTAAGAAGGATGCAGAACGTTTTCAGGAAGGAACACTGTTGATGTTGAAGGGATCCTCGTGTAAATGAACATGGTTGGGAAACAAACTAAACCAAAACATGTGGAGATGCTTGTTTGAATTTTGACCTCTCATTGATATGGTCTTAAATGTGCCGTACATTAAATATTAACCCGTGTTGCCCCAACAGAAAGTTAACATTACAGAAAACAAAAAGCTATTTTAGTTCTTGATGTGGGAGTTAAAATGTAAATGGCCTTTATTTCTATGGAAGTCTACAACCCCCAAGGTGCTTCACAATACAATAAGTAATTCACCCATTCACACGCTGGTGGTGATGAGCTATGATGTAGCCACAGCTGCCCTGGAGCGCACTGACAGAGGCGCTACTGATCCCTCTGAGCACCACCAGCAGGCAATGGGGGGTTAAGTGTCTTGCCCAAGGACACAACAGCAGCATACTCAGAGCCGGGATCAAACCTGCAACCTTCCGATTACTGGACTAACCTGCTACTGCTCCCCCTCAAGTTAACAGATAAAAGGGTCCCTTTATTAGGTTACTTGGTGCATTATTAAGCAATAATAAAATATTAAATAAAGTATTAGCAACTGCTTAACCATATAATGTATTGTATTACTGAGCAGATGCACTGACTAATATTAATAAAGTGACTCTTTGTTTATTAATGCTTAGTGATGCACTAAGTAACGTTAATAAAGTGACCCCTTGTTTATTAATGCTTAATGATGCACTAAGTAATGTTAATAAAGTGACCCTGTGTTATTAATGCTTAATAATGCATTAAGTAACATTAATAAAGTGACCCTGTGTTATCAATGCTTAGTGATGCACTATGCAACGTTAATAAAGTGATCTGTTGTTTAATAATGCACTAAGTAATGTTAATAAAGTGACCCTTTGTTTATTAATGCTTAATGATGCACTAAGTAACGTTAATAAAGTGACCCTGTGTTATTAATGCTTAGTGATGCACTATGTAATGTTAATAAAGTGATCTTTTGTTTATTAATGTTTAATAATGCTCTAAGTAATGTTAATAAAGCTACCCTTTGTTAAGTAATGTTAATAAAGGGACCCTTTGTTTACTAATGCTTAATGATGAACTAAGTAACGTTAATAAAGTAACCCTTTGTTTATTAATGCTTAATGATGCAATAAGTAACGTTAACAGAGGGACCCTTTGCTTACTAATGCTTAATGATGCACTAAGTAACGTTAATAAAGGGATCCTTTGCTTTCTAATGCTTAATGATGCACTAATTAATGTTAGTAAAGGGACCCTTTGTTTACTAATGCTTAATGATGTACTAAGCAACGTTAATAAAGGGACCTTTTTTACTAATGCTTAATGATGCACTAAGTAACGTTAATAAAGGAACCCTTTGTTTACTAATGCTTAATGATGCACTAAGTAACGTTAATAAAGGGACCCTTTGTTTACTAATGATGCACTCTATAACGTTAATAAAGGGGCCCTCATTGTAAAGTGTGGCTTGGTCTTTTCGTGACTGAATTCATTGTGAAAGCAGAAAAAATTTCAATTTCAAACTTTTAAAAATTGAAAGAACTGAGACAAGCAAAGCTTGAATGAAAGTTTAAATTAAATATACATAGAAATTGTTTAATTTTTTTGAAGGAAAATTTTCATGCTGGAGTTTGAATATTTTTGGGAAAGAGCAAATTTTATAATATAATTTCTTTAACTACAAAATAAAAATTAATTAAAAAATAAATTGTATTAATAAGTGAATTATTAATAATTAACTTGCTTTAAAGTTTTAACCTGATTGGCCCAAAGGCATTAAAATGCAAAAAGCATGTTTTTAATGTTTTTTTATATGTTTATTGCATCGTCTTTGATACCTAAATGAATCAAACCTACGTGTGTGATTAAGACAAGCAGTTACAAACTCCCTAACGCTTGCTGCTGAGGTCATCGTGAAGTTTGGACGGTTTAGGAAGCTGTCATGTTCTGCGTCCTGCGTCCCCCTCATGTGTCTCCTTGTGTTCCCCAGCCAACTCCAGGTTTTCCCCCTAGGTGTTCTCCTTAGGTTTCTTTGCCCCTTTAGGTCTCCAGCTCCCTCCAGGTTTCCCTCAGGTTCTCCCTTAGTGATTTCAGATTTAGTTATCCCATCCCTGTTAGTGTTTTTCTTCTGGTGTCTAGTTTTCAGGTTCAGGAGTTCACTAATCTTTAGTTCTCTGTAGATTAATTTTACCTAGTCAGTTTTCCCCACTTAATCAGTCTCACCTGATCCCTTCTGGTCTCACTCCCCACACACCTGTCACCTGTTTCCCTCTGTGTATGTAACCCTGTCTGCATCTGAATGTGTTGTTGGCCCATTGTTTGTGTCAGAGTTGTCTCGTTTCCCTCTCCTGGTCTCTAAGTATATGGATGTCTTTAGGTTTTGCTCTTTAAAGGAGCTCTTTGTCTCTTGGTCTCTAGGGTTGCGCATTAGGATTTTTGGATTTAGGTTTTTGGCTACCTGCCCTTTTGGATTTGACTTTTGGACAATTATTCCTAATAAAGGATTTGACGTTTTTCTACTACTCCTGCTTTGTGTCATCCTGGTTCTGCATCTTGGGTCCTAACCTCCTCCTGGCTCACATCATGACAGAAGCTTATCATGCCTGAGTGACTCTTAGGTCAGAGTTAAGCAGCTTAACAAAAACAAACAAATCCCTTTAAAGATTATTTTTGTCTCTGCAGTGATGGACCCTCATGGCGGCCCTTACCTGAACAGAAATGCCCTCTGCTCTGCTCTGGGAGCAGCTCGCCTCTGTCAGATCACTATGGGTTGTGCTGTGGTTGCCATGGTAACCCACAAAGCTGGGTTCAGTGGTTCTCAGGGTGCCTTCTGCATGGCAGCGTGGTGCTGTTGCTTCTCCATGTCCACGGTGGTGTTCTTCCTGGATGCCACTCGTCTCTACAGCTGCCTGCGTGTGTCCTGGGACAACCTCACCGTCACGTGCGCCGCCTGCGCCACGCTCATGTGAGTCATGCTTTCAGGTGTTGCTCTGATTGTTAAAGACCCTTTAGTTGTCACACAACGGTGTGCGTGACATGTGTTCTTCGCATCTGACCCATCCCCATATAAAGCGGAGAAATGCAGACACGGATGTCCTGTCCTTTGGTTGTAATAATCTTTTTCTGACTGTCATGTTTGGTTTTGTCGGTGTGTTGATGTTATGTTCTTTCATCGTTATTATTTTTCCTGTTGTGCCTTTGGTTAGGGTTGGGGTTATTACTGGTTCTGGTTCTTCTTGTTGGTTTGTTTTCTTTTCTGTTGTTGTTTTTAGTTTTCTTGTTGCCCTTGTTGGGTATCCACAGGTATGTATGTGTCGGTCCTGCAGTCTGTGGTCTTGTTCTTCTGTTGTTATATTTGCTCTGAGGTATAATGTTCTGATAGCTGGCTTTTTATTGTTATTGCAAACTAGAAGACTAACACATACAAACCATCCATGACAGTCAGAAAAAGATTAGTACACCAAAAGGACAAGATATCAGCAGGTAAAAACATGTAGTCATATACAGTAGAAAGGACAGCAGCAGCTCAGCAGGTTGAGCGGGTTGTCCAGTAATCAGAAGGTTGCAGGTTCAATCCCGTCTCCGGACAGAGAATGCTGCTGTTGTGTCCTTGGGCAAGACACTTAACCCACCTTGCCTGCAGGTGGTGGTCGGAGGGACCGGTGGCGCCTGTGTTTTGCCTCTGTCAGTGCGTCCCAGGGCTCATCACCATCGTGTGTGAGTGAATGTGTGAATGGATGAATGATACACTGTACTGCAAAGCTCTTTGGAGTCTTACTTTGAAAGGCGCTATACAAGTGCGGGTCATTTATCATTTATCATCAAGAGCAGCCAAACAAGAGCAGAAAGTACAATAAAGAAGTGAGCCGCAACACCCCCGCACACGAGAAACCCACGTAACGGACTGGGACGGGACACGGGTCATAGACACAGAACCACAACGACATAGAAGGAGTAACAGAGGTAAGGAGGCGTGGCCACAGGACCACGAACACACACAATGGCGTATTCACACTGGATCACTCCTGGGACCGTGACATCAGCAAGGAAGACGCGGCCAGTAGAGGGCGACACCGAAAAAAGCATGTGAGTGAATTCAGCTGAATTTGAAAGGGAATTCTGAGATATCAAAGTATTTTTGCTAAATCGTGTGATTACACATTAAAATACGTAGGGTTTTCTTCCAAACGTATCTAACAGAGCAGCTGCCCCCCCCCCCCCACACACACACACACCCCCACACCCCCACCCACCCCCCACCCCCGGGATTTGGGGGGGTCTTTCTCTCTGATCCATGTTGGATAATTAGTGTAATCTCAGAAAGCCTGTCCGGGTCACTCTAGCCTGGGAGTAAACGGTCTCACCACGAGCCACTAACAGATCTTGGTCATGAGTTAGAATCTACGGTTGCCTTTCAAAGTGTCTCCAAACACAACTGGACAGGGCATCGAACAACTTGACGTATTCATCACTACAGAAATCAAAAAACTGATGATGTTCACGTCTCTACAAAAAGCACCGACCTGAAACAGAATGTAAAAATGGACTTCAGTGCCCACATTTGACCACAGGATGTTGCTGTGTTTCGGATGACACTACACTTGGAACAAATGAATCGGGGGTCCGCCTGGGGACTCTTTTATTCCAGCTGCAGTGCGTTTTTACAATGACCATTTCGTATGATTGCATATTTGATATTTTTATATTTTATCAGGACCAGTGAATGTTTTATTGTGTGGATGTGCATGTTGTGTTTACTTGTCCAAGGCAATTCAATTTCCCCCTTGGGGATTAATAAAGACAACCTTGAACCTTGAACCTTGAACCAGCGGATGTAGAATCTTACGTTCTCTAAACTAAGATCACTCTGGCTTAAAACTTTCTCTTTAGGTGTTTCTCCTGACAGAATCACACTGACTCTCCTTTCTGCCTGCAGGTACATGACCGCTTCGGTGGTCTACCCACTCTTCTTCGTCCGATCTGAGTGCCCCTATGAAGGCTGTGATGTTCGAGATTTTCGCATCGCCGTCACTGTCTGCTCCATCCTGGGCACCCTGGCCTACGGTGCTGAGGTGGCTCTGTGTCGGGCCAGACCAGGACAGATCGTGGTGGGCTACATGGCCACTGTCCCCGGCCTTCTCAAAGTAGTCCAGGCCTTCGTGGCTTGCATCATCTTTGGAGCCCTGGCCAATGGGAGTCAGTACTCACTCTACGGTGCTACCATCTACTGCGTGGTGGTCTATGCTTCCTGCTTCGCTCTGACGGTTCTGGTGGTCATTTTGACCGTGTGTAAACGTACCAAGCCTGTGCACTGCATGCCCTTTGACCGCTTTGTGGTGGTGTGCACTCTCCTGGAGGTTCTGCTCTACCTGAGCGCCTCAGTGGTGTGGCCAGTGTTCTGCTTTGACACCAAGTATGGCTCCCCATGGAGACCGTCCTCATGTCCCCGGGGGAAGTGTCCCTGGGACAGCAAAGTGGTGGTGGCAGTCTTTTCCTGCATAAACTTTGGACTCTATCTGACAGACCTGATTTACTCTCAGAGAGTAAAGTTTGTCTCCTCCAGCTCACGGGTGTAGGGCCGCTGACGCCACTGCTTTGTGAGTTTATTTGATGTCTCAGATGCAGAAAAGACTTCGATCTGAACTTTGTTTTGTGCACAAGACTGCAGAGATTGGTGAAATCACAACAGTTATTTACAACTTTGTGTACAAGACTTTGTATTTTTATGAAGCTGAATGACGATGACATAATTCAGCTAAACCGGTCTGGAAACCTTTCTATGAAACTAAATATAAGGACTTTCTGTTTTTGCATATTAAAACAGGTTTTCATATAAAAATGCTTTTTATGAATATGAATACAAACAACAGCAATTTGTTTCGCTTGATGTCAAAATGAAAAACAAAATTAATATTTGAAATTAGGGATGCAACGATACCACTATTTTCAAACCGATATGATACCGATACTTGGATCTGAGTACTCGCCGATACGATTACCGATATCGATACTTCTGCCACACAAAAACGGCTATGAATTGGAATACAGGTTTTATTTTCTTCTCTGCTTTCAACAGGAAGAGACGGTGAGATAGATAAAATAAAATATATTAATATAAATGATCACAATATTTCAAGCAACTGCATCGGTATCGGTTAACTTTTACCGATACCGATGCTGGAATCGGTGCATCCCTGTTTGAAATATTTGTTCTCACACAATAAATATTAAACTTTCACTCCTGCTGAGATGCCCCACCCCCCACCCCCACTGAAGCACCTGACTCTCCGCCACGCCGACCTTTCACCGACCCTGAGATCTCGACCCGCAGGAGGACACCTAACTCATAGCTGCAGCTTAGAATAATTAAAAATCTGCTGTGGCATCCCTGCCGTCTGCCGGACCCCACACCCAGCATTTCTGAGACAGAAATAAACACTTATGCTGAAGCTGCCATCTAGAAGATGACACTGCTGGATGACAGCTCTCTAGTGTTCAGATATCCTGCAGTTTGAGCTGCAATATTTGAACAATAACAAAATAAACTTTTGCACAACCTGAACATGGTCACTGTGACCGAGAATTTGTTCTGTTTGGTCCCAACTAACGGGTCAAATCCAAATAAATACACTTACTCTGAAAGGTAAAAATTAGTGTCATTTCAGATCAATATGAACGTATAATTAAAGGATCTTTAAGCAACTAGGTCAAACATTATAATGCAGACCAAAACTGTCAAAGACCCCAGAATGTGATGTTTTTTTTTACTTAAACTTGCTCCACAATAAAGTGAATATACAACAGTGGACATCAGAGCCAGTTCCACTGGATTGGCCAACTGGGGTGGCGGTGCCCCTATTTAAGCAGGGGGCCCGCACAACGTGTTCCAATTAGGGCTGTGTTGAAAAAATGGATTCTCCGATTCTGAATCGATTCTCGTAAATATTCATGAGGATCGATTTGTATGTCCAAAGATCGATTTAACCTTTAAGTGTGATTGCTGACGTTAACGAGCCACTGCTGCAAATATGATCCCTCATGAAGTCACTACTTTACACCAGAAGATGGTGGAGATGTCTATCTTCAGTAGTCTGAGCAACACTTGTGGTATGTTTGTATTGAGTGTTTCTGGGTTTTTAAGTTTGAAAGCCGCCTCCCGCCAGGAGGCTGCCAGAAGACAAGAGGAGCGAACGCAGAACATGTAGGGGTGAATGTAAAGGGAAAAACTTACAGTTGCTGACAAGTCTGGTCATCGTTGACTCTGTCTGGTAATGACTGACTCCGATCCAGAAGAAGAACATCACTCATCCAGTCATAAAGAGTGATGCTGCTGCGCGGAGCGACAGAGTCTGTGCTTCATGTGAAGAAAGTCAGGCTAACACATCTTAAACGTTCTACATGCCAATTCGTGTTTGGGGCATGGTGGATGTAGAAAGGATGGTAAAAATACCGCTAATGATGAGAACCGTAGCGGGAATGTTAAAAAAAAAGCCATAAAAATGGTAGATGAGCGAAATATGGAAGTTAAAGTTTGCCACGCAATATTGATTCTATATATGGATTAAAGATGTAACGTTAAGGATTGGCTACATTAACGGATCAATAAGATGTGTTGTTCCATATTAATATTAAATATCAATCTGATTGGTCTTTGAATGTTTAATTAGAAGACTTTAGTTTCTTTGACTTATTCAGGGACCATAAACACTTTACATTTATAGTTATAAAAATGACCTTGATTCTATTTTCCTAAACTAATTTATGTACATGACAAAGTATGAATGGAATGATGGTCATGCAGATAACAGACAATGGATGGAATGTGAGTCAGATGTTTTAGTAGAACCTTTCTTAAGTATCTGAGAGAGATTGTGGAGTCTGGGTTGTAAAATAAATGTGTCTGTATGTTTGATAATCTAAAGGTTGTTTATAAAAACCATCCAACGCAATTTGTGCCGAGTCTACCCACTTGTGTGAAGATCCCTGTGCGATCCAGGGGGTCAGGAGGTCGAGATGGACACTGTCGGTGGAGTGAACCTCTAGGTACCAGGAACCCATAGATTAGCTCTGATACGACCCGTCTAGTCTGAGATACCTCTAGGTAATGGCAGGAAGCTGGAATGTTCCACAAACCTAAACAACCAATGATGAACAAGAGTCTGCTTCTAGACCTGCAGAAAGAGAAAAACACACACAACAATACAACAGGAGCAAGCTATCACTGCGTCAACCTGTTGAGGAAATATAAAATCAACATTGTTTTACAATCACACGATAATAAACCACAGTGCATTTAGTGCCCACCATAGCCTTAAGACATGTGTTGAACGTGCCCAAGTCCATACTTATGAGAGCACCATGTGAGCACCTGTGTGTGTACACAAGCTTGTATATGTAAGGTTTCTCTATAGAAGCATTCAATAGAGAGTGTGAGGGGCCACAGATCTGCCCCCCAAAGATGTGTAGGAGATGGAGGGAGCTCCAAGTCCCAGAGATCCAGGAGCTGCCCCAGAGCACAGGAACCCCAGGGAGACTGCGACCAGAAAAGCCCCAGCCCCCCTCGAGAGGCACAGAGGATCGCCCCGGGGGCCACAGCCAGTAGCCGGCAGAGTCCCGGGAGATATCTGGGGCAAGCCCACAGGCCCGCCGGCAGCCTCCCACCCCCTAGCCGGCCGAGCCCGGGACCCAGCGACCCGGGACCCAGGGGTGACCAGCCCCGCCGGGGACCCAGCAGGCAGCCACCAGGATTGATCAGACAGACGCCAAAAATCTTAAACCCCCTGACCCGGGAGCCACGAACATTCAGGCAGACCAAGGCACCGCACTCCACACAAGGTGTGGCAGGGGGAGGTGGGGGCGAAGATGCATAGCATCACAAGAAGTCCCAGGAGAGAGGAGGAGTTCAAGACCCCACCTGACATACAGTATACAGTCATACACAGACACAGTCACACACTTCCTCCCTCATGCGCACACATACACATACAACCTAAGACTTACAAAAATGCACGCCGGACACCCACTCATGCTCCCCATACACACCCTATTCACTTTGGTCCCGGTACTGCTGCACATGGGGTACAACCATCACCGGTTCCCAGAGTTTGACTCTTTCTGCTGAGGTACTGATGAGCAGGCTCCCCCGCCCAACGCTGAGCACAGCAACCCACCACCCAGACCCCAACCAGACGGCCAGATCTCCCTCCTAGCCTCCAGCCCCAGGAAGCCAAGCGAAACAGAGGTGTGCTAAGACCCCTACAGTGTTAGTGCGTGTTGATGAGGTGTATTCGTGGCTGTGGTGAGTGGGCAGTGCAGTGGTGGTTGTGGTTCAGCAGGGTCTGGGGAGGCTTGGCTGGCAGGACTGACGCAGCAGTGTCGTCCAAGCAATGTTGGCACGCAGCCAGACCCATGCCAAGAGGGCTGTGACGGTTTTGGGTGTAGCGCACCTCGATGCCAAAGCTCTGAAGAGCTGGTAGCCATGAGGTAGTGTGTGCATTGGTCACCACACCATCTCTGATGGGTTGACCGTTAAGGAAGGTCACTGGCTGATGTTGAGTTTTCTGTCCACCGATGTAGCTGGGAAAGTGTTAAACCGCCCACATGGTGGATAGCAAAACTTTTTCACATTAAGAATATTTTAACTCAGGACTGGACAAGATCTTGCTCGGACAGGCTGCGACACGCCTGTGGCAGTCATACACTTGACACGGACCGGCACTCAAGCAGTGGGTTGTGAACCCGACCTCAAGGTGGAACTCTTTGTCACAATCAGGAAGCGCCACAGAGCTGAGCACAATGCGGCCTTCAGGTCCTCCATGGCCTGTTGCTGCTGCTCAGGCACTTCCTTTTTCAGCAAGGCAGGCAGAGGTCTCGCCATCTCAGCGTATTTTCTACGAACTGGTGAATAAAAACTCTGAAGTTCAGAGACGTTCGTTGGAGCTTTGATGGTGGCAACACCCTGGACTCTGCCATGTTGAGGCTGCACTCCCTGTAGTCCCACAAGGATGCCAACAAACTGGACCTTTGACCTGCACCAATGACCTTTGGCGAGGGAGATTTTTGCACCTGCAGCTGCAAGCTGACCCACACACACACACACACACACACACACACACACACACACACACACACACACACACACACACACACACCTGAATTTAAGTTTATTTCTATAAAAAGCTGACTTTACAATTTCAGAGAATATCCTGATATCAATATAATAAACGTGTATTTTAACCAATGAAAATCAGCTTAGATGGTGATGAACAGAAGTGTACCACTGCTACTGCTTTAACAGATTCTGATTATATTTTGGTTTGTAGCCATTTAAGTGTTTCTGCTGCTCTTTCATTTATTTAACCGCAGAATAGTTGACGAAAACAAGACAAATACGTAAATAGAGCGGGTCACTTCCAAGTCACTGCTTCTAGTTAAAACATGGAAGAGAGGGTGGTGGAGGCTGTTGTCTGAAGTAACAAGCAAGGACTCGGACGCTGCCAACATGGTGGCTGCATCGATTGTGATGACATGGTTTCTTGCCAGCAGTGGGCGGTCCCCCCAGGTTCATTGATTGTACTCCTTTTTGCTCTGCTCCAAAAAACACTCTGGCTCCGCCCCTGCCTCGGGCGTCACCCCTTTTATCAAGAAACTCAAAAGGCTGATTTCAGTTGATATATGAAGTAAATAGGATATAACAGTCATTTGTTTGTGGTCTGATATTAATGTGTGACACAACTGATAATAAATCATTATTAAATCATCAAGCAGACTCATTTGGTGTCTTTAAGATGTGAAATAAGGCATTTCATAAAAAAAAATAATGTTCATGTATTTGTTACTGTCAAGTAATCAAGACATTATTAATAACTTTAGATGAAGCATTCACTGATCTGTGTAATTTTAATTAACCTGTAAAGTGAGAAAAATCACTGTATAAACAAGAATAAAATGACTTTATTAAAGATAAGAGTTCTGTCTTCTGTCTGGAGTCTCCTTGTGACTGCAGAATGGATGAGGAACTCGAGACGGGTTAGGGTTGTTATGGCTTCCCTCCCGGTGGCGGGGCACGCAGCATTCCAGGCAGGTTAAGCAGGCTGTGGACAGCGTCCTGTTTCGGTGACCTCTGACACACAACGCCTTCTCCAACAATTGTAGGTTTTAATGTTGTGTTGTGGCTTTTGTATTTTGTTGGCCCTTGTGGGCCACTGTACTTTAATGCACACTAGCATATATGTAAATATGTGTGTCATTCATCTTCAGTAAAAATTACATTTAAATACCAGAATAAGAATGAACTTTACTCTCTCCCCAGCATCCTGGAGCAGAGAAGTTAGTCTCCGCAGTCCGCCTGCCCAAGGTCACACACAGAACATCTAGAACAGAAACAGATACAGGCAGACCATGAACATCAGTACAGTTATCAGGCCGAACATCCATACGTCTTCCATGTCCTCCACGGACAGCTGGGAAAGGCCTTTAATATTCCACTCCCTCCAGGAATCCAGCATATACCCCATCGGGTGCGTTCCATCTGGTCAAGTAGCCCCCTGCTCCATTCTCATTGTTGAAAACATCTTGTCACCGTGTTGAATGACCAGCTGATTAAATCCATTATTTAATAAAAATAGCGTTTTCAGGAGGAATGCAGAGAAGCGCTCTGGGCAACCAGGACAAGAACTTCGGGAAGTGAGAGAAAATAGAAACGTCTGTAGAAGAAGATGAATGTCAGAGGCTGCTTAAACATGAACTAAATATGGTAAAATGGTAAATGGCCTGTATTTGATATAGCGCCTTCTAGAGTCCTGGAACCCCCCAAGGTGCTTCACAACACAATCAGTCATTCACCCATTCACACACTGGTGGGGATGAGCGTCGATGTAGCCACAGCTGCCCTGGGGCGCACTGACAGAGGCGAGGCTGCCGAGCACTGGCGCCACCGGTCCCTCCGACCACCACCAGCAGGCAACGTGGGTTAAGTGTCTTGCCCAAGGACACAACGACAGCAACAGACTGAGCGGGGCTCGAATCTGCAACCTTCCGATTACGGGGCGAGCACTTAACTCCTGTGCCACCGTCGCCCCATAAATATATTTATGACCAACGTAATTTAGGGTATGAAGCAATTTTAGCTTCTCTGACAGACATTTGGACTCCTACATTTCCCATAATGCAACACCTGCTGTTTTTATTATTAGTCCATGTTGGATCACACATTCCAGACTGAGCCGCAGAACTCCATGACCTCCACTGGGAATCGTTTTTCCAAATATAGGTCACCCTAATGGGTGAGTTGAATTTTTAATAAAATTCACAAAACTCTTTACAACACAGAGTCAAAGACACCGAGGAGGACAGTGACATCACATAAAGGAACAACCTGTCTGTATTAGTGCCCTGCTGACTGAGTGGGTCAGAACAGCTGCTGCTCTTAGGGGTCCAGCTCAGACTCGTTCTGCTTCACGTGGACATCCACCATCCCTACGTCTGCATTCCTATGACTAAATAAATTTGGTGCTCCAAGGGAGACACACAGCTTCCTCCTGGGGAGAGTAAATTTATCCTGGCATGGAATGGCATGAATGGTATCCAAGAAAGAAGTAGGCAGATGGAGAGGAGGGTTAAAGTAGCATTATGTAGAAATGAAGTACAAATGTCATCCTGCGGTAAAATGTGACTGCTACAACCACTTTAAAGTCCTCAGGAGCTTTTTCCGGCCGTCATCAAATTACAACAGTCAGCTCTGCAGCATTAGCTCTCAGGAGACACAGCGACCCCCACACTCACTGATGGTAAACAGTCGTTATGGCCCGCCTTCCTTCGTTTTGAAAGGAGAAAATCTGGGTATGAAGCATGTTTCAGTAGAACCTTCCTTCCTCAATGACTGAAACATTGGATCTCTTGGGATTTCCTCACTGCAACATTATCACTATATTCTTACATACTGCACCTTTAATTTCATTACAATGTGCTTCACGTTGACAGTTAAAGGTCAACAGTCACTTACTTAGTAATTCCTGTCTAGGATATATGATAAATGACCCAGACACCTAACCCACCTTACCTGCTGGTGGTGGTCGGAGGGACCGATGGCGCTCTGGAGCCCCGCCTCTGTCAGTGCGCCCCAGGGCAGCTGTGGCTATGATGTAGCTCATCACCACCAGCGTGTGAATAGATGAATGATACGCTGTAGTGTAAAGCGATTTGGAGTCCTCTGACTCAGAAAAGCCCGGGTCATTCATCATTTTCTAGTTTTAGTGTGTTTTTTTATGTAATTCTGTTGTTTATTTTGTTTTGTTTTTTCTGTCTGTTCTTGCTGCTGCTGTGAAGTACCTTGAGTTACCTCTGTGTTGGAAATATGCTATATAAATAAAGCTTTCTTGTCTTGATCAACTGTACTAAAAGTGTTGTACACCTGAAGAAGTATGGGTATGAAACAAAAACATAGTTTAGTTTGTGATTTATAATCCTTTAAGAGGCAGCTCAACACCTTGGTTTCTTTTTGGTGTGGACATTAAAATGCTAAGAAAGTGAAATATGTATATATTTTTATTTGAGTAAATCTTGGGTTAGCAATATTACACACATCAGTTTTCATTAGCACTTTATTGATATTTTTTATTTTGTGTATTATTATTGTTATTTATTGTTTTATAAGTTTCATAAAAGAATGCAAAATTAAACGTTTTGTGATGTTACCTAATCGGGGGGTATTCTAGAAAAGAGGCCTTGTTGATCACAAACATGACCTTTTGTGTAAATCTTCCTGTTTGACCTCATTGTAGCGGCAAAGCGGGAATGATGCAACTGGGCGTGACGAACATAAAACTCCGCCTATGTTTAATTTTCTAGTATATGATTGGTCGGTATATCATGTTCTGATTGGTCTTATCTGGATAAAACAGAAGCATGATGCAACTGGGGCACTATGCCCCGCCTATATTTCACACACTAGTTTCTGATTTGTCAATGTCTCTAAATCTCGCGGTGTAATTGGTTACGGCCTGTGTCTGTCATTGCAGCATTGCACGTGGGTTGAGCTAAAAAGAAAAGGGGAAAGCCACGTTGACTAGAAGTAATTGATGCTTTATTTTTTCGTAAGTCTTGGGGAACTGTCACGTCTACGACTGTGTGTCTACGCAGGAACTGCAGCTAAAGCTCCGAGAGTAAGATGTTTGTTGGTTTTATTCAGGCCACGGAGGAACGAGGCTAGCAAAGTCGCTGCTCACAGCAGCCTGCTAGCAAAGCTGTTGTCATCCTAAAAGGCAACATCTACTCTTATTGTGAGGTTATTTCAAACTGTTAAATGTGTACGTTTGTTTCTCCGTGAAGCTCTGGTGTCCCGCAGATTAAAACAATCGTTTATTTTGGCTAAAGGATTAGTTTGATATGCGTCTGTAAAGTCGTCATTACGGCCGTTATAAACGTATTATTTCCATCAGAGGATGCTCAACTATCTGCGGGATGTGAAAGAAGTTTTAATACTTTTGTTTTTAAAGGTCAGAAAGCCACGTCGTCTGGCAGGATGAGCGTTGGATTTGTCGGTGCAGGCCAGCTGGCTCACGCGCTGGTGAAAGGTTTCACCGCTGCAGGTAAGGTCGGGTGAGCATGAATACAGGAGCTGGTGTCTGACATCCAAACATCTGGAGCGTCATTGTAAACCATGCAGCATTGCTATTAGTTATGTATGTCATTGTTGTACATTTATTTTTAAATAATAATAATATTATTATTATTTTAAAGGCTTCTACAGTTTGTTTTCTTTAGGGTCTTTTTCCTGCAGGTACGATGATCCTGGCAGATTTAGTTGCTGGGAAGCACCCTGCAAATTAAACATTTTTACAGAATTAAAGGTACAATAAGTAATAATTTTACACTGAAATAATCTCAGTCTAATGTAAACGTTCTTTACCTGGCATTGCTTTTGGAAGTTTGTGTTTGTTTTTGACAAAATAGCTGAACTGTGTGAAAAAGTGACGTGGCAGCATAGGCTATGGGTGCAGGGTCGAGGACTGGACAGGTTACCTGCTCCTGTGTTTCTGATCCATTCTAAAAATATCAAACCGTTCACACAAAGTAAATTTGTTATTCATTATCTGATTAGTTAACCCTCACACTGTCCTAATGAGTGGGAACCCGCGAGGAAAGTTGACCATTTGGCAGGGGTGAGGAGTGAGCTCCCACCTCACCCCTGCCACATGGACCTCAAGGGATAAACCATCAACCCTGCTCAATGGTCAACTTTCCTCGCAGGGTCACACCCATTAGGACAGTGGGAGGGTTAAACAACTAAACATGTTTCCTTTACTTTTCTTGTACTTTTTTATAATATTGGTGTTTTGAAATACGTCACTGTGCTCCACACTCTGCTCTTGTCTTAACAACGTGTGCCCTTTGGCCACTAGACCTGCTAGATCCTCTCAGTCGCACCCTTGGCTAAATGATGCCCTCTGGTCTCTACGCACCAATCTTCGGTACATTTCCCACCTCTCTCAAGCATGCTCAGGTTAAACCGCTGCTAAAAAACATCTCTTCCTCCAAATCATGTGGAGAACTACCGACCTATCTCTCTCCTCCCTTTTCTGTCCAAAATCATTGAAAGGGTGGCTTTCAAGCAGATCACAGAATACCTCTCACAAAACTGTCTGCTTGACCCTTACCAATTTGGGTTCAAAAAGGGCCACTCCACTGAAACTGCTCTGTTAGCAGTGACGGAATCCTTAAAAGAAGCTAGAGCGACTGCCAAATCCTCAGTGCTTATCATGCTCAACTTATCGGCTGCATTTGACACGGTCAACCATGGCTTCCTTTTGTCCACACTCTCTAGCATGGGCATCACAGAGAAAGCACACGCCTGGTTTGAATCGTAACTCACAGGACGATCATTCAGTGTATCTTGGCTTGGACAATCCTCTACCGTGCACCATCTTGCCACAGGAGTCCCCCAGGGCTCTGTACTAGGACCTCTTCTCTTTGCCATATACACCACCTCACTGGGTGAGATCATTCGATCACATGGCTTCTCCTACCACTGCTATGCAGACGACACCCATCTCTATCTGTCATTTCCACCGGACAACCACACTGTCTGCACGAATATCAAACTGTCTCTCTGACATATCAAAATGGATGAAATCCCACCATCTCCACCTCAACCTCTCTAAAACTGAACTACTTGTCATCCCAGCAAAACCATCCATAGAGCACAATATCTCAATCCAAAAGGACTTCCTATCTCTGGCTCCTTCAAAGGCAGTTCAAAATCTGGGTGTTGTGATTGATGAACACCTGACCTTTAAAGATCATGTTGCCTCTGTTGCTCGTTCATGCCGCTTTGCGCTGTATAACATACGAAAGATCAGACCATACCTAACACAACATGCCACCCAGCTCCTGGTGCAATCTACTGTCATCTCCCGCCTCGATTACTGCAATGCCCTTCTAACTGGTCTTCCAGCCTGTACTGTGAGACCTCTTCAAATATTTCAGAACGCAGCGGTGCGTCTGGTCTTCAATCAGCCACAAAGAGCACACGTCACCCCTCTGTTCATTGAGCTCCACTGGCTACCGCTAGCAGCATGCATCAAATTCAAATTGCTAATACTAGTATACAAAGTCCGAGATGGTACGGCTCCCATCTACCTGAATCCTCTTGCAAAGGCTTACGTCTCGGCCCGGCCGCTCCGGTCATCACAGGATCGTCGGCTAGCAGTGCCTACACCACGCTCAGGACAATCCAGACTCTTCTCATGCATCGTTCCACAAATGTGGAATAACCTACCAAGCACTACCAGAACAGGGGCTTCCTTTTCAATTTTCAAGAAACTCCTGAAGACCCTGCTCTTCACAGAGCATCTTCTAAACTAGCACCTTCCCTGCACCTGCCCCCCTCTCTGTCCACTCCTTGTTCCCTCCTCTCCATTATTGATGTCAAGTTGTTGTTGTTATTGTTGTTGTTAGCCTCAAGGGCAACATGCCGATTATCGCTTGTAAGTCGCTTTGGACAAAAGCGTCTGCTAAATACATAAACATAAACATGATATTTGAGCCTGCAAGGTATTTGTAATTTGGTCAAAGAGCAACAGCGTTAGAGTGGAAGTCAGTAAACAGAAGTGACCCAGAAGTTGTTTCTTGTACCCCTAAGCCACACTATCTTTTTGTTTTACGCTAATATCAGGTGAAGCAGGCTAGAGGCTAACATTGAGCTAACAATGCTAGAGGTGTGAATCTTCACTTGTCTCCCGATTCGATTCGATTACGATTATTGGGTCAACGATTCAATTCGATTCGATATCCCGATGCATCACGATGCATCACGATTATTTCATATGGATTTGTTTTCATCGATAAATAGAACATGTCAGATAATTGCTTTTTTTTTTAAAATCAAAAACGTAATTGATACAACCTGCCAGCCCTCAAAAGCTCTCCATTAACAGGTTAGGACAAAACATTTTAAACATTTAAGAAGATTTAACAAAGCAAAACATCTGTTTCCTCGTTCAGCACCACGCCTCAGGCTGAGAAAAACACGCTTTACAAAATCTCACAAAATCTAAAAAAGTACTGAAAACCCACAGGACGCATAATGTAATAATCAGATACAATAATGGGTTCATATATGAGTATTTAATGTCTCTGAGCAGCTCTAGAGTCAAATATTCATGCCGCAGTTCAAGGGTGTCAGAAATAACACCAAATGAAATGTTTGACTTAGTTTATTTTATTTGAACCCAGTGGTTCGTTTCTGAAATGTTGGAGAATGAATCAAGTTCTGTTTGATGCCGAAAATAATAAAACAGAAAACAAATTCTACACTTCCAATAATATTTAAGATGTGTGTTTTATTCTTTCTGATAATAACACCAGCAGTAGGCTGTGGGCTGGATTAGGATTAAATTACCCAGCTGATGGATCTCCTTCACTAACCAGCTAACGACAAACCTTTCCACTAACCTGTCCTGTGTGACCCTCACCATGTAACCCTCATGTCCATGCTGTCTCTGGAGGAGCAGATAGGAGACAAGATCTCCTGTAACTTAAAATGAACCAAAGCTTCCTCCCAGTTTCTCTTTAAGCTGAATTCAACATCAGTTTATCATCATGAAACAAAAGAATAAAGTGGAACAAGAACTTCTTTCTTCTATTTCTCTCTCCTTTTAACTTCTCCGTGTCCCTAAATAAAAGAGACAGATGATCACGCTGCAGCCGCCGTCATTGACCCCGCCCCCTCCCCAAGACCGGATCTCCCTACATTACAACAAGCAGTCTGACTGAGCACTTCCAGGAGAAATAATAATTAAATTATGAAAATAATAATGCGTGTTTGGAGCATCGGTTTGGAGGAGCGTCCTCCGATGCTCTCGTGTGAGCAGTCCCCCCCCCTCTCAGTTGCTGTGCGAGCTAGCGGAGCGCGCCGCACGACAACCCGCTCAATTAACATAATTCGCGGCCCAAATCCAACAGAATCGGTCGGGCTGATTCGGTTCCAGTTCGGTCTCAGGTTACAACTCAAGCGCTCAGCCCTGCAGTACCACATTAAGGCGGAGGTAAATGTGGAGGACGCTCACTCTGACAGATTTGGATCTGCGCTGGTGCCGCCATTAAAAAAACAAAACTACATTCCACTATAATCGATTATGGCGTACCCTTCTACGATGCAGAATCGTTTATGTCCGAATCCCGATGCATCGATTATTTGATTATTTTCCTCAGCTCTAAACAATGCTAACAGGGAATCAGAAGCAAACTTTTTCATTTACCAACAACTGGATCTTACGGTAAAATGCATGTATCTACTTATCGACTTCCTGTGTATCACTCCTCTTCTGGGGCTGAACCGTGACCGCAACAGTTTCTCAGAGTGGACTTGTTTGTTTTGATGCATGGACTGCAGTACCTACATTTTACCACAGGGTGTCATCCTACTTCATGAACCTGTAATTTATGATGTTGTTAAACAGTTTTAGCATTCCTCTCTGCTTCTGTAAAAAGTATGCATTCAAGAGAACGCGATGAGCTGTCTTGTTGTGAATAGTAAAAATCGGACGGATCTTTTCATTTTTAGACTGAATGTTGGCCAACACCAGTCTTTGGAGGACAGTCTGAAGTAGGGCTGCAACAACGAATCGATAAATTCGATGAAAATCGATTACTAAAAGCGTTGGCAACGAATTGCGTCATCGATTCGTTGTGTCGCACAACTCTTCCAAAAGCGCCCCCCCTTCCCGCCCGCCGTTGCGCGCAGACAGATCAGCGCGAGGGAGAGCCGGCAGTTGTTTGGAAGAGGAACATGGCAGAAGCAGCGAGAGTCAAAAAAGTAAAAGCTTTTTAAGTTTGGGAGCATTTTCAGTTAAATCAGGCGAAGACATGCGTTACCTGCAACGTTTAGGTCAGACTTGGCATGGCACGGGATGATGCAGCGTCTTAAACGCAAGCATGTCGGGATCATCAGCGAGAAAGGAGAGAACTCTGTGTCCGGGTAAATTAAAAACTTTTCAAAAGTGATTCATCCAAGTCCCGGATTATTACACAGGCTAGACATGCCCTAAGCTCGTAAAAAAAAAGAGTCTAAAGTCGTGAGCGCGACGCT